TTGGGAGGCTTGCCGGCCCCGGCGCCAGCCTTGTCCAGCTGCCGCGCGGTGCTCCTTGGCGGCGCTGAGGAATTGCTCCGCGATCTCGAACACGCCCTTCGCGACGACGCGGGATTCGGCCCTCCAGGCGGCCATGCCGAACTTGCCGGGGAGGTGGCGGAGGATGGGGATCCTGTCCATCAGGCTGGCCTTGTGGAGCACCATATAGCCGGCGGTGCGGCTGCGGAAGGCCTTCACATCAAAGCCGTGGTGGGCCATGGCGTCGGGCCGCTGCCCAACCACGGAGATGCACGGCACGCTTGTGACCCAGGCCAGGATGATCTCCTCGAGATCGGGGCCGCTGGTGGTGGGCCCCGCCTCGAGCAGGGCCACCAGGGCGCGGGCGGTCTCGGCGTCGTTCATGGGGTTTAGGCGGGCGACGGCGGCGGCGCTGCCGAGGGCGCCGTTGAACTCGCGGCGCCAGCGCGTCAGCCAGGGCCCGTTGTCGTGGAAGAGGGCGGCGGGGACCTGGTGCGTCTGGTACTTCCACTTCTCGTCCTCGCCGTTGGGCCGCGGTCGGTCGCTGTAGATGGCGCCGCGCCGCTCAAACAGGTCGCGCACCATCCGCGCGCTGTTCAGCACCACGATGTTGGTGGCGCCCAGCTTGACGCCCATTGGCTTGTCTTGGCCGTACTTGTGCGCCCAGGCGGTGTAGGTCAGAGCGGGAATCGATTTGTTGATCTGGAAGAGGTTGCCGAGGCCCGGGAGACCGGGCGGGCCCGGGGGAAAGTGCCTCGGCCGGCGGACATACGAAGATAGAAAGAAGATGACATTGCCGGCGACGAGGAGGGCAGCTGTGACGAGGAAGGTCGGAGAAAGGAGGACTTCAGTTACGTCCGCCATGGCACTCGAAGTAGTTGAAGCCATCTTGGAGATGCTGGCTTGGAAGGCTCGTGAGGGAGAGGGCTCACGGAGGATACCATATGCAGGTAGGCACGGGAGAATGGTATTGTGAGACGAACAATGCCTGTCCAGACTCCAAAGGGTATTATAGACTGTGGCTCATGGTGGATTCGACCGTCGGGCCTGCTTCGAGTTTCTCAAACATTTAAGCAAAGTTCCGAATCGGACTGTTAATAGCTGACAAATTTGCCCCTAAACAAAGCATTGTCTTGACGTGCTCGGAATCGGCGTGCTGGCCGGCGTGCACGTTGGACGGCGTACATGTAATTACTATTCCTCGGACCGCAAATTGACAGACGGCGGCACACCGTCCACCCCACCTCGGTACTTGTTCAATGCCGATGATCGGCTCCGATTACGTTTCTTCCGGTCGGTGTTTCATGTTGCCTCTCAAGTGGGTCGATCGGTGTTTTGGCTCCCAGGTAGGCCAAAGGCTTCCGAGAAGCCCCGTCGTTGGATGCATTGGAGTCTCCGAGGTTCATGGCTACGTCTTGGCATGCGTCGTCCAAGACGACCTGGCGAGGCATCGTTTTGAGTTCTCCGCCGTCAGATTGGGAGCAACTTAGCGACGGATGAGTGTATCAGTGTAAGCTGAAACATTGAAGCTTCCGGGAATCAACCATGATTACATATGCATGTAGAACCCGGCCTTATCACACCCATGCTGAAAGAGTGGCCTCTATTCGTATCTCACGGTTATCTAGCTCCCCCGGCCCTGGCTGGAATTGAGAAGAAGAAGCGAATTCGTTTGCAGGCTTCGGTAGGTACGTGTAGGTACTGTTGGATTTGCATGCCGGTGAGGAGGGGCAATTCAGGGGTTCACGAGTGGCTGGGCATGAGTATTTTCAGGGTCAGGGCGAGGCCCGCGGCAGTGGGAACAGGACAGAGACACAGAGACACAGACATCATCATCAATGAACTGGTTGCCCCTCTTTCATCACCTTTGGACACCCAAGTCACCTTAGTTCAGTCATTTCGTAGCTGTTGGCTTTCCAACAGGTACCTAGGTAGCTGATATCTCTATTACAAGGTTGTTGAACAAATCCGTGGCACCACAAGCTCATATCTTGGAAGACAAAACAAATTGCACCGTTGAGCCTTTTGAGTAATTATGCTGTGACAAGACATTTCTATCCCCTATCGCCTGACGCCCTTCACCAGCATCCGCAATTCATCCCCCACTGATGTGATAAAGAACTATGCCTGGGTATCAGACCAATGATCACACCTTCTCCGCTCGCCCCTGTGATTTTAAGTTGGTGGTTACGCGTGGTACGCGTGTGCCCTTTTGCCTGCTTCCACTATCTTTTAAAAAATCGACCAAAACTTCTTGGAGTAGAGAGTTCCTGGCGTAGAAGACAATGGCTGACCCAGCGAGGGACATGACGCCGCCAAAGATCTTGACGTGCATCCAACCATCTTCACTGGAACCGGTGCCACGCAGGATGCTCCCGCCGATGGGCGCCATGGTGAGGGCGGGAAGCGAGAGAATGAGCATGACGACGCCGATCCGGTAGCCGATCTCGGGCAGGGGGGACACGGACGCCGGCAGGGCGGCGAGGAGGCTTACGAAGGCGCCCGAGAGGATGCCGAAGGTGGCGGCGAAGCCGATGGTGGCCGACTGGTATGTCGCCGGGATCCAAAGGGCCAGCTCGAAGTCCCCCGAGATGGCACCGGCGATGACGAAGACGTTCCATCGGCCGGCGAGATCAGACAAGTATCCAGAGCCCAGACGGCCGAAAAGACTTTTTGTAATGTAAGCAAAGCTTAGCCTTGCGGGTTCGCCTTGCAATGGGGTTAAACTCACCTCGCGCCGTTGAATATGGCCTCTCTTCACTCGGATCGCCATGGATTCGGAAACGTGTGCCTGCTCCAAAGCCTGCAAGGCCAAGTAGTTGACGGGAATGAAGATGCCGTACATCAGAATAAACATTCCAAACAACATCATGACAAAAGGGAACTCCTTGAAGGGAGCGACCAGGGTTGCAGTGGGCGTCTTCTTGGCCACTGGCGGTGTTCTCGTCCGGAGGGTGAAGATTGCGAGGATTTGCAAGGCCAAGATGAGAAAAGCGGCGATGCGCATGGCCCAGGGATACCCGGTGCTCGGATTCTGGATCAGGCGGTCAATCATGATGGGGAAGATGACGCCGCCGAGAGACGAGCCAGTCACCATGGCGCCCATGGCAAGGCCTCTCTTTTTCTGAAACCATGTTGCGATGGTCGCAATCGCTGTTGTGGGTGTACTGTTAGCAACTTGAAGAAATCGAGATTTCTCCCTAACTGGAGGTCGTGGGACCTGGCGCTGGAAAGAAACCTACCAGGCGAGTAAATAAAGCTGAGGCCGATGGCACTGCAGACGCCCTGGGCCAAGAGGAACTGGTAGTACTCGGTTGCCAGGGATGCCATCATGAGCCCAAAGACATGCAAGAAGGTGCCGAACACCAGGAGCGGCGTCGGGCCATACTTGTCAAACAAGAAACCGACGGCAGGTCCTAGGGCAAAGAGGAAAAAGATCTCGAGCGAGGGGATCCATGAAATGGTGCTGCTCTCGTAGCCCTTGAGGGGGCCCAATTCGTAGTAGGTTTGAAAGACCCCCACGCCTAAGGTACCAAACGAGTTAGCCTCAGTTAGAGCCAGAGTACCGAGATGGAGAAGAAGTTGGTGCCGGATAAATGTTCTCCGTGCCAGCATCGGGACGGGCCGGCAAAAGCTTACTGTTCATCCAGCCGAAGCTAGTGAAGGAGCAGCACCAGGCGCCGAGAACGGCGAGCCAGGCCGCTGTTCCGCCATCCGGGGGGCCCTCGGGTTGGACCGGGACCCCGTTCTCCGACTTGATGTCAGGACTAGGAGCCAGTGGTGATTCGTTGGATCCCTCCCTCGTGTGAGTTGTATCGCCAGTCTCGCTGTCGGTTGGGGCAGCCTTTTCAGGCCTTTCTAAAGACATGTTTTCTTGTTCGCGAAGACGAAGAGCACTTTGGGCCGGGTAACGAGAATTGAGAGCTGTCCGAATCAGAGGCAAAGAATCCCGCGACAATAAGACAAGGGGGAAATTGGTGACGGTGTCGTATTAATTTGTAAAGCAAGTAACTCAAGCTGGAATCTGGAAGCCTTCAAGGTCTATGTTCATGTCCTTCAGTCTGTTTTCAATCTCTTGTCGTTGACTCGTTTACATAACACGGCACCCGAACTCGCTGGCTTACAAATAATTTGGTTCCGGAGCCGGGTCCGGAAGCAAAATGCATCGGCACCTTACAAATGACAAAAACCACGTTGCGCTCGAAAAGGTACCTGGGCAATCGCCCGAGATCCGGTGGCGTTTTTGGGTTGCAATAAAGATGCGGGCTCGTCATGCCGGACGGAATTTGAACCGCGTTTCGTCGACAATCCTAACCGACACCGATCGCCGAGTAAGGCTTATCTCCCATGTTGCGTCTTTGGAGCCGGCTACCGGCACGGGTCGCTTAAGATATTTGCACAAGGTTGCGTCCCCAATGCGTATCGGAGCTGCCACGTTACGTAAGGTATGGGCATGTAGTTAGTTACCGTTGAGGTAACTAAGGTAAGATGGCACGTGTCAACGTACCTGACTGTGCTTGCTGCAAGGTGTGGCTATACTTCGTACCTCGTACTTCGGAATATTTTCCTATTGAGAGGAGGGCCTGCTCTGCTCTGCATTCCTAGATAGGTAGGTCCCTTGGTAGGCACCGACTCACCTAGATATTCGTACCCCCACCTAGCTCGTCGTCAGTTAAATGAGGTTTGCATTTCGTGGCGCGATGCCTGCGGGAGGTGGGAGTCTGGGAGTTGTTTGGTGCAAATCATGGGCCTTGAATTAAGCTTTCCGCGGCAACCCCCCCGCTCCGTGCCGCCACCTTGCAGCTCCCACACCCCACCCTTGCGCCAGTTGAAAAGCTTATCATTGGCACATCCGCGGTGTTCGCCTGGGATGGATTTATCCATTTTCGGCCCCCCTCGCCTATCAGGCGTATTTCCGAAGGATCATGGGAATAGAACGGAGTGTGTGCTGCGACGATGTGCATGAAAGCGCTTCATGTCGCCGTAAGCTGCAGCTCGTCAATTTGTCCAATTTTCCGTCGGGGTGATTTGCGTAGGATCTTACTCGACGTTGCAGAGATTTTGAAGGTTCGCTGCAAGGTCAAGCAGGCGACGGGGGCTGTGATCCTGTGAATGTGCAAGGAGAGCTGAGGGCTCGGTCACCACGAGAAGATTGCGTGATGGGTGGCTCCGAGTGAAAAGCGTGGTTAAATCCGCTCACCGTGCAACCAACTTTACCAAACGGGCCCTCTTTTCCCCTCGTCATTCTTGTTCATCCAGTCAATTCCCTTAGCTCGGACTTTATTTCCGATCGATCGTCTCTGCCGCCTCAATCTCTCTGCACCCTCTGCACGTGGCATACGGCATACAGCACACCATGTCACCTGCACATCGCCAGTCTTGCGATCGCTGTCGGCAGCAGAAAGTAAGGTGCTTACGAGACAACACCCATTCTGCTTCCCTGTATTGCGACCGTTGTACAAAAGCAGGGGCGGACTGTGTGTACAGTGGTATGTTTCAGACTTTCTTCTCACTGTACTGACTGCACCTGGACGGCATACAACCTTGAACCTTTTTCTCATGGTCCAGTAACATTATTCGGCGGGAAATAAAACCTTTAGAGTTACCCCCGCTGTCTTCCACTATATCAAATTCCATGTAAACTTGTTAAAACCGGAAGAATGGTGGGGACCGCGGTACGGGTCTGATTTGGAGCCATTGAGGGCGGCACTGGGAAACTGGAGTCCGGGACGGGACCAAAACATGACAAAAACCCAGCTAGCGGACCAAGCTGACCAATCTTTCGCAGAGAAACGACGAGGCTATCGCCGGCGCTGTTCCGTCCGCTCGCCTAGTGAAATTAAAGGCACAGATTGTTTTGACCTTGGGTCGGCGTTTGGTAATGTTGATGGGACCCCCAGGTCATCAACGGCTCCCTCTCACGGCATTACCGCCTTGATGGGCCCCCCTTCTTCCGACCTGCATGTTCATGTCGAAGAAGGCGAGACGGGGGCCGGTGGTTTCGGTGCGCCGGACGCCGATCACCACCTGCTGCCACTTCAAATTCCCACAACTTCGCTGGAGTCATTCGCCAGCTTGCTAGCAGAGGCTGCATCTGTTTCATCCATGCCGGCGGTGCCATATTATAGCGCCACCGCCCCAGCTCCATTGGTGGAGATCGACGCCGACCATGAAGACACAACGAGCTTCTTGTTCTCACAGCTCACGGCCGTAAGCCAAAGGGCCATGCGGACAGCACGCCGTCTCGCCCGCTCCGGCAAAGGTGTAGATGCAACCAACCTGATGGTGTCGTCGCCCGAGGTGAACGAGGCGTTGGAGGACACGAATACGCTGATAAGCACCGTCAACGACATTATGACAATAGCCGAGACAGCAGGCCACGACGACTCCACGGTGACGACCGATTGCGCCGGACTGGCTTTCTCCGCTCTCGCTTGTCACCAAAACCTCATGACGCTCTTCCGAGCCATTTGCGATGCCATACAGGGTAGACTTCAGGCCCAGAAAGAAGAGCGGGAACAGCAACGACAACAACCACAAGAACAACAGCAACACGCCACCCGAGACAACAGCGCCATGGGACCTCTCAACGTCGCTCAGTTCGTCATGGTGCTGCAACTGCTGATGCACCTCATCAGCCGCATGGGCCGCTTCCTGGTGATATCGCACACGGGGACTGAGCAGGAGAGCCGGTTCATCGCGCCCGCGGCCATGCTCGACTGCAGTACTATGGTCACTGACGGGTATGCCGCGGACAACGCTTCCGGTCAGTCCTCTGGCTCCTCAGCCACACCAGTCCACAACTCGACGCGCCGCAGTGGGCTGCTTGAGCATGTGCGAGATATTGTCGGAAACATACCCAGTGAGCACGACAGGCTGAGGCTCATGATTCGGGTGTTGCAGGCAGAAATGGATCATGCAGAAATATACTAAGGAAGAGGAACGAGATGTTGACGGTGCACCGTATTCATCTTGAGTTGTGGCTACATGTAACTAGAGACTTAAGAGGGGGTTTGGGAAGCGAGTACATGGCGCCCCCTATTCTATACCCAGAACAAAAAAAAGCATTTGTTTACCCAACCCCCTTAATCCAACCAATTCCCCTTACCCTCCCTCAGAACGCCATGTGCTTCTTCAAAAAGTCAAACTGCCTCTGCAGAATCTGCTCCAAATCCTTGAACATCCAATCCAAATGGCCACTCCCCTTCAAGATATCCAACTCCTTGGGGTACCCCATCTGGGTGAAGCAATGCAGCTGATCATCCAGGGGACTGGTCTCATCCAGCTCGGGCGCGACCATCATCGCCGGCGTGGGAGCAACGTACTTGACAACATGCAACAGGCTCCAGCCCAGCACCTTGTAATACGTCTGGACCGAGATGCGGTTCTCGAGCGCGATGCCGAGCCGGTCGAGCGCGGGCACAATCTCGGGCGCCATCTCCTGCCCGTTGGGCATCTTGCCGTCCTCGTCGATGTACGGCAGGTACATGGGGCTCTCCTCGGCCGTCTGCAGCCGGCTCGCCCGGTCGTGGATGGCCAGCTCGAGGAGCGGCTTGCGCCGCTCCGCGCTGCCGTCCGTGTTGATCATGGGCGCCATCGCGATGGTGGCGGCCACGCGCTTGCTGGAGTGGGAAGTTGGGGTTAGCTTCTGGGCGGATCTTTCGTCCGAAGACCGGATGGCTGTCCACACGTACTCGAAGGCCGTCGCTGCAAGGGTGACGTTTCCTCCCCAACACAAACCCCACAGTGCAATCTTGGTCTCGTCGACCAGGGGGTGTTCCTTGATCCAGGTCACGGCGTCGTGGAGGTCTTCGATCTGCTGCCGAGGGTCGATCTGGAAAAAGAAGCCGAGAAGGTTAGCGGACATAAGAACGTTGAAAGCTTGCCGGGTTTTGCAGATAAATAAACTTAAATACCTCATTTCTGGGCTCTCCTTCGCTCGCGCCGATGCCGCGCGGATCATAGAGAAGCGTGGTGACGCCGTGTTCCTGGAACCACCTCGCGATGTCGGGCAGGTTGGCCTCCTTGGGAAAGTTGAACTACAGCAGCCCAGGCACACACCCCATGCGTTAGCTTCCCGCCGTCTTGTTTTTCAAGAGTTAGGTAGGTCGTTACTTACCCCTGGCGTCATGATCATGGCCGGGCCACGCGAGGCGGCGGCAAACAGCCATCCGCGCAGCTTGGTGCCGTCAAGAGTCTTGATATCTACATTGAGGTGAGGTGAGGCCGCGTCCGCCATTTTGTGTGTTTGGTGTTCGGGGAGGAGAGTAAAATGGTTTGGGAAGATGGCGGAGACAAGTGTAGGGCTGTGCTGACTACCTGCTCACAAAAGTTCCAGCGACCGGTTAGATAAGAGGGAAAATGTGGATAATAGTCATGAATGGAAACGGCCGAGATGGAAGATTCAATATGAATTTGAAGATGGAAACTCATGTGTGGCCATTTCAGGGGTAATCAACCAACCATGTTAGCCGGCATCCGAGAACACGATCTGTCTCTCCTGCAACCCGAAAGAAAGTGCTGACGGTGCTGCCCCTGTAGATGACCGATCGGGTCCGACCAATTCATGGAACTCGGGCATCATCGGGGTTGAGTCGCATCGGCTCTACCCCTGTACGGCCGGGGCTGGGTCGGTGATCCCGGCTTACGTTCCATATTAGACATTCTCCGACTCGGAAATACAACGATCATCAGGGAGGCGGTCTCGAGCGCCGGACGAAAGGTAGGTAGGCTAGGCAATTCCCTTGCTGTCGCATTTTGCTCCAAACACCTGCAAAGTGAGACGAACTACAGCAACCACGTTCCGGCGGAGTCTAGTTAGTAGCTTCTTGTTAACTACATGCACCTTGTGCCAAACATGGCGGTGAAAACATTGCAGCGTTATGGAATTGAACTTTTCTTCTGAATTAAGTGATTTTGTTTAAGATCTCATTTGATAATAGTAGGTAGGCAACTTAATACACACAACACATGTCATCATCCAAGCATTCGAGCTGAGATACAGTTCGGTAAAAGTCATGTCAAGCGATAGCTGTATAAATTGTACAATTCACACATGTACCTATGTATCCCCTACGCCATGAGCGGCACAATCAGCGTCTTCGTATTATGCACCCTCCCCGTCTTCAAGTCCTCCAAAGCCGCGTGCAAATTGTCAAGGCCGCCGCCCAACACTTGAGCACCATCCGCCAGCGTCCAGTCGGCCTGCACGTCCCGCCGCGTGTACTTGATGGCGATGGCATTAGCGGGCTTTTTAAGGCCAAAGTAATACGACAAGCCGGAGCCGGACCCAATGGCCTCGTAGCACATCTTCATGGAGACATCATCGGCGGTGCAGTCCAGCGCGTAAAGCAGGCCATTGTCGGTGTGCACGCGGATGTCGGCGCCGCACGCTGATGCGTCGCTGTCGAAGCACGCGGCGGCGCCATATTCCTGGCATAGGGCGTTGTCGGCGGGCGAGCAGGTGACGATTGGAGTGTAGCCGGCCATCTTGAGGAGCTGTGTGGCCAGGGTGCCGGTGGGGGTTGCGCCGCCGGAAACGAGCACAGTGGCGTTGTTGTTGTTGTTGTTGTTGGCGTCGCCGTGCATCATCGACAGTTGGCCGACGGCGGCAAGCCCCATCCCGATCGAACATGCCTCGGCAAAGTCCATGGCGTCGGGCACAAGGCAGCTGTTGTCCTGCTCGGCCAGCGCATACTCGGCAAAGGCGCCTCCTGTGCTCTTGCCCGTGGCTCCTGGGCCGAAGGAGCACGCGAGGACGCGGTCGCCCACCTGGAACCGCGTCACGCCCTCGCCCAGCTGGGCGACAGTACCGGCAAAGTCGCAGCCGCCGCCGCCGCCGATTGACCCGGGAGCAGCAGCGTTGGAGGAGTAGTCGATTATCTTGCTGGCATCGCGGGGGTTGAAGGCGACCGAGTGAACGCGGACAAGTAACGTGCCGCGTGGAGGGACGGGAATAGGGGCGTCTTGGGCGAGGCGGTAGCGGGCGCCCACAAGAGCTCTCATAGTCTCCGACATTGTGATTGATAGATAGGTAGGTAGGTAGGTAAATTTAGGGTCACGGAATGTCACAAAAACAGACTTGAGAATCTCTGATCTCTGAGTTGATGGATATATCATTACATCTATCCCTTTCTTTTCTCAGAACTTGAACCCAACCTTGCTCAACATTCCTTGTCCGTGTTCTGGACTTGTGGAGCGTGGCTCAATACAAGAGTAACGAATCAAGCGGCGCAGCAAAGGCCCGTTCCGTCATGCATAGTCCCGATTTCCGATCGGGCCAAGAAACTAGTGCCGATGCCTGTATGTAAATACGTCTAAAAATAGTCACGGTCTTAAGGACGAACACAAGAGCGGCCGGAATTTCCGATCGGGCCGGAGCAGTAATACCGATCCAGGTAAACATTGAAACTGCACATCGGCACCAACCAGGAGTGGTAAACGCCGCCTTGGCTCAGACTTGTACCGGTTGCAATCCGAACAACGGCCGCTTCCGTGTTTCGTCTTGAGCCTCATGTTCCCGTATCTCTTCAATCCTGTCGGACCGGAATCGGAGCCGCCACTGTGATGTCGCTACCAGAGAGTTGCAAGTGAAGACCGACTAGGCGAAGAAGCCAAGACCAGAACGCGTTTTGTTTCTGAACCCGATCTGCCAAGAATCCACTCCTCCGGCTGGATATAGTCTACCTGAATCCTCGAGCTTGATGTCGTGGAAATGTCATTATTCGCAGTATCATTACTCCAGCTTGTCCCAGGACCGAGGAAGTAGTCTCGAACCAGACGAATTCGTCTCAGTGCCCTCACCTGAATCCAAGCAGCAGACTCAGCCCCCAGAGTCTCAACACTCGCCCGCCTGTCATCCATCGTCATCTAAGGTATTCTCCTGACCCTGCGTCACCATGGCCCGTCAGCCCGAGATTTTCGCAAGCGAGCCCATTGCCATTGTGGGCAGCAGCTGCCGTCTCCCGGGCGGCGCAACCTCCCCGTCCCGGCTGTGGGATCTCCTGGAGACGCCTCGCGACGTGGTGCAGAAAATCCCGGCGAGCCGCTTCAACACTGAGCAATTCTACCATGCAGACAGCCAGCACCATGGAGTAAGCTCCCGCCCCGCCCCTTTAGACATGTATGTGAGCAATTGTCTTACCAAAAGCCCAGAGTACCAACGTCAAGCATGCCTACCTCCTTGAGGAAGATCCGCGTGGCTTCGACCGTGACTTCTTCTCTATCAACCCCAAGGAAGCCGAGGCTATGGATCCTCAGCAACGGATGCTCCTCGAGACGGTATATGAGGGAATAGAATCTGCCGGGTACTCAATGCAGCAGCTGCGTGGATCGTCCACGGCTGTGTTTGTCGGCTGCATGTTCTACGATTACCAGTACACAGCAATCCGGGGCGTCGATAGCCTGCCTCAGTACCACGCGACGGGAACTGGGTCATCCATCTTGTCCAATCGGGTATCGTACTTTTACGACTGGCACGGTCCGTCGGTCACTATCGACACAGCCTGTTCGTCGAGTCTGGTTGCCATGCATCAGGCAGTCAGTGCCCTCCGGAACGGCGAGGCTCGCATGGCTGTTGCGGCCGGCTCGAATCTTATCCTGGGTCCTGAGCCCTTCATTAGCGAGTCCAAGGTTTGTAACTTACCACCCCAAGCTGTCGCCTGCACCCGCTCGCCGTCTGTTCTTTATGATACCTATGTACTAACCCCTCTCTACCTTAGCTCAACATGCTGTCGCCAAACGGGCGATCGTTTATGTGGGATTCGCAGGCAGATGGATACACGCGCGGCGAAGGCTTCGGTGTTGTCTTCCTCAAGACGCTGAGCCAAGCCCTGGCCGACGGGGATCACATTGAGTGCATTATCCGTGAGACGGGCGTCAACTCGGACGGAAAGACGCCGGGCATCACCATGCCGAGCCACGAGTCCCAGGCGCGGCTCATCCGGGACACGTACGCCAGATGCGGTCTCGATCTTTCGCGAGAATCCGATCGTCCGCAATACTTTGAGGCTCACGGCACTGGCACGCCGGCGGGCGACCGTGAGTACCTAACCAAGTTCCTCGTCAACCCGTTGGTGGTAGACTTGCACTGACAAACCATCTTCCTTTTTCTCTGCCTTAGCAATCGAAGCCCGCGCGATCCAGAGCGTTTTCTTCCCCAATGACACAGACGCCGACAAATATGAGCAGCGCGAGCTTATGGTGGGTAGCATCAAGACAATAGTCGGCCACACCGAGGGCACAGCCGGTGTTGCGGGAATTCTTAAGGCGTCGTTGGCCCTGCAGCACGGCCGCATCCCGGCGAACCTGCACTTCCAGAACCTGAACCCCAAGATCCAGCCGTACTACAACAACCTCCGCATCCCGACCGAGACAGTTCCCTGGCCCACCATCCCCCAGGGCGGCGTGCGGCGAGTCAGCGTCAACAGCTTCGGCTTTGGCGGCACGAACGCCCACGCCATCCTCGAGAGCTACGAGGGAGGCGGTGCCGGACCTGCCGACGAGGGTTCCGACTCGGGCTTTGACACGGCCTCGACCTCCTCCCAGGCAGAATCCGGTGTCGGTGACGGTGACCACGGGCTCAAGCTCAAAGAAGCCCAGGAGGCTGCGGTCGGGCCGTTCGTCCTGTCGGCCCACTCGAGCGCCGCTCTGGCCGCCAACGCCAGCGCGCTCGCCAGCCATCTCCGCGCCCACCCGGACAAGGTCGACCTCACAGCCCTGGCATACACGCTGTTCCGGCGCACCCCGTTCGCCTTCCGCGCCGCCTTCTCCGCCTGCTCCACAGCCGAGCAGCTCGCTTCCAAGCTCGAAGAATCCGTCAAGACTCTCGAGCGCAAACCGGGCGTCCCTTCGACCTTCCCCGACGCCCTCCCGCCCCGCATCCTCGGCATCTTCACGGGCCAGGGCGCGCAGTGGGCGACCATGGGGCGGGAACTCTACCACGGCGCCTCCGCCGCAGGGCCCTTCCGCGTCGCCATCGACGCCATGCAGCACAGCCTGGACACGCTGCCCGCTGCCGAGGACCGCCCGACCTGGCGGCTGGCCGACCAACTCCTCGCCGACAGGGAGACCTCGCGCGTCGCCGAGGCCGCCATCTCCCAGCCGCTGTGCACGGCGCTGCAGGTCGCGCTGGTGGACACGCTGCGGGCGGCGGGGATCGAGTTCGCGGGCGCGGTGGGGCACTCGTCGGGCGAGATCGCGGCCGCGTACACGGCGGGCTATCTCAGCGGCGCGGACGCCATCCGCGTGGCCTACTACCGCGGCCTGCACGCGCACCTGGCCAGGGGGCCCGGCGAGGGTGCCGGGGCGCGCGGCAAGATGATGGCGGTGGGGATGGGCTGGGAGCAGGTGACGGTGTTCTGCGCCGAGTTTGACGGCGCGCTGGTCACGGCCGCGAGTAACTCGGCCACGAGCTGCACGCTGGCGGGCGATGCGGACGCGGTGGATAGGGCCTTTGTGCGCTTGCAGCATGAGGGTACCTTCGCGCGGGTTCTGCAGGTCGACACGGCGTACCACTCGCATCATATGAAGCCGTGCGCGGACCCGTATATCAAGTCGTTGAAGGAGTGTGGTGTGAAGGTGCAGACGCCGCAGAAGCGCGGCGGCCAGCAGCAGTGTCGGTGGTACTCGAGTGTGTGGGACAACGATGACCACAAGGCGGATGGTAAGGTTTTCGAGGGCCAGTACTGGGTTGACAACCTGACGCGGCCGGTGAAGTTTAGCCAGGCGTTGGCGCGGGCGCTGGACCAAGACCACGTCTTTGATCTGGCGCTTGAGGTTGGGCCCCACCCCGCACTCAAGGGACCGGCTTCGGAAACGATTAAGACGTTGTCCGGTGGTGTTGTCTCGCTGCCCTACACCAGCGCCCTGAAGCGAGGGCAGAATGCGGTGGAGTCCTTCACGGATGCCCTGGGTACCCTTTGGTGTCTGTTCCCGTCGCCGCCCACTGGACGCCCTATGATCACCTTTGACGGCGTGCGTCGGGCCTTGCAACACGATACCGCAGACAACATGGAGATGGAAGATCTCAAAGTCCTGAAAGGTCTGCCGCCTTACTCGTGGAATCATGCCACTCCCATCTGGAAGGAGTCGCGGGCCTCTCGTCTCTTCCGCGTCGGCAACCGCCTCGGCCACGGCCGACACGAGCTCTTGGGCCACCCTGTCGTGTATGGCGGTGGCGCGCGCGACAGCAAGCGCGAGGTGCACTGGAAGCAGGTGCTCAGACTTCAGGAGCTTCCTTGGCTGGCTGGGCATGTCATTCAGGGAGAAGTCTTGTTCCCGGCGTCGGGCTACCTGTCCATGGCGTACGAGGCCGCGCTTCAACTTGCTCTCGACGATGACGAGAAGAAACAGAGACGGGTCCAGCTCGTCGAGCTCCATGATGTCGACATTGTGCGCGCGATGCGCCTCGAACAAGATTCCGGTCTGGAACTGGTACTTACTGTTCGCGTGACGAGCCAGTCGGACGACTGCATCACTGCCCAGGTGGCATGCTACAGCGGACCCGTCGACGCGCCGCAACCGCTAGACGCGCCGCAGACGTCACTTTCAGCCCACTTCACCGGAGGGGTGCGGCTATGGCTCGGCGGGTTCGAGTCCGATAAAGAGGAGGAAGGTAATGTCCTGCCTCAACGGGCCGGGGAGAGTGCCAGGCCCCTGCCGATGGACGCACTGGACATGGACAAGCTCTACTCCAGCCTGGCTGAAGTTGGTCTGCAGTACGCCAGCCCCTTTAAAGCCAAAGCCATCCTACGCCGCCTTCACCGCACCACGGTGACCTTGGCCACGCCGCCCGAATCCTCGGCGCTCCACACCTGCATGCATCCTGCCCCTATCGACACGGCTGCCCAGGGTCTGCTCGCTGCCTTCTCCTTCCCGGGCGATGATCGCTTGTCAACCATCTACTTGCCAACAAGGGTTGACTGTGTCCGGATCGTCCCCCCAAGCAGCCGACTCTCTGCGGCCCACAACGGGAATGACGACCCCAGCCAGCAGCAACTCACTGCCGACGCGACGGTGACCTCGACAGCCGGCTCCACTATCGTGGGTGACATTGACGTCTTTAATACGGCCGACGAAGTCAAGGTCCAGATCCGTGGCATTTGCCTGACAGCGGTAGGCCAGCAGCGCGATGCTTGGCTATACGCCGGAACGAAGTGGATCCGGGATGCAGACTCAGGCATCGAACCGGAGCGTACGTCGACGATGACCGGGGAATGGGACGCTCAGTACGAGGCGCTGTCTCGCGCGGCCTACTTCTATCTCCGGCAGTTCCGCAAGATCCTACCGCAGGAGATGATCATCATGAGCAAGTCGTACAAACGCAACGTGAAGTGGACGCTGGAGTATCTGCTGCCGCAGATTGAGAGCGGCGCACACCCGAGCTTGCTCGGGTTCAAGGCCGAGTGGAAAGACGACACGCGCGAGATCATCCAGGCTCTGAGAGAGGAGAGCATCAGCAGCCAGAAGAATGACGTGGAAAGACACCACTGCGAAATGCACTGGGACTTCCTGCGTTCCGTGGGCGACAAGCTCATCTCGGTCGTCCGCAGCATGACGCCGTGGGTGCGCATCTGGACTCCCCAGCAACTCGAGTGGGTGTATGCCGACGGGATCGGCTACCGCTCCGCCAACCACAACGCGGCCGCTTACATCGCCCAGCTCGCGCACCGGTACCCGCGCATGAACATCGTCGACGTGGGCGCCGGCAACGGCGGCACCTCGGGGGCCGTGCTCAGGGCGCTGCAGGAGCAGCAGTTGCAGTACGCGTCGTACAACTACACCGACCGATCGCCCGAGATTCTCGACCGAGCCCGCGTCCTGCACGGCCACCACAAGAACTTGACCTTCAAGAAGCTCGACATCGACAAAGACCCGGCCGAGCAGGGCTTCCCGGACGCGACCTTCGATGTGGTCATCGCGTCCAACATCCTCCACAAGCTCACGAGCCTGGCGGACTCGCTACGCCGCTGCCGGCAGATGCTGCGTCCCGGCGGCCAGCTGATCCTGCTCGAGCTGACCGACGACTTCCTCATGTCCCAGATCGTCAAGCTGGCGCTGCCCGACTTTTTCGTCGGCGCCGAGGACGGCCGCGTCAACGGCCCCAACGTCGGCGTCGAACGATGGGACGAGCTCCTCCGGGCCACGGGCTTTGCGGGCGTGGACAGGACGAGCACCAAGACCGTCTCATACTGCTCCGTCATCGTGGCACACGCCGTCGACGACAAGGTCCAGCTCCTGCGGGAGCCGCTTGCAGCCGCGCCCGAGGCGTTGGCACCGTCGCTAGGCGACGTCTTCATCGTGGCTGGTGGCGGTGCGACCACTCCCGACCTGGCATCCCAGTGCCAGACCCTCCTGCAAACCGCCACACCATCCACCACCGTCACCATCATCCCCAGCCTCGATGCCGTAAGCGCAGCCGACAACATTTCCCCCGGCTCGACCGTTCTCTGCCTGGCCGAGCTAGACCAGCCCGTCTTCCAGAGCAGCGACGAAAACGATGCAGTGGCGCAGCGTTTCCGCGGACTGCAGGAGCTGATGTCCACGGCCGGGTCTGTCCTGTGGGTGACGGCGGGCGCGCGGTCCGGGCGCGATCCGGTCGCCAACATGGTCGTCGGCATGGGCAGCACGCTGCGGGCCGAGCGCGGCTCGTCGCTCCGGCTGCAGTTCCTCGACGTCGACACGCCCTCGGCGCTGCTGGAGGTGCCGAGTGCGGGCCCCGCCTTGCTAGCTAAGCTGCTCCTCCGCCTCGCTATCTTCAACCCGGCGAGCGGCGATGACTTGTTTTGGACGCAAGAGCCCGAGCTGGCACTGGGTGACGACGGCGCGCTCTACATCCCCCGCGTGTTGGCGCTTGATGCGCCGAATCGGAGGAACGCAGCCCGGCGACGTGCAGTCACGCAGCAGGTTGCCCTGCCCTCGAGGTCGGCAGGGGAGGCTGTCGTCCTGGAGCGTGGCCAGGAGGCGGCATGGGAGCTGAAGATAGCCGCGCCGCTTGGAACCACGCCGAGTGGGGAGGGTAAGGGAGGGGTGCGCGTGCAGGTTACTGCGTCTTCCTTGCAGCAATTCACCTGCAGCAACGGCGGCTCGTCTTCGGAATTGTATGTCTGCATCGGCCGAGACGTGGCATCTGGCGATAAGGTTGTCGCCCTTTCCGCAGTGAATGGCTCTCTTGTCTCCATTGCTAAAGACCACGTCTTGCGACGCTGGTCGCAATCCGACGAAGGAGACGACTTGGCATGGCTGCAAGCATTCCTGGCGCAGGCATCTGCCAGTCGCCTGCTCCTCGATGTCCAGGGCCCCGCGTGGATCCACGGTGCTCCGGTGCAGCTCGGCGAAGCTCTCGAGGCGGTGGCCCGCAAGAAGGGCATCGCCGTCTTCCAAACCACGTCGACAGCAGGCGCAACTGGCGTGGCGACCTTTGTGCACCCTTACGCGCGGGAGGATGATTTGTTGGCTCTCCCGCTTCCTGAGGGCCTGCGGACCTTTGTCGATCTCTCACCAAGCCAAAGTGGCGCTGCCATTAAGGCTATCTGCTCTGCCCGGTCGATCGAGGTCAAGCAAGCTGAGCGGGCTGGTCTGACGGCCGGTTTTGAGGCCTGCGAACTGGAGCATCTGGCCAAGAACCATGACGTCGTCTCGGACAGCGGTAGCGTCGGCGAGAGCGCTGTGACGCTTGAGCAGGCTTCGGCGGGACAGCTGTCCGTGGAGCAGCAGCGCTCCCCCACAGCCGTGGTGGACTGGCGCGCGGCCGAGACAGTCACCGCTGACGTCTCCCCGTTGAAGCACAGCGGCCTGTTTGCGCCCGACAAAACCTATCTCCTCTGCGGTATGACGGGCGACATGGGCATCTCGGTGTGCCTCTGGATGGCTGAACACGGCGCCCGCCACGTGGTGCTGATGAGTCGGAACCCGAAGATTTCGCCTCGTATCCTGGACCACCTAGCCGGGAAATTCGGCGCCATCGTGCGCCCCATGGCCGTCGACATCACCAACCTCTCCAGCCTGCGCGCCGCCGTCACCGCCCTCAAGACCGACATGCCTCCCATCGGCGGCGTGATGAACGGTGCCATGATCCTACGCGACCGTCTCTTCCAGAACATGCCATGGGACGACTTCTCGACCGTGCTGGGCCCCAAGGTCGCCGGTTCTCGCAACCTGGACGCCGTCCTGCGCGACGACGAAACGACAACACCACTCGACTTCTTCATCTGCCTCTCGTCCATCACGTCTATCGCCGGCAACGTAGAGGCAGTCAGCCTACGCGGCCGCCAACCAATACATGACCGGCCTGGTGCGACAACGCCGCCGGCGTGGGCTGGCGGCGTCGGTGCTGCACATCGCCATCCTCACGGGCTTCGGCTACATCCACCGCAGTGACGCCGCGCACGCCGAGACCATGAACAAGGCGCTCCGCACGCGCTACAACAACCAAGCAGAGCCGGACCTGCACGCGATGCTGGCCGAGGCCGTTGTCGGCGGCCGTGTCCGCGACAGTGACGGGGACGGCACGACCGGTGCGGAGCTCATCACGGGTCTGCGCACCGTGTTTGAGGGCGAGACCTCGAAAGACGCGCGTCTTGCGCGCTATCTGCGGGATGACGAGGGGGATGATTTGGGCGCCGGTGCGGAGGGTGGGGGTGCGGCGATGAGTGTGCAGGCACAGCTGCGCGAGGTGGGGGCCGATGATGACGCCGGCCAGCAGAGAGTGGTGTTGGAAAAGGCCTTCGCCATTGCGTTGGGCAAGCTGCTCGAGATGGACCCCGAGACGATCGACCCGGCGCGGCCGGTGGCTAGCCTGGGTGTCGACTCGCTGGTGGCGATTCGCATCCGCGAGTGGATGCTGCGTGAGATGGGCGTCGATGTCTCAGTCATCAAGGTCATGTCCGACACATATCCTATGTCGCGCATGTGCGACGACGTCTTGGTCAGTTGGGCAAGCACCGGAGGACGATAGCGGTCATTTATATGAATGGGAAGGCACCTAGAGGGAGGGATCGTACACGCAGCGAGCTTTAGTAGTGGGTTATTTCGGAGCAAAACTTAAAAAGTGCTACTATGTTCTATAAAAGAGAAATTGCAATTGAGAGCTGCGAATTAATACACAGTACCAAACATGAAAAAGAGAGTGCTTTTACCCTAACCCTCGCTCCTTTTATGTATTGTCAGGGCATACACTCGCAATGCAATAACTAACTACACAGAAAGTTTAGGTAATCTTCGTATCAATGTTTAACTAACTAGTTACTCATAACTAGTGTCTTGCCGTTCTTCTGACAACATGGAAATAAAGCCTACACAGGAACGTAGGACAAATGCTCTTCGCGAACGCTATCCAGCCCAACAAGCTCTTTTTGCCCTTCCGGTGCTCTTATCTAGGTACCTATAGGCCATAAGACAATCGCCGTCCTTAAGAGCGACCAAGATTCCTTCTTGCCCTCATCTCTAGCCTTAAATCCCGAGTCTCGTAAGAGTCGTATTTTCACTCCCTGATCAAGGATCATGAATAACCCCGCAGCGCATCGACTCAAACCCATGTCCCCAGTTGGAAGCACACCAACCGGGGTCGGACCCGCCGTAGGACAGACTCTTGCCAATGGAGGCTCCCGAGCAGCTGCCGTGCGTATAAAAGTCGCAGTAGCAGACGCCGTTGGGGAAGGTGCACTCGGCGATGCCGACACTGTTCTGGCCCGTCCAGCTGTAGTCGTAGCACGTCCAGTCGGTGCTCGGGTAGATGGATTTCATGTAGTTGGAGCATCCGCCGTCCGAATAATAATTGACCTTGATGTGCGCAGCGTTGACGGCGGTCGCCAAGAGAGCCGAAGCCGCGAGGGCAGTGGAGGAAGACAGAGAGAAGTGCATTGTTGTTTGGTGGAAAGATTGCGGGGAGCAATTCGGTGTTTGGTGCTGTTGTCTTTGTGTGTATGCCAACTTGAAGATCTGTGTCTATGAGGATGTGTGTGCCGGATCACAGACATCAACTCAAGCGGAATCAACGTGGTTTATATAGACTTTGCGGAACATACTAAGCAAGGTACCTAGGTATCTTCGTTTCAGTAAAAGAAACTCCGCGGCCTATCAATCAATTGGTGGAGCTGACTGGAATCACTGGATACTGGATGCTCAGCCATCTTGGCTCGTTCGGAGTTCCCCCAAATCAGACTCCCTCATCGATTCAATGTCTAAGAAAGGCAAAGCCAAACCCTTCACAACACCTATCGGACTGAGACTCGGAAGTGTCGATCGTTGTGGCTTGAGTTAGTCCAAAATATCCAACGAACCATGGACAGAAGGTGCATTGTCCTTACTCAGCAAACGGATCAGATGCCGTGGTGATTACTAACGGGGCAACGGTAGGATGGAAACTTGAGCAAAAGAACTCACGCCACGACCCAGCTTTAGAGAGCTATACGAGAGAAACGGTTCTAGTGGAGGAATGTAAGAGAAACCAGTATGTTTGAAAGCTTCCTTAGAGCGAATTTGCGAAAAAGCCATGCCCTTCAAGCACGGACTATCGTCCTGCCACCTTCGCTCATTCGTACAGTGCTATCTCTTCCTCTTTATACTTGTTACTTTGTTACTTGCTTTTCTCCATTAGACTCTTCCCCTTGAATGACCGGTGCTTAGTATGTGTGATGAAATGGCGGTGTATCTGCTTTGCATTTGCTCTCAGTCCTCCACTGTCTGCGGCAAACGCCAGCGCCGACTTGGCGCACTTTCCACTGCCCAGGTCCCGACACTCTGACAGCCGCACGGCAAATACATGTATTAAAGAGGCCGAAATTTATTCTGTGATTCTCAATTCTAACGGAACCCCCTTCGAATAAGCCCCAATGGTTTCGACAACCCTAGCAATAAATTGCTCAGGGAGCTGCCGAGTGGCATTTTCAGCTTCAGAAGCCATCACCTTTCGACTCGTGGCGAGAAACCGGTTTTTAAATCTTCCCAAAGCGCTTTATCCTCCTCGCACTTGGCGTCTGGGTTGGGATAGAACGGGTCGTTGCGCCAAAAACGTTCTGCCGCAAGTCGAATACCGTTGACGAGACATGGGAAGCTTCCCGCAGCAGTCAAAATCGAGAATCCGCAAGGCATGAGGGCCGAGCACGCCCGGGGTGAGGCGCCGCGTCCCAGGCGGGAGGGTTCAGCACAGACCACCGCGCGGGGCCGTGCGAGAACAAACTCGACATCGCAGGCATCAATCTTGGCGACCCAGAGCAAAAACGCAAGGGCATCTGCCATCGCGCTGGCGTATTCGTGTGTAGGGAGGCCCAGCGCTTCCATTTGGTCAATATGGAGTGGATAATTGCGAAGACTGATGGACTTGAACATGCTTCGCCGTTCGCCGGCCCCAGTTCCTACATGCACCCTGCGCCGGCCAAGATATGGGCGGATCAAGCAATGTTCGTTCCTCTTGTCGTTGATGATGGAATCCCTCAGGTCATCGCGGCCATTCCAAAAGTTATCCACCATAACCCTTCGAATATCGCGAGGCAAGGGGAGAATGCGTTCGCTGATCAGCGCTTGGCAAACTACGGATTCGGGGGGTAGTCGAGGGAGAATATCATTCCAACTGGGTGTTCCAGGCTGAAGGAATTGGATGTGGCGCGGGAAGTAGAACTGGAAGCCAGTTAAGAGTTCAGACTCGGAAACGATGCTACACAAGATATGCTTATGGATTTGCGCTTCATTTTCGAGAGATCGGTCTGGTAAACCGTCAGCTCGCTTCAGAACGAGCACTGATTCGCATCTGTCGATATCTGGAAACCTTGACGCGTCAGCCCACACACTGCCGCATGAACCGTACCCAATCCGCTCGAGCGGAGCGTCGAATTGAGCGATGCTGATTTCCTTGAGCGAATCCATATTGGCCGGCTCGTAAATCGTTGGTACTTAGCTTGCCCAGGTAAGGTACCTTAGTTAATTGCGCGGGTTGCAGGCCTTTGAGAAGTTTGTGGGACCAAGAGTGGCCAGATGTTGTGAGGGAGCCAATAGGTTCACGGGTACCCGTGGATTTAAAGGCTCACGGGTCCCGTGGTGATGACTAAGCCCGCCCTCTTCTCCGTTTCCTTTTCGGGCGCAACGCATCGCGTCTCTCCACAATAGTTAGTGTCGGAACCTGTAGTGACCGCTGGAAGAAGCTCTTAAGAATCGACAGAATGGATTGAGCAGGTCTGTCAGAAAGGATGGAAAAAGTGCTTTATTGACGACGCTGATGATGGCCAAGGAAGATTGTTCAGTAGGTAAAACGCAGGGGTTGTGGTGCGGGCACCAATCAACCACCAAGGTCCATTGAACGCAGCCATCATGGCGGCTTCGTGCTGACAGTTAACTCCCAACACGATATACTTCGTGCAAGTCATGATGAGTCTACCTTTGGCTGAAGTAGTCACGTCATTTCCTGACGATTGTCTTCCCCCGGAACTCGATTACGAATCGAGGGATGCCCTGTTCGTGTCTATCAACTCATGGGCTGCGACCAAGGGCTACGCATTCACTACTGGGAGGTCAACCAAGGAGAAGAGTGGCAGACAGACAATTACATATACATGTGATCGATCGTGTCGTCCTCCCAGCGTGTCGAGAGAGACGCCAGCGGAGGACAACTACCCGGGGAACCGGCTGCCAATTCTCAGTCCTGGCCAGAGAATCTCTGGATAAGGGTACTTGGACTGTGAGGCATCGCCCCGACAAACGGTTTTCCCTACACAATCATGAGCCAAGCCAGCATCCATCTGCTCATCCAGCACACCGTCAGCTGTCCAAGGACGATGCGACTCAATTGGCCAGTCTTGTAAACTCCGGTATAGCTCCTAAGGATATCAGAATGTATATACGACAGAACGGCAATTCTCTGGCAACCCAGCAGGACATCTATAATCGCATTGCGGCTACAAAACGAGACATTTGCGAAGGCCAGAGTACGATACACGCACTTGCCAACCAGCTAGACAGAGAAGGATTCTGGAGTCGAATGCAGTTTTCTCCAGATGGCCGGGTCACAGCTGTTCTCTTCGCCCATCCAGACTCATTGGCGTACCTTCAGGCCTATCCCGATACCCTCTTGCTGGACTGTACATACAAGACCAACAAATACGGCATGCCGCTTCTTGATATGATCGGGGTTGATGCTTGCCAGCGATCCTTCTGCATTGCATTCGCATTCCTTCATGGCGAGACCGAAGAGGACTACTGTTGGGCCTTGGACCAGCTGAGATCACTCTATGAGGTCTGCAATGCTCGAACCCCCTCTGTTGTTCTAACAGACCGGTGTATTGCATGTATGAACGCCGTTTCTACCTGCTTTCCATCTGCTGCTTCGCTGCTATGCTTATGGCATGCAAACAAAGCAATTCTTCGTCATTGCCAGCCAGCCTTCATCCGCCAGCATCAAGGACTGGAAGCGTGGAACGCGTTCTACAAGTTCTGGCATTTGATCATGAGGTAATGCTAGCCGGGCTGTGTCAGTTGGCTGCCCGGGCTGTGTCCCACTTTTTTGGCCAATGAGACAGCAGGGAATATTGTGCCCCTCCCCTGCAGTTCACTTGCCTTTCCATTGCCAACTTCGCTGACTTCTAACTTTACCGCCACGTCGCCGTCGCCGATATTCGGTGCGATGGATTTGCCGATAGGGACTGTTGCCATGTCACAACCAGCGTACGATATACCGAACCCACCAGACGGAGGAATTAATGGTCAGCCCGCTGCGACGATTAACGACCTGCAGGCTCATCTTCAGGCCCACGCGAGGGAGCATGGTTTCGCTGTTGTCCGACGCAACGGAGGCATCTATCGAGGGGACCCAAAGGAGCCTACGCGCTTCAAGATCTGTTGCGACCGCGATGCTATTAGCAAGGCTGAAGGTTTCGGTAACCGCAAGACAGGCACCTTGAAGAACAACTGCCCCTAGTATGGCGTTGCTTCTGCCCGTCTTGCTGATGACTGGCGCTGGACCTTTCAGCTCAAACACCCTTCCCATAACCACCCACCCTCTCTCGATCCATCCGCCCATAAGCTTCACCGGAAGTTGACGCCCACCCAGATGAACCTCCTCCAGACCATCTCAAAGCATAAGGCCATCGGATCGCGCGAGGCGGCTTCCATCGTCAGAGATGCTGTGCCTGGGTCTTTCGTCAAGCAGAAAGACATCGACAACGCCCGCCAGCGCCTGCGTCGCAGCGAGCTCAACAGCAGGACCGCTGTCCAACAGTTCATCAGCATCCTTCTTGACATGGGTTATAATCACCGCATCCAGTGGGCTGGAGAGGACCCTACCCGCCCTGTTGCCCTTGTCTGGACTTACCCATGGTGTGAGGGCATGTGGAGGAGATTTCCGGAGGTCATCGGGTTTGACAACACCTACAAGACCAACCGCTTCAAGATGCCACTCTTCCAGGTTACTGGCACTGCAGATACTGGGTCCTTGTACAACTGTGCCTTCGGTCTTGCGTCAACTGAACGCCGCGAGGGCTACGACTTCCTCCTCAAGTCTCCCGAATCATTAAGGGCCGAGATCCACGTCGAAAAGGACCGCTTTCAATTGCGCTCGTTGAACTCTCAATTGCCGTATAAAACAGGAAGCAGTGGGCTGGCTGTCTGTTGTCTCATTGGCCAGAAAAGTGGGACACAGCCCGGGCAGCCAACTGACACAGCCCGGCTAGCATTACTCTTGATCATAAGATCGCCAGATGAGGAGACATTCCACCAAGCGGGTGGAAGAGTTTGAGAAGCAGTATCTTCCACATCACATCGAAGAGGTTGGGATACATCAAAACCCACTTGGCTCGATCCATACAAGGAAAAGCTGGGTAAAGGCTTGGGTTGATCAATACCCTCACTTTGGCAACGTGGTAACCTCACGTGTTGAAGGTATCCATGCACTGCTAAAGGGGTACCTTAAGAGATCTACATTAGATCTTTTTGAGGCCTGGAGGGCGATCAAGCAAGCTCTACTCAACCAAATTGGGGAGCTGAGGTCCAACCAGACCACACAGCAGATTCGGTTACCGATTGAGCTCTCTGGATCACTGTACAGTGGGGTACGTGGTTGGGTGTCACACGAAGCTCTAAGGAAGGTCGACGAGCAACGGAAAATCCTTACCAGAAATGTGGGACTCGCGATGGCGATGTCTGTGGGTGCAAAGATAGGTTGACTGAGTACTTGGGAAGGAAAGCTATCTGCCTGCAAAATGTGGGAGGTATTTGTGGTCGGTTGCCCACCAGTGTGGGACCACAACAAGAAAAGACCCTCAAATATCGCCAACCTGTTCAGGTTCTTTCTCTCGATCTATGGGACTACCCTGCATTCATACATTGGAGGTTTTGCTTGGCCAGTACTCAGTCCTTCGACTTGAGCATTTCGCCTCGCAGTGGCATCTCAGACGTGATGGCACTCCTCAGTTGCTTCTGGAGCCTCGTCAGCGCATTGATCCTATTGCTGCTGATTCGACTATACCGCAGTCAAGTACCAGGCGAGAGCCTAGCGGGTTTGAGATAGCCGAGGCATCAGCACGGCCAAGGGCATTGCCCAGATGCAGCAGATGCCATGCGTTGGGTCATATGATGACCGCCAAAGCGTGTCCTCAGAGGCATACAGATCTATTACAGCGGGCTTCACTTGCAACAACAGCTATATCGTCAACAATCCAGCTCAACGCCAACGACACGCCCGGGTCGCCTACACCCCCGCCGCCTACACCCCCGCCACCTACACCCCCGCCACCTACACCCCCCCCAGCTTACGCTCAATCACCTTTGTCAAGTCCATCTTCAACTCCGGTAAACTACTGGGACCCGCGGGCGATCTATCAGAGATATGTTGAGGCAAGAGAAACTTGGTATAGAGCCCAACCACGTGGGAGCATCAAAACCAATCAGCAATGCCGGAAAGCAATGCGTTTACCTCTGCGATATAGCAAGGCAAGCTACGAGTGGTGCCTCGACTATAAGCAGATGACGAAGCACTGTACTACTTCAACAGGCTCAAGAGACTGGACGAAGGAGGAGATGATGGCCTACCTGGATTGGAGCAGAGCAGAAGATGATAGAATTGAAGCTCTAGTAGCTCAGGAGAGGGAACACGAGCCATTCGATACAGGGAGAAGAGGTGTTGGTGATATCTGGAGGAGGATAGAGAGGGATACTGAGGAACAGCAAGCTTTATATTTGTAACGGGCTGATAGGATCTTTCCATTTTTCTTTTCCTTCGTCCTCAGCTTACAACCTAGAGGTAGCGCCAATTGCAACAACATTGCCGCAGTCTCTTACAGTCCGCAACGTTTGCGCCCGAAAAGGAAACGCAGAGGGCGGGCTTAGTCATCACCACGGGACCCGTGAGCCTTTAAATCCACGGGTACCCGTGAACCTATTGGCTCCCTCACAACATTGTGAAATACACTTAGTCAGCTTCAGCGCACGGACATTTAGTGTGGGTCACCATTTGGGTTTGCCACTCCTGATATTAGAGGTATAACCCCCTGGTCTGGAATTTCAGAGCCTAAAGCAAACTTCACCGTCGCACAACGCATGATGCTTTTCCCCTTGCCCATGCTCTCGGTTGTCGAGTGTGGTAATCAAGTCTTGTTTTAACACATTCATATATGCTTGTATGAGAAGTCACGGTCCTCACTCCTCAGGTCCGACGTGTTGATTTCGTATCCAGTTGGGTGGGTAGGGTTCTTCTGTTGCGGATCGCGGGCGAGTGTCGGGTGACACCTCTATGGCGAATGCGATATCAGTGGCGGTGACCTTGTTGGCGTACTCGTGGTCCTGGTTCGTGAACCTTTGCAGCCGCCGTGCCCGCAGAGCGAGCTGTGACTTTTGCTGGAACATTGCCGTTCGTCAGCTGTTGTCGTAGGTCGGCGCTCAAGCGTCGACCTTGGGGGGAGGGGAGCCAATTGACAGACGAGTCTGGTCAAGCGCTCGGTCAATCGCGGCCGGGCCCCGGATGGGCCGGCGGGGAAGTGAATCGCTACCAGATGGTAAGCAAATGTGGCACGTGGTGCAAACAGAAATGTGCGTGAGAAGGTTCGTGAACCTCTGCAGCTGCCGTGCCCTGGCCGGCATATTCGTCCCCTTGCTCCCTCCACCATTTGGGGAAAGCGGGTAGAGATCTTCGCTTTTGTATCCAGTAGGTATTAATAGGAACTTTCTATTCTTGAAGACGGAAGCTTCTGAGAATAAACTCAACATCTATAGCGTCAATAGTAGTATACTAGTGAAGGACAGCGCGCCCGTGAGCCAACCTCCTTGATCTCCGTTGGCGTGAAGCGTGAAGTTTCGAGGGGTGAAACAGCGACTCCCGGACCCGTACTTCAAACACCCAAGACAGGGCCGAATAAGACAGTCCTTATTCCCCTCGTGATCTTTCATATCCTGGCGAGCTTGCAGTGGACAATATTTGTCAACTAGAGCGTGCCGGATGAGTCGGGGTGGGGGGAAGATACACTCCATTCAGATAATGTGACGAGGAACTGGAGAAAAGTGAGGGAGGTCTGGGAATCTCTCAAGATGCTCGTTCCAGAATGACTCAGCATTCGGGTTGGCGTACCAAAAGCAGCGAGAAATTTCAAGCTGATCAGAAATGTAAGGGACTGTTTTGAAACTCTGGTAGACCCTCATATGTTTCTCGTAGTTGTTCCAGAGCTTGTCGGCTTGGACGGCGACGGGAGCCTTGTAAACAAACACGGTTCTGGGGTACCCAAAAGCTCTGCCTAATTATAAAGCCAGTGCCGATCTCACGAGACATCGACTTGGTCCCAACCGCGGCCTGTTGTCTCTTAGCAAGTGAAGAGACAGTTGAAATGACCGATTTGATGGACAGCATTCTCTTGAGTAGCAATTCTGGTATCTCAAGTGCTTCCTCTTGTCCCAATCTCTCTTCGAGCTGCAGGCTGTCCATCGCGACTTGGGCCAGTGACTGGTCGACGGATGATTATTGCCAAGCGCCATATCGCTTGATGCCATGAGACGCCAGGAGGTCGGTGACACCGCCACCGGGGAAACAGGGGTTGCTGGTGACGACTCTTTAGGCTGGCGGGCTGCGGGCGCCGTATTTGGCGGTGAATCAGCCATGATAATGACGTGAACTTGTCGGCTTAATTACCTCACTGGCGTCGTCGCTGCTCCTATATCCTGTAGTTGTGGCGGTGGGTTGTGGGGCAAAACTGTGTTGGTGTTGGCCGTTTCCTAACAATCCCAAGGTGGTACCTATACTGTCCGTCCCAATATGTTCTGCCCGTCCATCCAACGCTGATACAGGGGTTGATGTCGGTGTTGGCAAGCCAGCCAAGAGTAATAGTACGGTTGTAACCGTTAAGACGCGAATCGTTCCGGGCGCCGTCAAACATTCAGTAGGCCGGGTTCATGTCACGGGTGACGTAGGCCTCTTCGTGGTGCCTACGAGGGAAGTAGAACCGACAAACCGGTTCGATAGAAAGAACACCACCAGGTAGCTTCTTTCGGCGTAGACAGTATGCCTCGCTGTAAGCGTGCCGCTGGACCCTGTTGACGATCCTGGACAGGGTATCAAAGGTTGGCTGTTCGTGCTCAAACAACTCAATGATCAATACGTTCGCCTTCCCTTGCATCATCACCCTGTTCGGTTCGGGGTTCATCGCCGTGATAGAGAAACCCCAGCGGCGGGCAAACTCAGTCCGCCCTTCATCATCCTCCAAGTCGGGCTGGACACTGCCAGCACACCAGTATAACCCGTGATGGTGAGAGCTACCACGGGCCTGCCACTCGAAGCGGCCCCAATAGTCGACGATGCCAAACTTGGGGATCAATACGTAGTCTCTAAAAGCGTTGTACCGCTTGAAGAAGTGGTAAGCCGCAATGTGTGGGTTGTCCTGGAGGTTCTGCCAGGAGATATGCTGCCGCGCCCGTTCAGTGCCCTGCTTCCACTCGTCGTAACGCGGCATATGTCGCGCAAGGCTATCCCAGTGCAAATCAGCCGGGCTGAAAGTCATGAACATCGCCGGCATCCCCAGGGCATAGACGTGGGCAGTGAGCTGATGGCCCTTGCCAGTCCAGTAAGCCCGAGTACCACGGAGGGTATCCGCGTGCTTGACAATGGAATTAAGAAGACGTTGCGCCTCAGGGGATTGGAATCAAACGCTGCCCGTAGCTCGTCGAGATCCACCTGGGTTTGGTGGGTGTGTCGAACGAAATAGGAACTCTTCGCATTGACGGTCGACCGCATCAGAGTATTGAATGCTACGAAACGGAAGCGCGGATGCCGGGCGAAACGTCTGTCTCGATTCCGCATCGCATGGTAGAGATACTCTCTATAAGTGATGGACCGCACCCGGGGCGCAACGAACTCGGCTCGACCATAGGGAAAGAGTGTGGGAAAAGCCCACGACAACAGGGGTTGGGACCGGTTGAACTCATTCAACGGTGTCCGGCGAATCTCGCCCATCTCAATGTAAGGCTGAGTAGGCGGTTGTCCGGGGTGCTGAGACTGTTGCTGAGCGTTGATCTGTTCTCCGGAGCTGATCAAGATTGGCCTCCTCAGCAACGATATTGGGTACGGCGGCTTCGTCAACCAAGTGAGACTCGTCGTTGGCTTCAGCGACCACATCCTCGATGTCAACAGGATCAACATCCTCGACTGGGAACTCGTCCATCACACTACCACCATCCTCCGGAAGTTGGCTCAGCCTCTCCTCGCTGATGACGATGTCGCGGTAAGCAGGGTGGTTCGCCTTGAGGAAGGCTAGCCACTGACGAATGTTGCTCTGTTTGACAAAAAAGCGACGACGGAACTGACGTATAACATGGTCCTGCTGGGCGAAGTTGGCAGGCCGCAAGACGATGACATCCAGCTCCCGAGGTAGCCGTGGTAACTGGTTGTAGGCTTCGCCGACATCGCGGAGGAAATTAACAACATGCCCGCGGTATTTGTATTGTTGGCCCCGGTAGAGGAAGACCTCCACATGGACATGGACGCGCGCAATGAGCTGCTCCTCAATCTGGGAGAGCGGTGGTCAGTCAGGGGGGACATCGCCGAAGTCAAGATCGTTGTCGGCCGAATAAAACAGCGGCTCTTCTGGGCGCCTCGTCCTATCACGACTTATACAGCCAGTGCAGATCTCTCCCTGTAACTTCACGTCAAACCACTTCTGTTTACACAGAGTGCATTCGACCATAGCCTCCTTGGCCATCTCGGCATTGAACTTCTGCAGCCGGACCCTATCTTCCATCGTGATAGCGTCGGCCGATAGGTCCCCATCAAAGACCTGGTCGGGGACAGGCTCTACCGCTGGAAGTTGAAGTTGACTCTGAGACTGAGATGGAGAGGATGCCGCTGACTGAACAGAGCCCCGGCGTCCAATCGGCCCCCGGCGGAGAGGTGGCATCTGCGACGGTGTAGTGGGCGTACTGAACGGGTTGCTGGACGATAGCATATCCGGTAGAGAGCCGAGAGAGCTGAGACTGGTAACTGACGATGCTGGGTCGAATTGAGCCGTACAAAGGCGACACACGTCCTGCTCTTCGCCATGAGCATCGCGGAACTTTGTTCGGTCAATTTGTGGGCGATTTTAGCACCCCACGCACAAAAAGCCTTGCAAAAGGCAAGTACGATACACCGGACGGAAGCCGCATTCGCAGTTCAATTAGGTAGTTCAATCGCGCCTCTGTTTGTGCCTCTGTTTGTAGTTCAATTGCGGCTCTCTCTGCGACTCTCTTTGCGGCTCTCTCTGCGACTATATTTGCGACTCTCTTTGCGACCAAGACAAACAGATAGTTATAGAGGCTCAAAAGTCAAAAAGGTTCGGCCGCCGGTGCCACTGCAACTGCCACCCCTGTCCCTCATGCTCCGGCCCAGTTAAGGGGGAACGTCTTTGAGGGGTGGTTAACAGTCATCTTACAATGGCGGCTGCGCCTACGTCCTTGTCGATCGAGAGGCCAATTTTTATAGAGGGTTAGTATCTTGATTCGAACTTGTAATCTCTTGAGACTTGTCGGCTTCTCGGTCGTGGTAGTCGGCTTCTTGAGAACTTAGGGGGGTATCGCAGTCTTGAGTATGGGACTGGCCTCTTGATCTTGAGAGTATCTACCCAGGTTAGAGAGTTACAGTCACAAGGTCACTATCTATTTTAGCAACAGGCATTGTTATACCGTTGCGATACCGGGGGTCCCCAACTGCGCGTCCGCAGTGCCCCGTCGGGCGGTGGAAGATCAGAGTCTGGTGGTTATATACTACGTCAACTGCTTGAGCTTCAATCGCGTTGAAGCTGAGCTGCGTCGACTACGTTGACTACGTTCAACTGCGCCAACTGCGACAACTGCGACAACTACGTCCAAATTCAACTGCGTCAGCTGCGTCAACTACGTTCAAGTCCAACTACGTCAATCGCGTTCAACTACGTTGTCGTCAACCGCATCAACTATTATCAAATTTCATAAGCTTCTACAGATGTACCAGGGGGCTGCCGCCCCCCTGGACCCTCTCCACCGCGCATGCCAAGGGATGGGGGCCATGAGGTTAACCGCATCCAGAACTATCACCACGACTCTTCCGAGAAAATGGGGTAGGGTGACAGATGCACTTAGTCCTTGTTTTTCCGTCACTGTGAACACAACAAGTCGAAACTAGATGTTTATTGCTCCCTGATGGGCACTCCCAACCAGCCCAAACAAAACTACCTACAGGTGCCTCTCTACAGAAGTCCATGCTCGAGCAGAGCATCACGAAACCCGTCGTGCGGGAGCTCTGAGGCGACGACGAGGTAGACGTTGTACCGGGTCGCATTCAGTGCATCCAGCTTGCAGGCGCCGGTGCGGAGGAGGTCACCGACCCGGATGATGTACTCGTTGAGGTCCCCTGCGCGCGCGACCGTCTTGGAGATGACATGGAACTGGTCCCCGCGTCCCGTGTCGAGCCTGTTCTGCCAATAGACAGATATGGATGGCGGTCCGCCCTTGGATGGGCTCGTATGCATCTTGATCTCGCCCGTCAACGGGTCGAGGTATTTGCCGTCGACGATTGGTTGGCCGGTGAGGGTCCAGCTCTGGTTTGCGGGTGCGCTGTCAAGCAGCGCTTGGGATATGGCTGGGGCGGGGGGGGGGGGGGGCCGCTGTTTGTGGGGTTCGTGTTTGTGGAATCCATGATGTTCGAGTCTTGGTGATATTTGTGGGTTGGCGGGAGAAGGGTAGTGGAAGAGTGAAGATAGTATCTGATCAAGACCGTTGGAACAAAAGAGTGGGAGACGAAGTCTCTCCGAACAGCGAATACACCCTAGGTAGTTGACCACCACTAGTATGCATTCAAAAGGCGAGACCATCAGAGATCTCGGTTGGCGTGAGCATCGCTGAAAACCCCTTGAGATGGAACTGCCCCCCGAAGGAATGCAACCTCTTTGCGTCCATCAGGCTCGCGGCCATATCGAGTGGTATCTCCAACCCCGTATTCTCGCGTGGCCGATTTCGAATGGGGAAGCCTTTGACGATAACTGGATCGCAGAACATGTTGTGCCAGCAGCACCCGCCACCGACGTCTGTTTTGACGTGCGGGCCCATAGTGAAGTCAATCACACAATAATAGTCAGTACTTCTCCCAACACTTTCGCAATTCAATATTTGCGGTGTGCAGTACTTCATGATCCCGTCGCCAGAAGACCGCAAGGCGGCCCCAAGCCAGGCCATGACTTCCGTAGCATTGGCGATGAAGTCCGCGGTGCCCTTAGCAATCAAGCGGAAATGGCCGTATGAATCCTCCGCCTCAATTTCCGATCCGTCCGGGAGAATTTCTAGCACGGTTTGTTAGCCACGAAAGGATCTTCAACAATACGGGTGTGCCGAAGACACATACTCGCTACCGTTGCTCGTTTTTGCACGGCCCCGGATACCGCAGCTAGAATATGAGGGCCAGCCGTAGGCCATGTTTGAGCAACATATTCAGAACACGGCAAGGCTTGGGCATTGCTTGCCGATCCGGTCAAAGTTATGACCCGTTCTAGAAGCTCCGTAAAATCCTCAGAGTCCCGGTATTGATCTCTGAGAAAGGCGATCGGTTCCCATCTGACAACTATTGTCATTGTGAGTAACGTTGACTCTTCATGGCGACTGATATATTTTTCGATTGGAACGGTAGTCAAGACCTTCGACCGGATCACTCTCATGGCATCCAAGTCCGAGAGGGGGGTCAGGAAGGCCTCAGACGCCAGACGTATCGCAAGAGCATTGTAGGCTTCAGAGTCGAAAATCACCTCACGATACCCACGCCTATCTGGAAGGATGAGCTCCTTATCGTCGGGAAGGGTCAAAACATCGTCACCGAGACTGGCCGTTTGCTTGTGTGTTGGCACCGCATCGTCAAATTCCTGGGTGTCCAGACTTGCGAGCCATCTCTTAATCTGTAATGAGATAACCTCATTGTCGACCCGTTCGATCTGTCTTTCTAACACAGTGTTGTTTTCGACCTGCTCCAACATGGCTTCCTTAAACATGTGAGTCAAGTCGCTACACGGTGTTAGCTGCGAGGCCTGGCGGATCAAGCTTGAATATTCCGGCTTGCACCGTAGGAACTAATACATGTAGAGGCACTCACTGTCGATATTTGTGAAGGAAATACATCACATCTCTCTGGGACTTGCTCGACCCAGGCTGGCCAAGCTTCAAGGCGAGCGCTTTCAGGAGCGATGGTAAGACCCCCACCATGCGATCCAAGCTCTCGCCTCCTGCCCCAAGCTCGTGAACTTTGGCAACCAAGTTGTCAGCAAGCTCAACCTTGTAGATGGTCACGTCAGCCCCGCTGATGCTACCTTCATCAGAGTACATCGTTCTCTTATCCCATTCCTTGATGTCAGTCAAGTCAGACTCTAAGCCAGTATCTTGGTGATGCGTGTCGTCCTTCTGCCCTGCAAGGGCGACGGCCGAACCGTAACCTGAATCCATGGAGTTTCCGGCTGCGGTGTGCGATCCAACAAGTCCTACAGTTGCGTCGGTTTTCTTCTGATACGGCTGCTCCGGAACTGGAGGGTCGAATGATTCCCGGTGTTCTCCCTCGATGTTCCTATCTGGTTCTGCGATGTCACGACCATGGAAACTGTTCGAGGCATCCTCCTCAGAATCGGTACAGTACGTCACATCAAACGGTGTAGCGACACTTTCCGCGTTCCAACGTCCTCCCACTTCGGCGATCCCATTGTCTAATCTGTTTTGTTGAGATAGGCCGGCCGCGGATTCTGAATTTAGTTTCCTTAGACTGCTCAACGGGACGCCTTTGTCTTATACCGGAGATAGCAGCCATCGTGGCGGAACTGACGAACGTACCGAGACCCCATATCTTAAACTGCCTCTTGTACGCTTTTTCCCAGGGACACAAGTCAACCACGAAAACCACCAAAACAGTGTGGCAAGCAAAGATTGTGAGCATACGATGCCTCGAATCCGTGGTCCACATTCATAATTCTCATCACCTCTGACAGTCCCTTCCCCTCGTCCCAAAACAATGAAGTAATCGTTGATCTTAGGTCTTCCCAGGCTAGTCGGGACCGTAGGGGCCTGCCATGCTTGTGGGAGACGTTCGAGACCCTCGCATCTCCATGACTCTTCGTGAGAGGATCAGCAGGTTCCCCTTCTTGACTCTGCGCTGAATCCATCGCGTCCATAGACTATGCGCGCCTCTGAGTTGTCTTCGTTGCACTTGGGAATTACGGTGGACTGGCAGTGTGTCGAAATTGTGTGCAAATGAGAAACTCCGAACAATGATCGCAGCCACTGAAAGAAGAGGTTTGCGTTTGACCCCCAGCCCCCGCCCTGAAAACGGCTTTGAGAGAGAGAGCCCAATTGTGTGCCTCCGACGCTCTGCCACAGCACTCCTGCACTTCGCCACTACCATTGTGAAGTTGCGGTGAGGTTGTGGGAGAAATGCCTGCAGTTAGCGAAGCCCGTGGTGATGGTGCTCCGGAAGTAGCCGGCGTCGGTGAGGCGGCCGCTGACGACGCCGCCGAAGAAGAGGAGGAAGACGGAGATGGAGCCGATCCAGGAGATTTCGGAGGGGGCGCGGTGCAGGTGGGATACGTGGTAGGTTTGGAAGACGCCGAAGGAGATTACGAGGCCCCTGGATTTCAGGGGTTAATGGGATTTAGGTTTTGCGTTTGTGTGGGAAGTGTGGGGAGGTCAAACCATGTGTTCATTATGCAGAGGAATCCGGCGATAATTGTGGAGGAGGAGTGTTAGAGACCTGTTGGGGATTGTCTTCCGGGTGGTTCTTACCAGGCATCCAAGCCGCCCAGCCGCCATCCGGGGGTGCGGTGACGGCGACCGAAGGTGGATGTTCCACGACTGTGGGCATGCTTGGTACACCAGAAAGCACCAATCTAGGTTGGGTTGGTGGGAGATGTGCCTCGGCGGTTGTCGCTTGTTCCTCTGGTGTCCCTCTCGCCTCGTTCAGGGGACGATTAGGTAGCTCGCCGCGAGGGTGGCAGTCGTCCATCGTCAAGTGGTGGATGGTGTGCTAGTCGTGATATTCTTGAAACTTCTTAAGAAAGAATACTCAGTCTACAGGAAAGTATGATAAAGGATGAGAGGTCGGGGGGTAATATATACTGCCGAGGGCCTTTATGAACCCGATTCCCAAAGCAGAGAATGCGAAGGAAGCATATTAAAAAATTCAAACTTTGGTGATCCCAGGTGTTCAGGGTGGGTTTATCAAGTCGGTGCTGACAAATACCACTGCAGTTAAAGCCTAGATGCGTGCTCTCATAACTGTTCTATTCTGTCTTACAAATCTGTGGAAGGGGGAACCTCCTCGTGAAGCCGCTGAGCCGGTGTGGCTTTCTCCGGAAAGGAACGCTTTTCGGCGAACTTTCACGATAGTGGAACCAGGGGCTCTTGTCTTGGCGGTATTTGGAGCTGCATAGGGCATAGTGCCCGGGGGCGAGATGAACACGACCCTTTCTTGGTTACCAGGTTAAGGCTTCGATTTCACACTGATGATTCGCCACGGCTCATAGCTGCGTACCCATCCACGTAATGATAACGATGAGGGGACAAACACACTACCGAACCCTCCTTCGGAGGCACCACTTGGGACTAGAACCCTAGCAGCGGAAGTCTCGGATTAATACAGCATTGAGTTGTGGACTGAGTCTACTATTATTACCAATCATGAAATTCTACACCTCTAGAGAGCTTCCAAGTTTGGGCCGAGGGATCTGTCAGTTGCTACTGATCTTCGACAAGGTCTAGAACTTCAACACAGCAGGGAGTCAGTCTCGCCGGAATGCGTTCCGAACAAATCAAATTATTCAAATCAAATCAAATTCGTTGACCTGTATATTTGATTTGATTTGATTTTACCGAGTTTGAGCAACGTCATTAGTAAGACAGACCCACTTAGTTATCGAACAACAACTGGCCAAAAGGTGACTTGAGATTTCTTGCCAACAGCTTGCATATACCCAGCGCCAACATCATTAGGATGACCAACCTCGACGACCGCTCCTTTGATGATTCCTCGTCGGCATCGAGCCTGACGCCTAGCCAGTCGGTTAGTCAGACTTCTGGATCGTTTATGAACTTATCACACGCCGGCCGCGACGCGCTTTCCATCCTGCGACGAACTCGAAGCGTAAAGGACCAACTCGAGATTGTCGACGAAGCAAACCTTCCCACCGAAGACAGTCAGTTGCCGAAGATTTGGATACAAAACAAGCCATATATCAATACAAAGTGGCTATACAAGAAGCGAAAGAGGTGGTCAAAGGTGGATGAGTACGGCGAGAGATACGTTAAGCTCGACAGGGACGACAGCAGCCTTGGAGAGTACTGGCTTTGCGATCCCTGTATGCAAGAGGGCAGAACTTCGCTATATGCCACTACCAATGGCGCTACAACGACTGTCAAACTACACCTTCAGAAGGACCACGGTTTGCTGATCAGTATCGGGAGCTCTGGAGGAGGCAGTGAAGCTGGCGATTCGGAGCCTAGTCCTCGCCGTCAGAAGACTCTAGAAGAGAGTCTGAGGAGAACACTTGTGTCCAAAACAACAGGGCAGCTCTTTAGGAATACGTTGCTCAGATGGCTAGCTAGCGCAAATATTCCGTTCTCCGGCATCGAACACCCTCTTTTTCGCCAGCTCCTCTGCCTAATGGATAAGGATCTTCTACAGGAGGTCCTGCCTCATAGCGGCGACACCGTCAGGGCGTGGATGAAGGCCGAGTTCGAGGCTGAGAAAGAGCTCCTGAGAGCCGAGCTTGCGAGGTCTCCATACAAGAAACACCTGACATTTGATCTCTGGACCTCTCCAAACCAATACGCTCTCCTTGGCATCACCGTCCACTTCGTCGATCAATCACAACAGCTGCAGTTTCGCCTCCTGGCGTTGAAACGCATATTTGGGAGCCACGGAGGTGAAAATCTTGGTCTCGTCCTAGAGGGCGTAATTGAGGATTTTGCTCTTTCCGAGACTGTCGGTTACCTAACCGCTGATAACGCGGATTCGGGTGATTCGGCCGTACGAGAGCTATTTCAGGCCCTTTTTCCTGAAGACAACTCGATCTCCGACCTTGCCCGCCAACGACGAATTCGCTGCGTCAATCACGGACTAAACCTGAGCGCGACCGGCTTCCTCGGCGGTACGTTTAAGGAGGCTATCAAGAAGCTCCCTCCTGGATCAGAAGAGCGCAAATTCCTTCAAGAAGAGAACGACTTCCTCGAGCATTGGCGTCAATCGGGCCCCATTCAGAAGCTTCACGACTTGATGGGGTGGATTAGAAGAGGCGCACAACGAAGGGAGCAGTTTCTTCAGTTCACACGCGGAGAGCTTACAGAAGATGAGCTTCTCGAATTCGGCCAGGTTCTATGGGACACTCGTGAGTTTGGCGGCTTGATGGTGAAGCAGGATAATGATACTAGATGGAATTCGTTTTTCGAGTCTGCAAAGAGGGCGTTGCAACTCAAAGATCCGGTTGAGATTTTCCAGAGGAGGATGGTCAACGAGAGGGACCCAAAGAAGCGCCTCCCTGAAGAATATCTTCTCAGAGACGATGACTGGTCTTTCCTCGGTATCGCCGTTGACGTACTTGAGCCGGTCTTTCGCCTCACAAAAAGATTTAAGGATAGGGCGCCTCGAATCGCTGAGGTAGCAGCATCTTTGCACTACCTACTCGATCACTTTCGCCGGCAGCGGAGTATTTACATCGACAACATCGCGAATGCTACGATGGACGGCCCTGACTTCGCTGGTACCTCAATCTTTGTGGGCCATCAGCTACCGGCGTTACAGCCGATCGCGCCGCCGAACACTCAGTCAGAGATCTTCTCTGACCGACCACAACGGCAGCGACGTGAGCCTGCGAGATACAGAGACGGCGTAGACGGCGCAGACGACGCAGAAACTACGGGAAACTACAATTCAGCTGATTTTTCCGACCGGCAAAACCTTCGTGCGTTAAGGGCCAGTCTTGCTGTTGCCATCTACAAGATTGACAAATACATCGCCACTCTAGAGGACTCGCCTGCTTACTGGGCAGCGATGATCCTGCACCCTGGCCTCAAGAAGCGATGGATTGAGAAGCAGCTCTCCGAAGAACACGCTCAGCGTGTGATTCAAGGCTTCAAGAAGTTCTTTGACGAAGATTACAACAAGCACGGCTCTCCAGCCCCCCGGCGGACTATCCAGACTCGGCCGAATTACCTCATCGACGAAGACTTCTACGACAAGCCTGAAGACCCCCTCCTAAAGGATGAGCTTCTTGAGTACTTTTCTATGCCGTTGTTACCTGTGGAGGATCCTCTGGAATGGTGGCGCCGGCACCAGACTTCATTGCCAAAGCTGGCAAAAATGGCATTCGATATCCTCTCCATACCCGCCACTTCTTGTGAGATTGAAAGAGTATTCAGCCAATCGAAGTTGACCATATCGACACAGAGGTGTCGATTGATGGACCAGACAGTTGAGGTGCTCGTTTGTCTGAAGTATTGGCTGTCAAACCGTAGTTGGGACTGACTGGAGATCGGGATAGCAGGATGTCACTTTGTATTTTAATAATTTGAATAGATTTGATTGTAGTTAGTTATTCAAATCAAACTCAAACTCAAATCAACTTTTACCCTGGGCTCTCAAATCAAATCAAATTCGGGCCTGATTTAATTTGATTTGTTCGGAACGCTGCTGGGAACTAAGACCACGTGTGGTTGCACGAGTTAGTGCACTATCCAGAGGTCATGAGCCGGGAGCTTAGGACTCACCATTTCAGCCGCATAGTGAACCAAAGATCGGTTCTCTGGGTCGGCAGCGAGAGGAGATGCCTTTCTAGTTTGAAATCAGGTGACTAGTTTTACCAATGCTAGTGCCACCAACTCTTCAAGCCGTGCCGGTGTTTGGGGACCCGGATCTTCATAGGAAATGGCTTGCATTGCATTCTTCAACAAAGTCAAAATCCGAAATACCGGTGCCGTTTCGGCGTCCACGGTAGGGTAGTATGTGAAGCTCGGGCTAATGCTCCAACCGCCTGCGCCTCTTGTCATTCCAAACGACAGCTGAACAGCTGAGTTTAGTATACGCCACAGTCCGGTGTACCTAAGACTGAGCATTTGGCTTCGGTTTATGCCTGCCGCCTGACCGAGTGGGCAGCCGGGATAATGCTCCGGTACAGTCGTCTCGACGGAAAAGACGAGCGAACTCCAGGCGAAATTGTTGCGTCGCCTGCGGGGCCGGCAACAGCACACCACGGCGCGCCCGGCTAACGACCGAACCAAGTTCCAGAATTGGTCGCGGTCATGGATCTGGTGTCTTATTATTAATCACTGCATGGTGCGCTGAAAGGGCGGAACCTACGTACATTCCGAGGGTCTGTAAAGCCAATTGAAGCGTCGCATTGGTGTTGCGCAGCCTCATTTCCAGCTGCTCGATCCCCGGCCGGTTGAACGGATAGCGCAACCTTTTGCCCAAAGCTTGGATATTTTCTCCCTCCGGACGGAGTCTGGTCTGGCCCAGCGAGCTGGGCCATCAGAGTTTGCAGGGCCTTGAACTCCTGGCTGCAAGAGTCGAGACAGCCATGCACCGCAGCTGTTGGCGCCTGGTGTTCCTGTTGGGGTTGGGGAAGTGACGCTTCGACGGCTTGCAGTGCCTTGTCGAGGCGGTCGGTCTGCTGTCTTGTGGAAGCGATGTCTTGCTCGCCGCATTTCAAGGCGTCGAGGTACGATGTGATGCCGCCGCAGACCTGTAAGCCCAGCGAAACCATGCCCGCCGTCAAGCCGGCGACGGAGAGCGGATCTGCCATTACCGGTACAAGAGGACGCAACCGGAGGTCTGTCGGCAATACGTTGGTAAATCTGCGTTCATGTATTGCTTGGGGAGTAGGTGGGTGCAAGGTCAGAGGAAAAAGGAGAAATCGAGTGAGCTGAAATGAGACGCGCATGGGAGCAGAGAGCCTGATACCGATGCCCCATCCTGCCTCGACATGAATGGGCAAGGGCTTAAGAGCCTTGCCGTCAGCCTGCATCAATCTGCCGATGGTAATGAACGTCTTGAGAGTGGCTGTGATGCCCTCAACTCCCAAAAGTGCCGAGGCGTGTTACACGGGATGAGACACTCACTCCAAGCTCACCCAGCTCACGAAAAACAGAGCCCCAATGGCGGACACGCCACAGCCATGAGCGCGAGAGTGCAATATCGGAATATACTCCTGATGATTCCGCGTGTCTCCTGTCCCGTTGACCCCTAAACACACAACTACATCAATCAGAAATTCGTAACTTCCATTTCTTTCACATTGCTTCCAATCCATTCCCGTTTTACTCAGCAACATCAAAGCCCCGGTTATGCCCCGATGTTTTCACATCTCCTGAGTGCAGAGTCGGAGCTCAAGGGGTTCGGGTAGAATAGGGGAGGGGTTAGGGTTATCCTAGTGTAAATCCACACCCGGCGATGCATTCGATTCCCCGTTAGGTACTTCCCCGCACCCCCCGTTTCAGTTCAAACATTCATTTGTCTTTCCCAGTCATTTTTCTACCGTGCATCCCAATGTGTGACATCTCCATCAGAGAATCCATCCGCTGGTTGCCAGACGAGGCCAGCGAGCCCACATCAACCATCGTCTTGACAACACCCAGCCGTCGGTTTGTCGATCTTCGTATTCTGAAATCTGACTCCTCGGCCAGTGCCAGTGGTGAGTCTGCGGGTTTCCTTGTCTCATCACTGCCCTCCGCGTCCCGATGAAGAAACAGGCACGCAATATGCTCATAGCCGTCCTGCCAGACCACGTCACACTCCCGCTATCCCGTTTGGATTGGGCCATCGCTGGCACCTCGTCATCATCCGTAATCCCGTCGAATGGAGAACCAGGGAAAGAGATTAGGCACGGCCAATGGGCTCACTGGATCGACTCACGGGCGGCAGATTGCGACGGCGTTGTGGATGAGGGCGACATGTTTGACGACCCCTCCGATGCCAGCCTGACCCTGGAAACGGGCCGGATGCTGAACCCGGCCACCGGCGTGGAGACGGATTATGAGGAGGTATGGCGGTCCGACCCAATCGAGACGGTGCCTGCACCTGGCGGTGGGGACGGGCAGGTTACTTGCCTCGCATTGCAGATGGAAAGCGTGACGGGGAGCGGCAGTGAGGGACCAGGAAAAAGAGTCAAACGGGGGCTTGTAGTCCGATTGGGGCAATACTGTCAGGCATTTGCCCGGGACGGTGACAACATCACCGTGGAAAGGCTGAAGTGGGATACCGCGCAGCAGTGGTGGGTGACACAGGTCCGGATTGGGGACCAAGAGCTGCCGATCGAGATTGCGACGCATCTCGCCCATGAGACTACACTTGATGACGAAGTGAGAGTGGGCGGTGCCATTTGGAAAGTGGTCGAGAGGGCCTAGGCGTAGGGAACCTGTAGCTTTTCCGTGTTTTGCGGCAGCCCTCAACCCCCGGCGAAACAACAAACGCTTTCTTCAAGTTTTACTGGCCAAGCTCGGTCCCGTGTCTGTGTGCTTTGGCCCGGCCTTGACTCGCGGTCATGAGGTTGTACACCTGCTCTCAAGTGCTGGCGAGGTGATGTGCTTTGGGGTCCAAGCTTCCTTCTTGGGCCTTTGATTCCATTCCCGGGCCTTTGATTCCATTCCCAACCATTCCCGACCCGACTCATCCAACGAACTCGACTCATCCAACGAACTCGACTCATCCAACGAACTCGACTCATCCAACGAACTCGACTCATCCAACGAACTCGACTCATCCAACGATACCCTTGATCACAAACAACTAAAGCAACTCCAAAGCTACCATCACCATGCTGACTCCGGCCCATGCCAAGCTGTGGTTCGACTTTTATCCCATGGGTAACACGCCCGCGGTGTGCCTTACCCAGGGACTTCCACCCGAGAAGAAGGCCAACATGCTGCTGCTCGGATGCGGCGACCCCGCAGCATCTTGTTCACCACGCACTGCGATGGTAGGCTACCCCTGGATAACACGGAATGTCGCAATGCTAATGAGAACCAGTTCCCCGCTCAATGGACATCACTTGCTGCGACGTTGAGACCACAATCCTAGGTTAGAAATCCTTTTTGGCTTGAACCGCTGTAGATCACCTCTAACAACATGCCACCAGCTCGAAACATCATCCTCTTCACCCTCATCCTCGACGACCCGGACGGTCAGAAAAGCAGCGACAACTGGAACATCTTTTACCATGCATTCCTCGACCAAGCCTGCCATGACCGGCTGCTAGGCCACGTCAAAAAAGCTACGCGCTTTGGCCTCCACGCTCGATGCCTGGCGTGCAGGTGAATACGGCAAGCTGATTCGGTTTTGTGACGAGGGCACCCTCCGCCGTGTCGCTGAAGCCTTGACTTTCTACATCTCCGCGGCGATGCCCGCAAGCGTGTGGGAGGCAGCGAGAACAGGTTCTCGACGATGGGCGTCCGATCTTCCTTGTCTGCTGGCACAATCACTATGGTGGACTTGGATCACCGTCACCACCACTTCTGGCGACACGGCAGCCTCCATCTGGATTCTAAGACTCTGTCGCAAACCACCTTCGCGAACCCCATGTTTGTGTCGGCAGACGCCACCGTCAAACTCCACCACAGTGCGGACCCCTTGTTTGGATGCCACCTGTCTGCGGCATATGTGCCCTTTGCGTCCGACGCCTCCTTTCCTCAGCGTCGCTCGGGGCAGGCAAAAGCGAAAGACGTCGTGGCAGCCGCCAAGGGGGAGTTCGCCAACTGGAGCAACACGTTCAGGAGGCGGGCACAGGACGACTTGACCCTCCGCTTCTTTTCCGGAGACGCATTGCTCTTCTGCTACACTCTTCAGCATCGATGTTACCGGTCCAGCTACGACCGCTTTCCATTACCGGAGTCGCCATGAGACGATGGAACCGCTCGCGCTTGTCCAGGATGACTATGGGGTCAACGGCAACGCCCCGGTTTCCTTCAACGTAATCGATACCTCCGATCTCCTGGATCGCCTCCGCGGGCTGAACCTCTTCGCTGCCACCTCGCCGCTTCTTGACGGTGATGCCTCATCCAGCCTTTACACAGATACCCTCATTCAACATGGCGCCAATTCCCCTCAAGAACACCTCGACAACCTCGTTGGGGGCCATCTCGCGACAGCCTCTTTGCTCGTAGGCCTGCTTCCTATCGAGTATTTGACAAATACCGCCTCTTCGTCTGGGGGCGATGGCCAATTACTTGGTGCCTTCGTGACCCCGTACTTTAAGCTGGAAAACAGCCACAATGAGCCGATGCACACGAGGATTACATGGAAGCGCCCGCCATTGAGTCAAGGGGCAGGATGGGACCCTCTGCACATCGATGCCGAAGAACTTGCGGCGCTCCTTTACAGGATTTATGTCGGCATGTTTCCGGTCGAGCAGGTGCACACCATGTTTGGTAAGGCCAGCTCTGAGTGGCTCGAGTACGCTTCAACCATCCGGAACACCCGCCCGGGCTTCTCAGCTTTAGTCGCGCTGGTCAAGGGGCGCGTCGTGACGGACTGGGACAGCGCCATGAAGAAACTATTCGCGCTCATCATGTCCGACCGTCGCTTGATAATTGGGAAGGAATCCTTGCCAGAAGTGTTCCTATACATGCATCTCCTGGGTCTTTATTCACTTGACCAGATGAAGAGCTTCGGCCACCGCCGTGCAACCGACCCAAGGCCCAGCCCCATTCTGGCAGGGTGGAAGAACATGCCGCCATCCGTTTGCATCACGCTGAAGGTGCCACGGTCGACACTTCGACCCTTGACAGACCCCCCCGCTCACATTGTAGGAACAACCCCCTTGCAAGTCACGATGTGGAGGTCTCAGGAAACCCTTTGCCTTTTGAGTACACCTTTGTGGCGTTGCAACTCGGATTCGGTACACTCCCCACCAACGGGTCGCGCTTCACCAACTCCTTCGCAGTCAACATCAAGGAAGACCTACAGGTCTGGCATGGGAATTCTCCCTTGTTTGTCACCTTCAGGGTTCCATCCGACATCATCCTCTTCGAGCCACAACCCACGGGTATCTACTTGGGCATCCAGGCCACTCCTACTACCGCCCCGCTCCTCTTTCAGCAACTCAAGAGCGTGGCGCGTGACATGAGCTTGTTCAAGACGACAATCGGAGACACTGGCAATGTGTACATCACCAGGGAACTTCCCAACCCTAGCAAAGGCGATGGGTGATCCCGGGTTTTGCAGAGGACACCTTCACCGCTCAGAGTTCAGAGCAACTCGGGCATCGCCACAACCACGACGGCCTGCACCGACCACTCAACCTCGAGGGTCACGTTTCTCTCCGTCCGCACCAACCTCCTCTCCGGCAACCTGCGCGCTGCCCTCACTAACGGTGCCACCGTCCAAACCACCCCGGCCTCTCCGTGCGTCTTCACCGTCACGGTTGGCACAACCCCCTTCACCGTCACCTTCCCGTTCCCGGTCCTCGCCGACACGGTCAAAACCCTCATCGCGCGCACTTCCAGCTACATCGAACTCCACGCCACCATCATGTCCGACCCTGCCGCCCATCCCTCCCCAACCTTTACCGCCCCGCTCTACTTTCCCCCATCCCCTATCACCACCAACCCCAACCCCAGCCCCCCCTCACCCTCATCTGCTACACCACCCCCTACACCACCCTCTCCACCCACCCCCGCCTCCTCCTCCTCCCCACCACCCCCACCATCAGCCCCATCATCAACCTCGACCTCCTCCGCTTCATGCACGTCCACACCGTCCAGCGCTTCACCCCGCGCGACGTCCGCCAGCGGCCCACCCCACCCGCATCCGACCATCTCCCGTCCACGCCGACCCGCGAGGCGCGCGCCCGCGTCTTGCTCAAGGTGACGCTCTGCGAGCTGCTCTTCCGGGCAACGGGCGTGCCGCTGGGGCCGGTGTCGGTGGTGGTGCCGGCGCAGGTGCGCGGGAGTCAGGGGGGTGGTGGTGGAGGGGGAGGAGGGGGGGGCGGGGAAGAGCGAGCGGCTCTTTGTGCTGCGCAATCGGGCGGCGCTGTCGCCGGCGGCGGGGGGCGATATCATGGTGTTTGTGTCGGCGGTGCGGTGGGATGTGGCGCGGGGTGGCGTGGTGCTGGATTGTGCGGTGCTGGTTGTGACGGAGCCCGTGTTCAGGCGGTTGGGCGGGTATGAGGGCCGGTTGGTGGGCGTGGCGTGCGGGGAAGGTGGTGCCGGTTGTGGTGGAGGTGGAGGAGATGAGGTTGTGGAGGGAGGTGCTGCCGGCATGGGTGGACCTCTGCCTGGAGGGGATGTGGGCGAATAGGGAGGGGTGTGAGTATTATCATGCGGCGGAGGGCGTGTGGAGGGCGCCGGTGTCGGTGGAGCCGGGGAAGGAGGTGGATTGTGGGTGTGGGAAGGGGGTGTTTCCGGATGATTGCGGGGCGGATGTGCACACGCGTGGGAGATGTTCAGGCCGCATTGTGTCCAGGCGGCCATCCCGGCGCTGTTTGCGAGCGTGCTGGCCGAGGATGTGATTCCTGACTTTGGGAAGACGGCGTCGGCGCGGGAGGAGCAAGAGAAAAAGGATAGTGTTTCCGTTTCTGCGTGTCGGAACTGCGGGACGGAAAGACAAAAGACGGCAACGATCTGAACAGCTGTGGCAAGTGCCTGGGCGTCAAGTACTGTGGCCGGCCATGCCAGCGGGCGGACTGGAAGCGCCATAAGCAAGAGTGCACTCCCAAGAAGTAGGACAGGATTGGATGGTGGATGTGTGATACATGTACGGAAGTCCCTACCAAAAGTCTTTGCTGACCGCTTTCCAAATCCTACTAGTTCTGCTTGGCAGAAAAAGGCCCATAACCACTAACAGTTTAATGGGCGGTGAGCAAAGACTTTTGGTAGGGACATCTGTAGTTATCAAGTATCTGAGAAGTGAACCACTGAGCTTCTAACAGCAAGATATTGAATCCAGCTTGACTCCTCCCGGCTCCCGCCAGAGCAGCAAGGCCTTGACCTCGAAATCTCTTGAAACCTCAAACGCGGAACAACAAAAAGAGCTGGCTTGAGCTAACCTCTTGCCCTCATGTCTTCCCGTTCGGGACAATGCTGAATTATGTACACCCACGAGACGAACAAGCGACTTTGTCTTGGTTAGTTGCTTGGCAGGGTCGGTTAGGGCTGATCCCGAAACCGATAATCTCACGTCAGCGTGCCGGATATGGCTTCCGTCAACGATTCGGGGCCGTTCTTCTCGAATCTCGACCCAAAGGACATTCGTTTCCTGACCCATGATAACCACGAGTGATACCATGCCGTGGTCCACCGTCACCCGGCTTCCCGGACGTTGTTCGCCATCGACGAGGTTCCCTGGCGTGGGAGCGCCTGGGCTGTTTGCTCGCGAAGCTTGAGTGGGTCGGGGAGGAGGGGACAGGGGGGCCGGGTTCGAGTTGCACAGCACTGGCGGCTAAGGACGGCTCCTGTGGCTGAATTTTGCCCAATTCTGTCTTCTGTTGAAAGTTCTCGGTGTTGCGTGAGAAGGGCTTCGATGCCTAGCGAAAATACCTCGATCCTGATCCCGATTTTCCCCAAACGTGGCAGTCGACCGAGATCGCGTCGCACAGCCGCGATCCCAACCACAGAGGAAGGTCGAGGGCGGTTAACTGGCAAATCACGACAGACGAGAGACCAAGCGGCACGTTTGCAAGGGGCCCCTGAATCCATGTGCCAAGGCTCAGCTGCATGCGAGCCCCGACGTCCAGTCCGAACTCAACCTAGCTGGAAAATGGGCGGGAGCCAAGCGCCCCAGACGCGGCCAGGGGTGCCCAGGCGAAGAAAAACGTTGTCAGGCTTCAGGGCTGCCTGGTAATGCGTGTCGTCCCATGAAAAGGCGGGAGCTGTCCCCAAAGGATGCCCAGTTCTCGGATCTTCCAGTCTTGTCACGTCGCCGTCCTTGCATGTAACCCCTGAGTGGCTACGAAGCATGGCATTCACTGACAGAGAGCGGACTATTCTCGGCCCCCTCACCACCGTCTTCACGCCTCCAGCACCATGCACCATCGCCGTTGGATGGTGCAAAACATGCGACGTCGCCTGGTGGGGTCAGACCTGCGGAGGGGGAGGGGAAGAGGACAACACGAGCTGCTGGCCGACAACCACCGAGGGGGTGCCCGAACCGACCAAGCTACCGTTGTACGGGTGGGGGTTCTACTCCCCTGGGTTGGAATGCCCGGCAGGATACACATCGGCCTGCTCGGCGGTCGAGGGCGTGACATCCCAATGGAAACATCAATTCCGAATGGAAGCCGAAGAGACGTTTGTCGGCTGCTGCCCGGAGGGCTTCAAATGTGATAACCTCCGAGGCCAGACGTGTCTCATGCGCGCCAAGTCCACCGAGCTACCGACGGTCTCCTGCGAGAACGGCGCCAGCAACAACTTTGGCTTCACGACGCTCCCCAACGCGGCGGTCACCACCATGAACCTGTACGCGCCCATGATCCAGCTCGCCTGGAAGGCTTCCGACCGGCCAGAAACATCCACCCTCAGCAGTAGCGCCACCACCTCCGCCCCGACAACCACCACCCTCAACCCAACATCCGCCGCCGACCCCAACGCCCCCACCATCTCCGAACCCGCCCTCTCCACAGGCGCCATCGTCGGCATCGCCATCGGCGCAGCCGCGCTGTTCCTCCTCACGCTCGCAGCCGCCATCTTCATCTGGCGGCGACGACGACGACACAGCCATCCAGGCGGCGTCGGCCCCGGCAACCCCCTCGGCAACGGCTCATACGCCCCCTCCTACTCAGCGCTACGAGCAGGATCGCCAGGCATGGAGGACACCAAGCACTACTACACGGGCGGGGTGATGGAGATGGCGCCGGGCCACGGGCGGGTGGAGGCGCCGACCGAGGGGCATATGCGGGTCGAGATGGGCGCGGATCGGCTCGTGTCGCCGGCGTCGCCGCTGGTGGAGGCGCCGGGGCAGGACCATGGAGGGGGTGGGCCGTACGCGGCGCATCCGCGGCAAGTGGTGATTCGGGGGGAGGGCGATATGTCGCCGCCGCCGGGGTATTTTCAGCCGCCGCTTGGGGCGGTGGAGATGCCTGTGGGGAGGTATCAGTAGGGGAGGGGGGTTTATTTTGTGGGGATGGGAGGGGGTTTGTGTTGGTGGTTTAAGCATGGCGTGGAGTAGGGGGATACGATGTGTTAGTGTTAAGGATAGAGGCGTCCAGGGGTTGTTTTTCAGTGTTTACCTTGTCCTATTATGTGTATTTCTTCAGCTTATTTTAGTTCTCTCTCACATCCCATGATAATAATACCCCATAATAATCTCATCACCGCATCCACTGACTGAACCGCGTGTGGTTTGATCCCAGGGGTTAATGTTTACATCCAGGAACCCTAACCCTGTGTTTGTGTCCATGATGGTTTGAGACCGGTGATAAATTGGCGCTTGCATGTTATAACTGCACTTTCTGATTGCCAAAATATATGGGGATGTGCTTAGAAAGTGTAGTGTAAATTCCCTAGAAATCGATTTGAGACAACGCAGGTTGTTAACATCCGGTGCGTGCCTGCTCGCCGGGAATGGAATTGTTGCAAATCCGATCCATTTTTTTGGTCGGATTTTGGTTGCAGGCGATGCGATCGGCAGCTCGGCACACAGCCTCAATCAGAATCAGGGTGAACTGTCCAACTTTGCAGATGTTTCATTTTCGGCATCAACTCAACTCATAGATTTGATCTTTTGGCTTTTCCCGCCCATCATTGTCTCTCCTTGCCCCATCAACCGTTCCAATTTATTTAACAGCACACTTGGAGCGAAGACCAACCGCAAGCCAAAGCGCACGCAGTCTTGTGGGCCCTGGCTCTCGGTCGCCGTCATTTGCCCCAGCCGCTCTCGTAGGGCTGGCAATCAACCCCTGTGCCAGCTTTCGTCATCGACGTGCCAACATTTTGACCACTTCTCTGGGATTCTGGCGGGCCCAGATACCACCGGTCTTGGATCGGATTTACACCCAAGGTCTTCACCATGTCTTGGGAGTTGACCCGTCGTCGCTGGCTTCGAACCCTTAATAGCAGATTTATTTATGGCCGAATCGTGAGTGTTCCTCTCTTCGCTTTCGTCCCGCCGCATGGGCCGGTCGCGTGCCGCTCCTCCAGGGGTTCCTGGCTTCAACTTCCATCCCAAGTTCCATCGCCTTCTGCCAACCCTCGCACCGTCATTCACTGCCGCAGCACTGCTAACGGAAATGCGTCAACTCTCAGCCGCTATTGCACGCCATCATCTTCTTCATCGAGATGGCCCTCTTCGCCCGGCTCACCAGCCGGTTCAACTCGTACTACGATGAGCGACCTCGTACGTCCAGTCCCCAACACTGCCGGCCGCCTAGACGCCGACCTCTACAACCCAAAGACATACTGACGATGCATAAACTTCAGTGCTCACCATGATGGTCACCAACTCCATTCTCGGAGGTGTCGCCGACACCGTTGCGCAGACCATCACGTCGATCCGGGAGCGTGCGGTGCGCAAACACCCGAACGGCCGCCTCAACCCCCGCGACGATGCCCTTGCCATTGAGATTCACGAGCTCGACCGCAAAAACCCCTTCAGCAACCGGGAGCTAATCCCCGAGTCGAAGATCCTACCGCCGCCCTTCGACTTCGAACGCCTGACCCGCTTCATGGCCTACGGCTTCTGCATGGCGCCGATCCAGTTCCGCTGGTTCAAGTTCCTCGAGGGTGCCTTTCCCATCACCAAGATGGCCGCTTTCATGCCGGCCATGAAGCGAGTGGCGTTCGACCAGCTCATCTTTGCGCCGTTCGGCGTCGCCGCCTTCTTCACGGCCATGACCATTGCCGAGGGCGGCGGGAAGAGGGCCGTGTACCAGAAGATGCGGGACATGTATGTGCCGACGCTCAAGGCAAACTACGCCCTCTGGCCTGCCGTGCAAGTCATCAACTTCCGGCTTATGCCGGTCCAGTTCCAACTGGTGAGTTCGTCCTGGAATAAAACCGGTTTTGTTCCTGGGCTTCCGCTGACGACAAGCCGTGTTCTAGCCCTTCGTATCGACGGTTGGCATTGCTTGGACCGCATATCTCTCCCTTTCCAATGCGGCTGAGAACGCGCAGGAGAATCGCGTCCCTGAACGATCCGACATTCGGTTGCCATAAGCCTCGACTAAGGAAAAATACAATTTGTGGCTATCATACGATGGTGAGGGTTGATACGATAACGGGGTAGCGTTGAACATTCGACTTGCACTATTCAGCGCCACGGCGGGTGCAGTCCTGTTTATCTATTCTTTCATTTTATTCCCACGACTTTCTTTGGGTTTAGAAATTGCAACGAACTGGGGCTCGGGTTGCGCGCCAGTTACCTACCACGGCGAATGGAGTTGGGCAGGTCCTCGTTTGTTTCGTCATTCTCTAAGGATTCTCTGTAACAATATATGAAAAAAAAACTATCTCGGACTGTGACATGTCGAGTTTGCGTCCGGTTCTCCAGTTCCCAGTACTCACCAAGCGTCTTGTGCAGTGAGAGAGACCTTCCTCCGGTGACCTAGCAGGAGTGTGCCCCAAGTCATGGGTAGGGTCTCCCAATCCCACGGCATGGTTTGAAGTCTGCGACTGCGGTCGTGTCCTGAAATTAGCGTGTTGTGACATTCATCCAAGCTCGGTTCTCCTTTTTGCTGAGACGAAACCTGGATAGCCGAAAATCGGAGCTGAGCTGCTTCCCAGAACTGGTATTTGCCAAGCCCACTTCGATGGTTAGAGCTTCCGGGAGCGAATCCGATAACCATTGAGGACTGGTAAGCATGGAGGCAATCATTGCTTGTATCTCCTGCCTATGGGGAAAGAGATAGCAACACATTCCCAATTCTTTGGTCCCAAATTACCGAACCGTTCGTGTCATCATCATCGAGAGCAAGCTCCGGGATCAGCCAACCATCGTCCGACGTCACTGCTTCACAGCGACCCCACCACCTTTTATTACCCCTCTACCCCTCCATTCCGACAGGGTCGGCTCAGCTTCGCTTGATGCTGCGTCTTTTTACCTGCCATCAGACCGGAAAAATACGATAAGCTTGTCTCCAATCCCCAATTGTCACCCAAGAGCTTCTTATTGTCGCCAATTGCTGCAAATCTACCAAGATGTCTCTGGCCAACAAGCTCTCCATCGAGGATGTCGACCTCAAGGGCAAGCGCGTCCTGATCCGCGTACGTTCCGATAGCCCCCACGATATTTCTGTTTCGCGAGGCCATGCCTCAAGCTAATAGTAGCTCCATCACAGGTCGACTTCAACGTCCCCCTCGACGCCGACAAGAAGGTCACCAACCCCCAGCGCATCGCCGGTGCCATCCCCACCATCAAGTACGCCGTCGACAATGGCGCCAAGGCTGTTGTCCTCATGTCCCACCTCGGCCGCCCTGACGGCAAGGCCAACCCCAAGTACTCGCTGAAGCCTGTCGTGCCCGAGCTCGAGAAGCTGCTGGGCAAGAGCGTGACCATCGCCCCTGACTGCGTCGGCGCCGAGGTCGAGGACATTGTCAACAAGGCCGACAACGGCGACGTGGTGCTGCTTGAGAACTTGCGCTTCCACATCGAGGAGGAGGGCAAGGGCACCGATGCCGAGGGTAACAAGATCAAGGCAGACAAGGCCAAGGTGGAGGAGTTCCGCAAGGGGCTGACCAAGCTTGGTGACATTTACATCAGTACGTTCCCACTTGTTCGTCACAACCAGCACCTAGACCTTTGTTACTGACAACTCACAGACGATGCTTTCGGCACCGCCCACCGCGCCCACTCCTCCATGGTCGGCGTGGACCTCCCCCAAAAGGCGGCCGGCTTCCTCATGAAGAAGGAACTCGACTACTTCGCCAAGGCGCTGGAGTCGCCCAAGCGGCCCTTCCTCGCGATCCTGGGCGGCGCCAAGGTGTCGGACAAGATCCAGCTGATCGACAACCTGTTGGACAAGGTCAACACGCTCGTCATCTGCGGCGGCATGGCCTTCACCTTCAAGAAGACGCTCGACAACATGTCGATCGGCACGTCGCTCTTCGACGAGGCCGGCTCCAAGACGGTCGGCGACCTCAAGGCGAAGGCCGCGAAGAACGGCGTCAAGCTCGTCCTCCCAGTCGACTACATCACGGCCGACAAGTTCGCCCCGGACGCCAAAACCGGCACCGCCACCGACGCCTCGGGCATCCCCGACGGCTGGATGGGCCTCGACTGCGGCGAGGAGTCAGTCAAGCTGTACAAGGCCGCCATCGACGAGGCCCAGACCATCCTCTGGAACGGCCCCGCCGGCGTGTTCGAGTTCGACAAGTTCGCCAACGGCACCAAGGCCACCCTGGATGCGGCCGTCGCGGCGGCCGAGGGCGGCAAGATCGTCATCATTGGCGGTGGTGACACCGCCACCGTGGCGGCCAAGTATGGTGTGGAGAAGAAGCTCAGCCATGTGTCGACTGGCGGCGGCGCCAGCTTGGAGCTGCTCGAGGGCAAGGAGCTGCCGGGTGTTGTCGCGCTGAGCGAGCGGAAGTAGGTTACTGTCACGTTTTGGGCAGGAAGTTGCGCGGCCATAGTAACAGAATTAGGCGGGCGATGCTATGAATATCAGCTTTGTTTGTGATGGGCCGTTAGTGGCAAACATTTGGAGCAATTATCATGATATCCGAATAATGAACCCGGGCCTCTTGCTTGAATGGGAGAGCTTCCATTGTTGCAACCGCTCCATGCTTGGGCTGATGCCAGTGGTCCTATCTTCGCCGTCTTGTCTTGGGAGTCACGGTCGGTTAATACTCCCCGATCACACGGCTGTAACTATAACCATGCACGAGCTGCCGTGTGACGACGGACCGGTTGAGAATACAATGTGAAGTGCTACCATGTTCCCATGTACGTATTCCTCCCTCGCAAACTACCGGAATCACCGCTTCTTGGACGCCTCCACCTTCCTCAGCTCCTCCCTGTACGAGCCGTTAGCACATGCATCATGATACGAGGGAATAGGAGAAGCCAAAACATAAACGTACTTGAGCTGCGCCGAAAAGTCATCGGTCGTGTCGTCGTCGTCCCACGACTCTTCCCACAGGCGCTGCGGCGCGCCGCCACCGCTCGCAGCCTCTGTGTCCTCCTGCTCCCAGTCTATTTTTCATCATCGTCAGCATCTGTTGGCACGGGCTCTCGGCCCAGCCCAACCCCCAGCCTGTTGTTGTTTTCACGCACCATCAACGGGGAAGTCCTCAAATTCGTCGTCTTCCTCCAGCGGGGCCGGCTTCTGCTCCGCGGCCGGCTGCTGCTCGGCCTGGGTCGCGGACGCGGCCTTGTCGTCCTTCTTGGTGGTGTTTTGCGAGGACGTCATTGTGGATGGGGTTCGGAGTTCTTCGGTTCGGTGGTGACGTGGTAGTGGCTGTCAAAAAGGCGGGAGGCTCAAGACCTGGCCAAGCAAGCGCAGGGAATGTCGTGGAAGGTGGCGTCGGATTGGTCAGGAGTTGAAGGTTGGGTGGTCAGCTTTGTGCGGTATCCGCGGTTGGGAAGAACGGGGGTTCAATGTTATTGATGTCTTGAAGGTAAGTCGGTAGGGGTTGCGCGATGGTGTTGATGGCGGTTTGACGGGGTTTGGTTCGCTCCAGGTTGACAAGGCGGGACGCAACTCGCACCTTCCGCAGTGCTCGCACAGCTCCGGCTGGTGGGGCAGCAGCGATCACGGTTGGGTGCACGGCCCTTCCATCTGCGGCTGCTTACCACATCCCCGATCCCAGCCAGGTGGGGTGGGCACAACTTTTTAATGTTTGGCCAGTCTCATACTAACTACCTGAGTTACAAACCGAGAGCTACTTTTGAACGTCATGCAGAACGGTCCCAAAGGAGATAAGCCAGAAAAGGAGGATGTACAGGCTTCATGAGACCAGGATCCATTTTAGGATATGTATTAGTAGATTGCATGATAGTTGCCCTTTCGGGTTAGGCCCGCCGGGCGGAATGAATTGTGTGTGTGTGTGTGTGTGTGCAGAACGGTCCCGCCGTGCCCACCGCATAGATAGAGCCTCTTCTGCGTCTCATTGATACACAGCATTTGGCTCAGCCGAGTCTCAACTCTTGATTCTTTGGCGCACGGAATGGCCTTTTCAAGCGCAACGCCTGCTACAATACCAACCATTCAACGCGTTGTTAGGAGAGAGTTCTCTTGATTATCTCTACGTGGGACGACAGAGTATGAGGATCACAACTCGGGACTCGGGACCGAGTACGGGCCGAATTTAATCGGTCTTGTATGTTCAGCCTCTCACGCCTAGACCGACCGTAACAATTTACCCAAGGCACATACATGCAACAGTCATTGGATGCCATTCATGAAGTCTTTTCGGATGGGGTGCCGATCAATGCCCCCAATCCCCCATTTGCGACCCATTCCCTAAACAAAACCTCGATAAAGTTTCGCATTTTTCACAGCCGCGACACTACTGTTCTAACCCAGGGTTCAGGCGCCCTTCAAGGTTCGAAGACTGTTACCAGTATTTGAGTTGCCTTCAAATTGGATGGCAGCTACCGGGTATTCGTCGTTCGAACCGCAAGCGTATTAAAGATGACATTTGTCAGGGCATTTGTTGTATTAGAACCCCGGAGAGGGGTAGGCCATACTGCACTGACTGTGTGCCATTGTCAAGCAAATGTTCAAGCCGTGCCGCCAAATGCATGGTACCTTTGTGTCTCACTCAACAAGCTACTGCGGCACGTCCGCTAATGACACCACCTGTCCACTGATATCGCCGTCCAAGCTCTCAAGAACCAGTACAACCCCGGTGGTATCGCCGCCGGCTACGACTTCTACTCGATCGCTGGCACAAGGGTTACGTACGTCTGCAATATCGGCTCGGCCTCGTGGACGTGCACCGTCAATGATCTCACCAACGACCATGCGCACACCACGCAGGTTTGCGGCTGGCACAAGTCTGGCTGACGCGTGCGGTGGCTTGCGAGCAATAGGGGCGCGCAGATTAGCTATGAAGCCAACTTTGCCAAGTTCTGTGGTCGTGGACCCTAGGAGCTGAGCCGCCTGAGCATCTCAATGCTGGATATCGGGGAGGTAGTATGGGGCGTGTCTAAAGGTCTAGCTTGTCGGCCAGTGGCTTTCTGTCATGTTTTTTGCCCGTTTCGTTTCTCTATCGGCCGCCTTATTCAGAATGTTTTCTCTTCGGCTGGTCTCGCAGCTTCGCTCTCTACGGTCTCCCATTCTCCTTGTCTTGTTGAGCACATACCGACATGCGGTATGGTTTTGGTCCCCGACCGGGTGGTGCTCTCAGTGCGGAGGCCATGTTACTGATCGATACAGCCCAACGGCGATATATACAAAAAAAAAAAAAAAAAAAAAGAAAAGACAATGTTTTTGCGGCCAAACCATGTGACATATGAACTCGGCTCGGTGATTGTCGAGGCTTCCGAAGCATACGTTTGTTTTTGAGTGCAATGCCAGGTCTTGAGACTTGGCCCCAACGATGCGCTGTGTGGGGCAAGCGTCAGCGGCGTCTTGCCCTCATTGTCGAGACGCCCGAAAATGGCGGCACTGCCCGCCCTGCCAAATTCGGCGGCTCGAACAGTAGGCAAGTTCTGTCGGTACTTAATCTGTAAAAAATAGCTATCTTAACTGCCAACGCAAGTCCTCTCCTTTGCTAGAACCCGAGACACGTTTATACGTGGGTTGCAATACTCTCAAAACCACTTTTCTTACCGCTCAAGCGGTGTCAGGTCTTCCAGAAATGGCAACGCGCACAAGCCTTCGGACTTTCCAAGATGCACGCGCCTGCCAAGAAAGAATTGGAAAGCTTGGTTGATGTCACTTCCTCCACATTCATTTCTTTCATGCACTCGAGGAATTGGCGAGCGAGCCAATAAGCACTCCGGCTGCAAGGGAAGACAAAGCCGTTAAATGCATTTCCGTCATCTCCATCGTAACCGGTAAGCGGGGCATTGGCCCGACTGGATCTCCAGCTTCACATTCATGGTGGGGTTGCTCGTGTCGTCGTCAGCTTTCGCTCGCAGGATTGAGGCGCGTTGGGACAAGGGTAGGGCTGTTGCGAGGACCGAAGCCAGCCTCCAACAACAGGGTTGCTCGAGTTGTTCTAGCCTCTGGCAACCAACCCGGTGAAGCCGGCTGCATTTAGCGATATTTATTGCCTCCGAGCCTCCGTCGCTGGGGTCATCCGATCCTTCCTTGTCTCCATTCATCCTCTTCATGCCTCTCAAAACCACTATCCACTCCCCGCTTGCCCTTCCTCGCCACCCTCCTTGACCCGACCCGACATCTTGCCTGGCCAAACAAACACCGACCCGAAGGCACGATGTCGGCTCTCCGCTCGTGGTTTCGCGGCCCGTCCGCTCCGGCGAGTTCCAAACCCTCGTCGAAGGGCACGACGCCCGGCCCGAGCCCGACCGATAGCACATCGACACTCGCCGGCAAAGCGAAGCCCGCGATCTCCCCCGCGGAGCAAGAGGCTCGCGACATGGAAGATGCGATAACCGCCGCCGGCCTGATCATGAACGACGACATCGACGGCGCGGAAGCGCTGCTGCGTTTGCGCGAGGACGCTTCCACCTTTCACCAACTGGGGCTGGGCGTTACCAGCTTCATGAGGAGTATCCTCGGGTTCGAGAAAGAAATTATGACCGAGGCGGCAAACCGGCTGAACGAGACGGAGAATAGGGCATGGAATGACATCAAGAAGGCACAGAAAGAGGCGGAGAAGGCGGGCAATGCGTCTGCCGGTAGCACGGGGTACTGGTACTCCAAGCCAGCGGCAGTCGAGCCAAATGCCGCGGGAAATGGAGGCCGGAGCAAAATATACCCTCCAGGGTCCGAGTTTGCCCTTGTTAATGCCGAGGCGCAGCTCATGAACGCTGTGGTGGGCGTGATGCACGAGAGCTTGACCGAGGCCATCAAGGGCTTTTACAAGCTGCGCAAAGCGTATGTTACGTTGGATGGCATCATGGAAGCCGAGGCTCGTTACTTGACCTCCATAGGGCAGGGTGAGGTGAAGAGGGCGGCTTCGACGAAAGCGGCTTCAGTGAAGAGAGCCAGCTTTTCGGAAGACCCCATGCCCGGGACTTTTGACGAATCGGAGTTCTCCTATCTCGACGACGAGACACAAACGCCAGTAGTTAAGGAGAGCGGCAATCAATCACCCGTAGAAACGGCGAAGGGCAGGGCGCAGACTGCTGGTGAGCCGATTGCGGTCAACCAAGATACGACGGTCCTTGACGAGAAGTTGAGCCGGGTTGCGATCAGCAAGGACTCTCAGCCCACCGATCAGCCGCGTCCGGCTCCCAAAGAGCGCCCCGGAGACGGGACACAAACCCTCGGCAGCTTCACGCTAGAGCTGCTAAACACATCCGGCCCCGACAAGGCTCTGTTCAACTCCACCGTTGATGTTTTCGTTCACAGTGGCGCCAGCATGTGCTTCGGCATCCTCCTGCTTCTCCTTTCCATGGTACCGCCGGCCTTCTCGCGCCTCTTATACGTCATTGGCTTCAAGGGCGACCGCGATAGGGGCTTGAAGCTGCTCTGGCAGGCCACCAAGTTCCCCAACATCAACGGGGCGATGGCGGCCCTCGTACTCCTCAACTACTACAACACCTTCCTCGGCATGGCCGACATCCTCCCACCCGAGCACGGCCCCGACAGCCCCACGTCCCCGGGCTTTACCGACAACAACAGCAACAAAAACGAGGTCGAAACCGTCGGCTACCCCAAAGAAAAGTGCACGGCGCTCCTCGCGACGATGCGCGAGCGGTACCCGGACTCACGGCTGTGGCGGCTGGAGGAGGCGCGGGTGCTGGCCAACTCGCGGCGGCTGGACGAGGCGATCGCGCGGCTCGAGGCCAACACGGACAGCAAGATGCGGCAGATCACGGCGCTCAACAACTTCGAGCTGAGCATGAGCTCCATGTACGCGCTGGACTGGCCCGCCATGCGCGACAATTTCCTGCGCTGCGTCGAGCTCAACAGCTGGAGCCACGCGCTGTACTATTTCATTGCGGGCTGTGCTGAGATTGAGATGTACCGTGATGCTTTCCACGCGGCTGCGGCGTTGGGTGATCATGACAAGGAGAAGGGCGTTCTCCTGACCGAGGCGCAGAAGCATAAGAAGGCCGCCGAGGAATACCTGCGCAAGGCGCCCACCGTGGCGGGCAAGAAGCGGTTCATGGCGCGGCAGCTGCCGTTCGAGGTGTTTGTGAGCCGCAAACTGCAGAAGTGGGAGGAGCGCGCGAAGGCAGTCGGGGTGGATCTTGCCGATGCTGTGGCCGTCAGTCCAGCGGTGGAGATGATTTATCTCTGGAACGGCAGCAAGCGGATGGGGACCAAGTACCTGGAAAAGGCGTGGACCCTCTTGGTGTGGGAGCGGTGCACAGCGCCGGCTGAGAAGCTTGCCAAAATCATGGAGGAGAAGGACGAGGTTGCCATTGCGCTGCTGACGGAGTCGGCGCTGTTGCGGCAGTTGGGCAGGGGTGCCGAGGCGAAAGCCTTGGTCGAGCCTCTGCTGGCGATGGACAGGTATGATCCTGAAACCCGGGCTATTTTTCTGCTCTTGAATGCTAATTAATGGAATCGCAGAACCGTCTTCAAAGGTCCCACGAGGGATGATTACTGCCGGGCTGCCGCCGACTACGAAATGGCCGCGGTGGCATGGATGGAGGTGTGGGACCTCAATTCATGGCCCAAGGGCACCGCAGAAGAGGTCCAGGCGTTCCAACGCCAGAAAGTGGATGAGTGCCGGGAGTACCTGGATAAGGTTTCCAAATCGGAGGGGTTTGTACTGGATGCCCGGTTCGGGATGAGAGTCAAGGCCGGTATGGAGACGGTCGAGTGGTTGCGGGCGAAGAAGGGGTGGGCGTAAGGCTGTCTTCCGGCTTCCTTTTGGGCGTCTTAAATACACGGCGTGCTGAGATTTAGGATACAATTGGAGAGAAAGGTTTTGGCGGGAATAGACGGGCCATCATATCTTGCTCATAAAAGATCCAACTGGACACAATGTCTGGGTATAGGGGTCATAAATTCACTAACACATCATCGCATCAACCTGACCATAACACAATCCACATCCAAATACATTCCCCATCCATCACAACCCTAAATCACTCCCCCCTCTTCCCCTTCCGCCTCCCGCTCCCCTTCCTCCACCCCTCCACCCCATCCCTTACCGCATCCCCCACCTCCCCAGCCTTCCTCGCCCCCCGTTCCTGCACCCTGTGCTTCTCCGCCTCGTCCCTCAAATCCGCCATCACACCCCCCCCCAAACTCGTCCCATGCACCCAATCCAACACCCCCCACCCCCCAAAATTCCCCACCCTCCCGGAACCAGACCTCCCCCCCGCCCCCCGAAAATGCACCGCCGCCCGCCGCGCCATGCCCCCCAGCAAAATCCCCGGCACCACCGAGTACCCGGACAGCGTGAGCGTCTCCTCCAGCGTGGCCAGCCCCGCGAACAGCAGGAAGGTCAGCAAGTGGAGATTGTGGGCGTGCAGGGCCAGCGCGGGCAGGTACAAAGGCAGGAAGCGGTGCAGCAGGTAGGGGAGCGGGTGGTCGGTTTTGAGGGCCAGAGCGAAGGGCGGGGCGGCGCGGGAATGGGCGTGCTGCGTGTGGAGGCTGGTGAGGGTGCGGGTTGGGGCGGGGGGTTTGGTTCTTTTGGTGGGTTTGAGTTTGGGGGGGTGGCCGTGCAGGACGTAGCGGTGGGTGTAGTAGGTGAGGATCTCGCGGCCGGTGAAGAGGAGAGCGATGTGTTTGATCATTTGCCAGGGGAGGGGGAGGGTGGTTGCGGTGCGGAAGACGGGGGTCTTGAGGAGGGTTGCGAGGCCGAGAGAGATGCCCGCCTCGGCTGCGGTTTCGAGAGCGAGGTTGAGCAGGGCCAGGCCCGTGAGTCGGGCAAGGGATTTTGCATCGCGCGGCGGGAGGGCGGATGTCCCATTACACTTGATGTTCTCTGCTAACGACGGCAGAAGGGTGTCAAATGCGAGGAAGAGGAGAGAGGGCAGGAGCCAAAAAGCTATGCGCAGTGCTGTAATGCCCAGAATCTCGATTTGAAGCGGAGAGTGGGTGAGCACTAGTGTCGACCAGGTCATGTAGAAGAAGAGGAGGTTGAGCGAGGTAGACCATGATGTGAGCGAGGCCGAGAAAAAGTAGGATGCAACGGGGAGAGATAAGAGGATGTCCATGGTGTTGTCGTTGTTAGCATCGGGTTGTCGATAACTTCTTCGCTTCTGGTTTTCTTGGCGGCGTTCGGTGAGTCGGGTTAGAGACTCTGAGGGAGGACACGCGAGCTGGACTTAGGAAGTTCGGATCTCCAAAGCATACCGCCTCAGCAAAGAGCGTCATGGGGTAAACTTGTTCTGCTATGTTTTATCTATCGTTCTGTTGTGCCCAACTTGTTCTTGATCCGCCGCTCCAGCGTCGACAGTCCACAATATCCCAGTTGTGAAAAGATGGAATATGACGTCAGTCAAGCTTCAGGAGAACTTGGCTTTTTAAAGGCGGTCTGCACCGGCAATAACCCTTCGCACTGCGGGAGGATAAATTGATAAATTGGCAAATAAGACTGGAGGAGCATCAATTAAGGTTGTGATTGGCGCTTCTTGATTTCAGCTGAGAGCAACTCTCGGCCAAGCATACGCATTCGGTGTGGTTTTGAGCCCTCGTTCCCTGCGTTCCCTCTCCTTGGGTCGAATGGAAGAATAATAAGACGGCTCCTTTGCCCGCTGGTTCGTGGAACCCCCACCCTGGGAAAGGCAAGGGAGGGGACCCGGCCCACTGATCCAAACTTCCGGATGACGGGTCAGGAAATTGCATTTAAGGAGCCGAGTCTTACTCAAATGTCGCTTTTAGGCCAGGCAGAGAAGTCGCATCGTGGCTCTATATGTGTATATATATCATGTTCGGTCAATTCAACGGACGCTTGATCATAAGTCGGTGCATTTCTCCCCCCTTGCCCCTCTTTTGGCTGCGAAGCCTGTCGGACGAAGGGGCTTCTGTTCGAACCAAACAGATCGGGATTAGGGGGAGTTGCCCGCATGTAATTTCAGGGGTTCGGAGCACAGGCCACCATCCCAAGGTCAGTGCGCGTTTTTCTTTTGTGCTGTCACGGCTTTCCGCTCATTCGACACACATTGATTTTCCTCGGCGTTTCCTGACCTGTCGGAGGGGTTATCAACAACACCAACTTTTGCGTTTTCCCAACAGCCTGAGACAGGCAACTCCTTCTGACGACCGGAACCAACATGACCAGTCCTGCCTCGAGCCAATTGGACCCACAAAACCCTTGACCCCGGACCTGAATGTGCTCCACCCACATTTCCGACCGCTGATTCGCGCCTCGTGACAGCAGCTGGGTGGTTTTTCTCAGCAAACTTCTGGGTATCTTTTGCTGCATGGCGCCCGCTTCTGCATGCTCTTTTATTTATTTTGGTTTGACTTATCATCTAGCTACCAGGCAAGCCAAGTTCATGATATTGTCGCATGAGACAATAGTCATCTTTTGATGGTTGGTCGAATTACCCCAAAAGCGTTGGACGTTTCTTGGGCCTGCCAGACTACCTTTCATCCCAACTCCCCCCCTAGCCTTTACTGGTCGAGCTAGAGCTGCGATCCTCGTTTTGGTCTCGGCCGCCGCCGCTCTATCGACACCCGGTCCTTCTGCATGCAAGTTTGCACCCACCTGCAGGAGCCAGTTCGAGCTTTCCGCCAACCTCACACCGCATGCCTCCGAGACAACCCGGCGATCTTGAGTCGCTCCCACTTGAAACTTGGAGACGCACGTGTGAGAACAACCCCTGAACAGCCTTCGTCGCTTTCCGCTTTCCGGGCTCTGCCGACAAACCCGGTTAGTTGCACCAGATTACCCGACCCACGCCGTCGGCGCCGGCGCTCCCCCCATGATGGACCATTCCTCACTCGCTGCCGCCCCGCCTCCCATTCCTCGCAGGTCCCGAGAACGTGAGCGTGGCCGCCACGGTGACACATCTCCCGAACGCCGCCGCCGAGATCCTTCCCACCCCGCGCCGCCTGCCAAGACGACTCGCGACCGAGATCACAACGACGTCTTCGCCGGCTGGTCCACCCGAGACCGAGAGCGCTACGCCGAACGCTTCCTGCGAGACCAAGAACCCGACCAGGTTGGCCCGCTCCCCCCTGCGTCGCCCGAAGTCATCTCGTCCCTCATCACCTCTCTGTCCGCAATATCCAGGCCAGTGAGCAATCACTTTGACGGCCCCTCCTACCTAAGCCCAATTGGCTCGGCAAGTCCCATTTCGCTGTCACTCCCCGGCTCCCCCTCCCGCGGCGGATCGTTTGGTGTCGACTACGGCGCCTACGCAAAGCCGTCGCTGAAGCAACTACGAGAGGAGGATGTGCCCATAGAGGATCTCGCAGCCAGCGCCCCCGTCGTCCGGACGTCCAAGCCTCCCAGCGGCTTGTCGGTCCGAACGACTCCCAAGTCACCGAAGAGCCCAAGTTCTCGGGATTCATCCGGCCTGCGAGGCATCCTTTCGCGACGAAGTAGCGGCGCGCTTTCTCGTCCATCAAGTAAGGGTTCGGCAACATCCGGCGGCGAGAGTATCGGCAAGCTCAGCATCGAGCGCAGCCAAGAACCTTTGTCCCCCGGACCGGAAGGCCACAGCCTGAAGAAGCAACAGTCATACGATAGCTGGGGTAAAAAGACGGCGCGGAGTCAACGCGGCCTGATGTATATGAGTAGCAAGGAGAGGTTGCGCGAAAAGGAGGCCGAGAAGAAACGAGCGAGCATCGGGACCGTCGGGGCGAGCACCAACAGGCTCAGCTCGGCGAGCAATCCCACGACTCCGCGCCTCGACCCGCTATCCGCAGAGTCGATCATAAACGAGGAATCGCACGGGGATTTCACTGTAGGAGAATACAGCGCCCTAGAAGGGCCCATCGACACCCTGGCGAATCCCCGGTTGATACCTACGAGAGATTCGTCGCTGCGGAGGAGCAAGAGGTCCTCAGCGAGGGGATCCCGAACTTCAAAACGGGATAGCGAGGGCGGTGCGTACGGCACGATTATAGAACTAGAAGAGCAATCTAGCGCCACTCGAGGCTCGCGTAACGACGCGGCGCAACAACGTCAGCCCGACGGTCAAGGAATTGACCAGCCAAGTCTCGCCGCCGGCTTCACCCACGGCAATTCCGCCTCATTGGGCAAACCCCGCCCCGACGCGCCCGCCATGAGCCCATCCACGCCTGTGGTCAGCATGTTTTCCGACGCTCATGCGATCGACGACGGTGCACCCTCTCCTGCCGTCGCCCAAGGCCGTCGTCGGGATCGGGAAGCCAGCGCCGAGTACCGCCGTCGTTCCGGCCGGCTCACGCCAGATCCGTTCGGTGGATATGCCAGCGAAGGTGGCGGGACGACGGTCAAGAAGAAGCGCAGCAGTACGAAGCTCAAACGACTCTCGGGGGCGCCCAGCCTCACGCCCGACGCCGCGGAACTGGGGGCAACCGTGAACAAAAGGCATAGTGATCAGCCGACGGTGGCCTACGAGCGGCCCCAGAGCGCCGACAGTGTGGACGACTCTGTGGAAAGCTACTTATGCAGCCCTCGCCTCAGCCAGAAGATTAAGCACCCCCAAACAGGCCGCGTCGTCAGCTTCAGTGAGGTCGGGGACCCGAATGGGAGCGCCGTCTTTTGTTGTGTTGGCATGGGCTTGACGAGGTACATTACGGCATTCTACGACGAATTGGCCCTGACGCTGAAACTACGCCTGATAACGCCGGACCGTCCGGGCGTCGGTGACAGCGAGCCCTATGCCGAGGGCACCGCAACGCCTTTGGGCTGGCCTGGTATGTATTCTTCAAAAGCCATTCTAGCCCTCGATCCATGACTAACACTCGGCCCGTAGATGACGTATATGCTATTTGTCAGGCTCTCAAGATCACCAAGTTCTCGATCCTCGCGCATTCTGCCGGCGCTATTTATGCGCTTGCTACCGCACTCCGAATGCCCCAGCATATCCGCGGCAGGATACACCTGCTCGCGCCCTGGATACCACCCTCACAGATGAGCGTGTTTGGAGCAAGCGAGAAGACCCCATTACCCCCAACCAATGCCATCCCCACCAGTCAGAGGATATTAAGAGCACTCCCGACGCCGATTTTAAAGGCTGCCAACAGCAGCTTCATGACTGCAACGAGCTCTAGCATAACTAGTTCGTTACCAAAACAGAAACGCACCAAGCGTGATAAGAAGAATAAGGACAACAAGGATCAACCGAAGGGCATGTTCCACGCCGCGCTGGAAAACAAGGAGAATATCGACCCCGAGAATTCGAAGAGTTATGCCACCATACCGGCTGCAGACGAAAACATGGACCGCGTCCGGCCGGAAAACAGCACCACCAATAACGGTTCCCAGGGTCACGGCATCGGCGGGCATCGTCACCGCCGCTCCAACTCGTCCTATCAGGGGATGCGGAGGGAGTCAGAGGATCCGATTCTCTCCTCGGCGGCGGCGCTGGCCACTTCGCAGGCTGCCGACCGCGAGCGGCAGGAGCTGTATGACAGCCGCCTGACGCACGCGATCTGGCAGCTGGCGACAACGGGCGCCAACCCTGCGGTCGACCTGCTCGTGTGTCTGGAGCGCCGGCATACCATTGGCTTCCGTTATGTCGACATCACCCGGCCGGTGGTGATTCACCATGGAAGCCGGGACACGCGCGTGCCCGTGGACAACGTCCGGTGGCTGGGCAAGACGATGCGCCGGTGCGAGGTGCGCGTGCTCGAGGGTGAAGGCCACGGTTTGATGGCAAGCGCGCAAGTCATGGGCGGCGTGCTCATGGAGATTAGTACGGAATGGGAGGAGTGGTCGAGAGTGACGGGGGCCACCAAAAGAGAGACCGAGAGGACGAGAAGGAACACGATCGGGCAGCGGTGAGGCGTCACGTTTGGGGATTTATGAGTTCTTTTGTGTTGGAGCGGTGTTCTTGAATTGGCCATGGTGTCCTTATACCCCGTTTTGGATGAATGTTTGGAAGCCCACCCTGTCAGATATCCTGGGCCTGTCACGATACGTACATACATAATCACTAATACATGAAGTTTGGGGTCACCAACTAACTGACCTGCCCACATTCTCTCTATCGCCATCCACCCACCCACCCACCACCCATTCTCCCCCGCCCTACGGCCCATACTTTACAAGCGTAGACAGCCAACTCGAATTCGTCATTTACTCTCGCGCGGTCCATGGGAGACGTCTCCCCCGGAGTTACGCTGTCTCACGTCGATCAGCAACATTTGGCGACCGGCACTATGCACTTGGACGTATCGTCTTCTTCCTGTCGGCGGCGATCGGAAGAAGCATGCCACAGACGAGGGCAGGGTGCAGTTGGCAGGATATATTGAACGATCAGGACACCTTCCACTACCTCAAGGGAGACGAGGACAGTGACCTCTGATACCTGGACTTCCAGTGTCATAGCCTGCCGGTTGTCATATGGCACAATTACTGACGGTGCACTTACATGATTAAATGGTGGGGGTGGTGGGGATGGGTTGGGCGGGTTGTTGTTATCGGAGTTGTTGTTGGGGGTGGTGGTGGTGTCGCTGGCGGTGGGGGGGGTGTTGCTTTGAGTTTGGACCGCAGCGCGGCGATCATGCCCTCGGCCGCGTCGATGGCTGTGACGGAGCGCACGGAGGGGGCGAGCGCGAGGGAGAGGAGGCCGGTGCCGCAGCCGAGGTCCATGATGTCGTAGGTTGACAGGATTTCCGGGGGCGGGAGGCGGGCGAGGTAGGCCTTGTGGGCGAGGGCTGTGGCTAGCTGTACGGAGGGGTTTGAGTCCCAGGAGAGGGCTTCCTCGTTGAAGCGGGCGGTGTTGGCTTCTGTCATTTTGTTGGTGGTGTGCGAGAGGATTAGTGTTGTCGTGGTTGTTTGGGAGTTCAGTCGGTCGGGCGTGGTAAGGCTCTTGGTTTAGTATCGTATGTTACCACTACGTGCCCATGACCCAGCAGCGCGGGTATTCGAGGCTCAGGGGTTGACTCGGTTGGGTGGTTGGTGGTTGCACATACCACTGCGCATGACACTGGACGTGGAGCTGGCGGCCAGATGAGGGGTTGCCCGGTTGGGGCCCGCCCGGGAACGTGTGCCGAGTTCCATCATGACCTCGGTCAAAAAAGCCGATCTCCAACTACATACATAAATAGATAGGTTATTGAGGAGGAGGTGAGTACTGGATTTAACTATTATAGGAATACATAATCAGTTGGGATATCATCTAACTTCAACCGTATATTGGTCAACTGCTTTTGTCTTTCTTAAGTTTTCATTTCCTTTCCCCAATTCTTCTCTTTAATCCTCCTCAGTCGATTCCTATCTTCCAGGATATCTTTCCCTCTATGTTTTACTATTTTTCTTTTCGCCTCTTTTAGACCCGCCGTTGACCGAGTCTTACACCATCGCCTCGTCCTCCGCTGAATCGAACTTACACGACAGTGATTCATTTCCGGAAACGAGGAAGGTGCCAACAAACACCCCAAGACCGACCAGTCCAGTCGACCCCTAATGAGCATAATATGGTTGATCAGGCCTAGATCTTTAGTTTGAGGGTAGCATTGTCAGATACCAACTATATGCCACCACCACGCTAAACATCCAGTCACTCGATTGATACTCCCCAATGTCTCTCGGTGGGACACCCATTGCTGCTGTCAGATTTGGAATCGCTTTGGAGAACGACAATCACGAGAAATTTGCCCTAGAGGCTCATTATTGAAGCGAAGCTTCAATTGATGAGTCTCTGAGATGTAATCTGTACAATGTACATTGAGGAAGCGAAGAAGGAATGCTTCGATTCATTTACTGGGCGAATCCTCCAGAGTTTCTCAAGGAGCGATTGGATGCCACAGAACTGGCGTACTTAGCGTACTTGGCGTTGTGGCTCTGTGGCTCGATACATCTATCGCCAGATTGGGCGGGTGGGGGTTGGGGGTGACGTTGGGAGCGCCGCAGGCAAAAAAGCAGGGACCCGGCTACGGAGCGTCAAACCCTCCTTACTCCCAAAACCCAAATCGCATTCAGAATTTCATCCACACACCCCACCGTTCCACCTGCAAACCTTCACCAAACCTCGCTTTCAGCAATTAATCCACTTCGCATGCAACAGCGGGAATAAGATTGTATTCAGCCACATTACGCCACGTCTTGCGCATCAAGCTTCTTCCGGTTAGATCATCCTTAATTGTACCGATCAGCTTGTCACTAACATTCTTTCCAAGCGCACCTGTCTCGAGATTGTACCGACCGGCCGTTTTCCTGTTTTGAAAAATATAAGGATCTCATCATCATCGTCAGAGTTATACTCATTGGCTTCAGACTCGCTAGTCTCAGGCTCCTCCTTAACTCTTTCCTCCTGATCCTTCTTTGTCACCTTGTCCTGCTCTAACTTAGCCTTCTTCGACAAGACAGAAAGACCCCCCACAAGCTTCGAGCTTGACGCAATGGCTGTTAACCCCTGGGTATCTGATCGAGCACGTTTTGCTGTCTTCTTGACAGCTAGGTCCTCCCTTTCCTCCCGTACGACAGGGTATAGTTTCTCCTTGAGGAGATACAGAGACACATTCTCATCAGGCTTGACATTCCCCCTATTTGTTGTTGCCTTGTGAAGGTCACGGAATGTGACAGGTCTCTCTGGATCAAGGCTAGTCATCTCAGATACTTTCTTGTTCTTGCCAGCTGAGAGTTTGCCGATGAATCGAAACTCAGATGGTGCAAACTTCTTGGCCCTGCAGGCATTGTCAAGCAAGTACCGGATAATGTGTTCGTGATTGGCAAAGTGCTGATCAAGAGGCACTTGGACTGGAAGACAAGAGCTGATTGAGCCAACTTCAGTCCATCGACGAGTCTCCTGCCCCCCGATGGTGACAACATCCACATCTGCAGCGAAGACCTCCAGTGTAATTGAGATCACAACTGGAGAAGGTTGAACAGGCTTGACGTTTGGGTTTGGAGAGTTGCGTTCGGCAAGAGCAGTTGAGTGAGCTTTGTTGAACCCAGTAAGTGCCTGCCCCGCTTGAGATGGACGAGGGGTAGTTGTAATATCAGGAGTCGACTGGGTAGGCTGGACAGACTGGCTAGGTTGGGCAGGAGGTATAGCGACAGGCGAAACAGGGGTTAGGGCAGAATTGGCTGAAATTCCATGATCCGAGTCGTCGTCAGAAACGAGGTCGAGCAGGAGCGTAGTCTTGCATCTCTTGCAGACCTCCGTGAACTTGGCGGAGCCGGGTACAGGGTGGCGTTTGCCGGTAACAGGGCAAAAGGGGTCCAACATCTGGTGGGGTAGGGCAGGAGTGGTTCGATCAAGCGTGATCGAACGCAATCAAGCTTAAATAAATGTGTCTTAGAAGGAAAGAAATAGAGTAAGATTTTAAAAAATAAATAACTAATCCTTGAAAAAAGAATGGCGGAGCTGGTTGACAATCCATGCTGTCGTCATAATGTCTGTCTCGCAGTTGCTAAGAAGGTCGGGAGGATTGGGCAATGTGACCCCTTTGTATGTGAAGAATGACATCGGCTTCGGAGCCATGGTCTGCTTGAGCCGCGATTGATGAGCGAGCAAGAAACTTAGTTTCTAGAATTGAAAACTTACAGGTCTCGAAGTCGCGGGCGAGGTGGTGGGCAGGACATTGTTAGCGACAAGCTCGTCGGTACAATCAAGGATGATTGAACGTAATGGAGCTTCATGCGCGGGAGGCGGGGTAATGTGGCTGGAGATGATCTGGTTGCCGTAATTGCATGCGAAATGGTTTTGTTGGACGTTATATGGGTTTAACGAATATTGGCACAGCGCAGGACACGGGGTTCATTGGGGTCGAAATTGAATGGGTTCAACTGATTTCTTGATTGATGATTCTCGCAGATTCGGAAGCCGCCTTTTCTCTGTCCCCAATTCGGGTCTGGTGCCTGGGGCTTACCAAGGTGGCCTGAGGCAGTCTGATTACTCATCCTTTCCAACAGGTTTTCAGTTTGCAATCGGGATTTGGTTGGGGCTTCTGGCACTGGTTGGGTGAACCGAGTGAAAATTTTGGAGGCGATTTGGGTTTTGGGAGTAAGGAGGGTTTGACGCTCCGTAGTTTTGGGAGTAAGGAGGATTTGACGCTCCGTACCCGGCCCATGGGGTGTTGGTTGCCTATTACTTCTTAAATTTTCCGTTCAAACTCCTTCGTGTTTCCATTGTCACGCTGGAAACCCATGGCGACAATTACAACAACGTTCCGACCGCATCCGACATGCTATGCGCCGTCAAATCTCTGGCTTGATGCCTCTAATACCATTTGGCCATGCGGCACAGAAATTTCCTCACCGCCCGTGTGCACTTTTATCTACCTAGGACGTCCCAGGAATGGGAACCATGATGACCCGTGCAATCAGAATCATTGGACCACCACCGGAGCCACCATGTTCACGAACATCGCATACAGTGCTTGCCCGGAAGGCATGACGGGCGCCCAAACCGAGACGAATGAGTATACGGGCATCACCACTGTGCAAACAATCTGCTGTCCGACGTGAGAAACATCTTATTGAGTCCCAGCTGCGTGTTGATAACTGACCGAAGTGCTCACCCTTTGCATCGTCATAGAGCCTATGACTTCGCCGTAGTCACGCTAGCCCAGCCTTCGGTTCCGCCTCCTATCCCCAGTGACGGCACCACGTACTCGGCGGTAATTCCCAGCACATATACCGTCTGCAAGGCCGCTTCTGTGAAGGAACTCTCAGACCAGGAGGTCACCTTAACCGTCTCACGGAACCAGTCGCATCCCACATTGATCACCAAGACAAAATGGGACTATGAAAACGGCTTCATCGTCGCGACACCGGCTGTGATCTCCAAACGCCTTTATACAGACCCCGTAGCTGGTACAGCCTCGACCTGCTTTGGGCCCTGGTGGGGCTGTACACAGAGTAACCCGTTTGTCCCCCGTCTAACTTCCGCCCCGCGCCCGTGGGACCGAGAAACCCTCCGCCCCCTACCGGCCGTCACCCAACCCACATTGGCACCATCCTGCCCCTCGGGCGCCAACCCTTGATTCGTCTCCGGGACCTGTCCCGCCCTTTCCGGCAACAGCATCCGCCGCTTCTGTCCGCTCTAGTGGTATGGTAGGGCACATCGGGTGGCTGATGGACAGTCCCAACTGAACGTAGCGGAAATGGGATGCTACGAACGACGTGAGGCAGCCTATGTAACTGTATTACACGTCCGCACCGTCGACTGAAATGGTTGAGGCGGTGCCGAGGGGTGATCTTTGGGCGGTGTCGTTGGTGGTGGTTGTGGTCCCGGATGCACGCGTAGTTCCTGGGGCGTTGGGATACCCGGGTGTGGTGCTGGAGAAATGATCCATGTGTGTATAGGTAGTATCTACTCTTTCGATATTGTGCATATCAACAAACCTTGGCAGCACAACGTGAACAAGGACCTTTTAGCTGGGGCTTAACTATGCCAAGTTGTGACAATGCATAGTCCGGCCTTGGTATGTATATTATAGGGATCTATTCTTGCGTTAATAAACTCAAGGCTCCCAAGCTGATCTCCGAGGTTCCATTGGAGCCTTTACAAGCTTCTCGGTACTGTACCCCCTGTACAGGCCATAAGTACGCTCGAAACCTTTTCGTATATGGTGAACACTATTCCACCACTCAAAATCAGGCGGCCAAGCCGCATTGTGCTTCCCTTCCAAAGTCCACGCAAGCCTGCGTCGATCCATATACTCGTGGCGGCCTCCAAGGTGGTAGCGCCCTTGGCGCTCTGTGTCCTGCTCTTGATGGTATCAAACGGCTGGGTCGCATACACCGTGATAGTGCCTGCAATCGCACCCAGAGCGAAGGTTGTTATGCTGTTTTGTGGCATCCCGCTCTTCTGCCACATCTGCTTCAGCATGTTGTAGGAACCCATGCGGACGGCCGACGTTGTACATTGTTTCAACGTTGTCGACGACAGTCCTTTGTACAGCGTCGTGATTCCCTGCTCCTTGACCAGTATCCCGGCGGCATGCGCGCTGGAGCGGTATCTCTTTGCACCCCGGGCATCATCGATCCTGTTTTTATTAGTTTGTTTTCGTTTTAGATGGCAAAGGTAGGTTTTACTGACATTGCAGTCTTAATCCTCTCAGTCGGCGTCACGGCCGCGACGCTCTCCAGAGCCCCGGCTACCATGCCAGCAAAGAGGGACTGTGTGGCAGTGAGATGACCTGACGGGTCGGATAGATGGTTTTTGATGCTATCAAACGACATGAAGCGCACCCCGGCTTTGAGAGCGGTGCCCTGGATTTGATGTTAGTAGATACATGGCTTGCTCTTGGTGAGCACGGAAGTCCACGAACCACGATCAGAGTCGAGCATCCCACATACAGAGCACCGATTCCCGCTTCGGCAACGGTGTGTTTGATAAGAACCAAGGGGTTCAAGTTTTGGGTAGCTGCACCCGCTCTTAGCTGAAGCCTGGTCTTGGCAAATTCGAAGGGATACTGCTCAGCTCGTCAGCAATCTCGTCTTCCCCCGAGAATAACAAGTTTAATGCCCACTGTGATAGCGGCTTCAGAAGCGCCTGCGACCGCACCCGATACCACGGAAACCAAAGGGGACACTTTCTTGGCCTCGGTGCGCTGTGTCTGCCCCGCAGGCCTGGGTGTGGTCATTGCAAGTACTTGAGCCATGAGATGAGCGGCGTAAGAGGTGACTGTCCATATCTGGATATCATATTCACAGGCAGGCCGCAAGGCATTATTTAGTGCGGGTATGCTAGGTACAAGAGCTCGCTGTGGGGTTGGGGTTTGAACGATGGAGCACTTACTTCCCGCTGGTTGATTCCGCGGAAGGCGGCACTGCTTGACACATCACCTTCCGCGGCATCTGATACCTTACCCACCGAGCACCCTTCCCGGTGGGCCCTGCCCTACACTGACCAGTGCCGAAATGCCGCGGGTTATCTTTCCCCACCACTCACTCCACCTGAAATTGAACTCAGTCGCCTCCTGTCTCTCACAAATCATGGAGCTCACTAAAAATCAAATCCGCGCCGCGGAAACAATCAACGATGTCGTCGAGCAACAGCAGCGTGGCCACAGCACAAAGATCCCGGAAACGGCGGGCGGCAGCTGCCTGTAGCTTTTGCAAGCTCCGCAAAGTTTGGGCCTCCATTCCGACTCGCTGTCATGGCAAACGCTGACCATCGGTGACGCGTGTCAAGATTAAGTGCAACAACGAAGAGCCCAAATGTGCCAATTGCAGAACTTACGGGAAGGAATGTGTCTACGTACCGGCGAAAGCTCGGCGGCCCCGGGTACCTACCACCCCAAACGCAGGGGCATCGCCCGCGGCGGAGATCATGGTAGCCCGGGAGAGTCCCAGGACCCCCAATAACGGTGGTTCTCATGTCACTACCAATCCAACCGTGCCCGTGACATCTGCGCCTCCCAGCCGCTGTCCCACGGAAAGGGCCGGAGAACCAACTGTTCGCGAGACTTCTCGTCATGGCTTCCAGGACCGAAGTGCCGAGACCCTTGATGGCAACCAGGATGCAAACCAATCCGCTGGGCCAGCGACTACGAACTACTACGGCCCAACAAGTGCACACTTCGAAGCGCCTACCCCACATTGTGGCCGAGGAGCCCTGAAGCCGCCAGAGCGGGTATTGCCCCCGGACCTCGTGGAGAAGGTCTTGATGGCGGAGGCGGCGCACCAGCGGCAGATGGAGACCATCAACTTCGCGGCCGGAAAGCTTGACTTCGACGGCGTCGACCCGGAGCTTGGCCTTCACCTGCTTTCTCTACATTGGAACCGTCAGCATCACTCGTTTTTGCTGACCTATCGTCCCGCCTTCATGCGCGATATGGCCTGCGGCGGCAAGTATTTTTCCAAGTTGCTGCTCAATGCCATCTACTTTGGCGCTTCTAAATTCAGCCCTCGCCTGGAGCTGCGGCGCGACCCAGACGACGTACGCACTGCGGGCTGGACCTTTCGACAGCGGGTGAAGGACCTTCTAGGGGGTGCGCTCGATCAGAGCGAGATCACTACCATCCAGGCCCTCCTCGTCATGACCAACTCGCTCTTTGCTCTTGGCGACGAACGCAGCGCCGCGTGGTTGTATGCGGGCCTTGCTTTTCGCATGGTGATAGATCTCGGTATCCACGTCGACCGGCCCTATATCTTGGGGTCTAGCGGACTTTCCGACGAGGATGTCGAGATCCATAGGCGTGTCTTCTGGGGGGCCTTCGTCGTCGACAAGATCCAGTCGCTGTATCAAGGACGGCCGCCGAGCCTCCAGGACATCGACACACGGGTACCTCTGGTTTTCCGCGACCGATATGAAGAGCTGGATTACTGGACTCCGTTCGCTTTCAACGCCTCGAGCAACTATCCCGGATGTCCCGCCTACAGCGTGTCCACGTTTACCGAGCTCTGTAAACTGTGCGTTATCATGAACCAGATCATCAACAAGCTGTACGCGGAAAAGAGTGTCCGAAAGCACCCTTCGCAACTGCATGGTGACCTTGAGACGCTCAAGAAGCAGCTTGAGCTTTGGAGCAGCGAACTCCCCGAGCACCTGGTCTACCTCTCGGCCCACGCCAGCAAACCAACGCCACCGCCTCATGTACTGTCCCTGCAAGCCATGTTCAATGTGCTCCTCATCCTCCTGAACCGACCCTTTGTTTCAGAAGGCCGCCTAGAATCGCAGACGGTGGTCGCCGAAGCCTTTGCGTCGTGCGCAACGGCTGCCACGCGCATTGTGCACCTACTCGAGGCCTACGAGCGAGCCTTTTCTATCGCCCGCGCGCCATATCTCATCTCCTATGCCACCTATGTGAGCGCCACCATTCACGTGCGGATTGCGGCCCAGCGCGAGCCCGGCTCCGAAGCGCACGTCTGCCTGCAGACATGCCTTGGGGTTCTGGAGACAAATCAGGAGACGAACTGGGCCGTTCGAAAAGCTACCAAAGTCATCATCGATCTTGCCGATCGGATGAACGTAAAAGTACGCCCCAGAAGCCGCCGCATGGTGACAGACACGCGCGCCAGTGACATGGCGCGGCCTGGGGGCGAGTCGGCGAGGGGAAACAGCAGTTTTGGGAACATCTCCGCTGGGAGACCGGATTCGTTCCTCATGACGCCGAGCTCCCGACAGGATCCTTCTACAGCTGCGTCTCGCCAATTTGACATGGACGCCATCATCCAGAGTTTCATGCAAGAACAGAGCGAGCTTACCGGCCGGAATCAGCCGACGATCCAGTACACAGCTCCTAACGCCGGTGCTTTGACCTCGCCCGGCATAGCTTCCGTTCCGCGGCAACTGGACCCGTGGCAGACTCAAATAGACCCACTTCTCACCCCCGACTTCTTGCCGGACGACGCCTTGTTCGGCTTTAATCGTGTGGCTTTGGACCCGGCCTGGTGGGGGGACCAATCTTGGGGCAACGGATGAGATACAGGACGGTGGTTAGAACGCAGCTGGTAACGGATCCCGCCGTGCCGGTAGCCGTGCGGTTCCGCGGCATCACAGATGCAGACGTGTGTCTAGCCAGACACAGGGAGGGAAGGTATATTGATATGCCCCTCGCTGCCACTTGCACGGATGCGGTTGCTAGTTTTATTTTGCGCTTAGCTTTTTAGTTTTACTTTGCGCTTAGCTTTTAGAGCATGTCCGGGGCGATCCTAGCGGCGGCTGCATTTCCACCCCCTATCTACGCAGAGTGCTTGCTCCCACGACTCGCCATGGCCATCCAGGAGAGAACACGACGCTGTGCAGTACGCTCGGTAATGATGCGTGCTGGCACATCCAAGGGTCTGTTCTTTCGACGAGAAGATCTCCCCCGGAATGTTAGCGAATGGTCACCCATCATCCTGGGCGCCATGGGGTCTTTGGATAACGACTTGCGCCAGCTCAACGGCGTCGGTGGCGGCTCCTCCACAACATCCAAGGTTGCCGTCGTGGCACGATCCAAACGACCGAAACGTGGATGTGGACTACACCTTCATCCAGGTCCCTGTTGGCAGGGGGGAGTTGGACTTTTCGGGAAACTGCGGAAACATGGTCTCCGGCGTAGGCCCATTTGCCGTGGATGAGGGCATGGTGATGACAGATCCCGGCGCTTCCAAAGTAGGTTACAACTGCCCTGGCGCCCCCCTCCCCCCCCTCCCCCCCCCCCTTCCTCCTCCCTCGAACCTAAAGTTGACATAGTTCAGGCTGATGTGCGCATTTTCAACACCAACACGGGTCGCCTCATTGTCGACACGGTTGAGCTGGACGAGACAGGTCTCTTCGAGCCGAACGGCGATTGCCGCATTGGCGGATTCGGCGGGACGAGGAGCCGCATCGATGTCAGCTTTGTTGAGCCAGCCGGTAGGATGACTGGCAGTTTACTTCCGACGGGACAACCGGAAGAGACGCTACGCATCGATTTTGGCCCATCCGTGGGCAAGCACGACGTCGGTGTGACCCTTCTGGACGCCGCCAATCCTTTCGTCTTTGTGGACCAGAGCAGCCTGCCACAAAACCTGCCCTCCCCCCCAGATTCACTCGGCGCCCATGCCTGGGTAGAGCAGATACGACGGGCCGGTGCCGTGCGCTATGGCCTTGCATCGACGTTGGAAAATGCCGCCAAGGTCCGCGGGACCCCCAAGATTGCCTTGCTACAACCACCAGAGGACGGCAGCAAGCAAGATATCCGCGTTCTGTCGTATAGCATGGGGAAACCTCACCCAAGTCTTCAGCTCACGGGCGCAGTGTGTCTTGCGGCAGCGCTCTGCGTGCCCGGCACTGTGGCCCACCGACTATCCCGTCCCTCTGCTATCGCGGCTGGACAGGGGCCTCCAACCCCCCCGGAGAGTGAAGATGGCACAGGGAACCACGGTGATGTATCATCAGAAGCGGTGCAGCTTTTGCAGAAGCAAGAACGGATGGTGCTGGTGGGCCACCCCACGGGACAAATCGAAGTCGCGATTGGCTGGCAGCTGGGTCGCGATGGCGAAGTAAGGATTGAATATGCCAAGGTTTTTCGGACGGCTAGGAGGATATTTGCTGGTGAAGTTGTCGTGGATCTGGCGTACGGCCGGCAAATGTGTGGCGAGGCGGTTTGAAGCACCAAAACTTGAAGGTCTCATGATGAAAATACAGAATTTTACATGGGGTAGATAAGATGTAAACTACATAGCATTGTCGAATTTCACGAGTTAGAGCAAGTCACGTTTGCGGGTCTGCAAGTCCCTTATTGAGGAGGCCAAATCCCACGTTTAGGAGACCATTAACACCCGTGACCGAATTCCCTCTCATTAAAACGGACCTGGAAGTTATCTTTCCAGGAGTATGCACATCCTTTGCTTCGGCTTTCTAATGGGAGGCCCCGAACGTGGTGTGCAGCGCAGCGTGGCCGAGTCTCGGCGGGCTACGATCACCACCAGCACGGTTCCGCGGAAGCTGTGCGGCACGGAACTTACAACTACAGACGCCTTCCCAGTAGCATGGCTCACGTTCCTTGTACGTGTAGTTAGCGTGGTTCCGCCCCCCCGCGTTTCCTCCCCACAACCCCATGGGGTCTTGAACTCTAAGCCAAAGTGGATCGGAGTCTGGGGATTATAAAGGCGCTCTCAAGACAGTCCCTTCAGACAGTTCGTCACCTGCACATCCTGGCCCGAACAGCAGCTCGCCCATGATGAGAGCCTCCCAGCACAATGAGCACCTCACCATCCCAGCGCCCAAGGAGGTATACAATTTCCGCGTGTACCTTCTGGCCTTGGTATCCAGCATGGGCGCCTTTATGTTTGGCTACGACCTGGGCTTCATCGGCACGGCCTTGGTCCTGCCCTCGTTCAAGAGGTTGGTACCGCACTCATGCTCTGGTGAGGAGCGTTGACTGACTCGTACTGCGCAGAGATTTCGCCCTGCTTGATGCCTCAAACAACGATGCAAAGGCATTCCACGCCAACGTAATATCCCTCCTCATCGCCGGCTGCATCCTGGGATCATTCGTCGCCGGGCCGTTCAGCGATCGCTTCGGGCGCCTCAAAACGATGCTGCTCCTCACCATCTTCTTCGTGGCCGGATCCGCAGTCCAGACCGGCGCGAGAGGTTCCTACGCCGCTCTGCTCGCGGGCCGGGGCATCGGAGGCATCGGCGTCGGCATGGCCACCATGATCGTCCCCACCTACGTCGCCGAACTGTCACCGCCCGCCATCCGCGGCCGGCTGATTGGTATCTATGAGTGCTTCGTCTCGGGCGGCACGTTTGTCGGCTTCTGGATCAACTACGGGCTTGCAAGGAACATTTCCGACTCCGACTCGGCACAGTGGGAGGTCAGCTTCGGTGTCCAGCTGATCCCTGGGGGGTTGCTTGCGCTGGGCTTGCTGTGGATGCCGGAATCGCCGCGCTGGCTGGCTCGCCACAAGGGTCCGGGGGCATGCATCGCCGTCCTGGAGAAGCTGCGCAAGATCCCGGCAGACCACCCGTACATGGTGGAGGAGTCCACCGGTATCTTGAACCAGATCGCGTACGAAGATTCCGTAGCCGGGCCGAGCGGAGTCAAGGCGACCCTGCGTGAGATGGCGGAACCAAGCAACCGCAGACGCCTTAGTATCGGCGTTGTGCTGTTCGTCTTCATGCAGATGGCGGGCTCGAACGCCATCAACTACTACAGCCCGACCATTTTTGAGTCTGTCGGTATTACCGGTGTCAACAACGGGCTGTTTGCAACGGGAATTTACGGTCTTGTGCGCTTCATCGCCACAATGATCTCGATGCTGTGGGTTGTTGATCGTTTCGGGCGTACTCGCATGCTGATGATTGGAGCCGCCGCCATGGTAAGTCGCATCCCCCTGTGGAATATGCCGCTCTTCTAACTTTCTATCTTATAGGCTTTTGCACTGTTCTTCATCGGGGCCTATATCAAAATTGGGCAGCCCTCGGCGCAGGGCGGTGTTAGCGCCGGCGGTTACGCTTCGATCGTCATGATATACATTTACGCCGTGGGCTGGTGCTTTTCATACGGGGGTGTGCCATGGATCATCGCCGCTGAGATCTTCCCGCTAAGAATCCGAGGAGCTTGTATATCCATATGCGTGGCAACGCACTGGATCTTCAACTTTATGATCGCGCGCGCCACACCGTACATGATCGCTGACATTGGCTATGGAACTTACTTCCTCTTCGCCGCCTGTATTACCCTTTCCATACCCTGGGTGTATTTCTTCGTCCCGGAGACTAAAAATCTCAGTCTCGAGGAAATGGACCGCCTATTTGGGGTTCAAGTCTTTGAGAACAGCGTGGATGTCGAAAAGGCTGCTGTCTCTCAAGTGGAGGAAGTCGAGTAGCCCGGCGGGCATCTAGCCATGATAGATGAATAGAATAGCATATCGAAAGCTTCATGTTGCACACACACTTATCTCACAACGCAATCAGGCCGGATGGGCGGAGGTGACTGTTGCACCTGGCGCAGACTCCCCGAGGGGGAGAGTAAACTATGGGTCCGCTCACACGTGTTAATCACTCCCGCCTCGTTATGGGTTGTCTTGCTGTTCAATCTATCATGTACTGATTCTACTTCCAGCCTTAAAGTGTTGAGGCCTAGTACCTAACTAGGAGTCAGGGCTGACACAATCCACCCTACCTAACAGTGCTATTCTCGATTACCAGTGGGCATGTGAAGATACATCCTATGGCCGGCATGTGAAACCGTCTTGCCCCGGTCAGTGCATCGGACTTGGATGGTTTCTCTTAGTGTTCAGCGCTCGCATGTTCTCGGCAGTGAGGGATATCTTTACCTACCAGATACATTTTAGTTCGTCAAACTACCCGGACGAGTACTCGCCATGCCAAAGAAGTATCCCTGCATAGTATCTAACTACCCCGCATCATCACTTGTTCTATGGACCGGGCATGTACAAATATGTACACGCCGTGTATGTATCTAAATACATCCAACATGCTGAATAATGGTGTCACCCGAAAATGGCATCCTCAACTCTCTTCAGGCCTCTGCCCAATCACAAAGTTCATCTTTGGTGCATAACCCAGCTCCAGAGTCTCCTTGTGCAAGTCGATCATCAACTGGTCGAATTCGGCTTTGTCTTTCAGGACACCCGGGATGCCACCCTTGGGTAGCAGTGCTCCCAAACCTCGGAACGTGTGAACCCACATGTCGACCGACCGCTTCTTCCACTCGGGGCTCTTGGCCAGGGCGCCGTATCCCAGCGTGTACTGTGTTTTTTGCACGTTCTTGAAGCCAGCCTCCTCCAGTAGATCTTCCAGCCTGTACCCAATGAACATGTCCATGCCGAAGTTTTCCGTGCACCACCACTGCATCCGGTACATCTTGTCCAGGTTGGGATGAGTTACCGGGTCAAAGGGGTGATCGCGGTCCACCCACTGGCCTTCGACGAGCTGGATCCAGCCGCCGGACTTCACAAGCGAGAAGTGGTTCTTCACCACCGTGGCCCACTCCGACTTCTGCAGTCCCCACATTAAGAGCCTCTGGTGGACGAGGTCGAACCCTTGCGTCCAGGACGGGTCCGGGGGCGTAGGGGACCGGATGTCAAACTCGCGCAGATCCAGGGCAGCGCAGGGGCCAACCTTGGGCGGGAAGAGGGAGGACCCGATATCGACCCCGTGGAGCGACCATTCGTGCTGCGGATACAGCCGGGGGAGGTCCAGGAGCCACGTGCCTGGAACCGAGAATGTGGGTTAGGACCTTGCAGGAAAAGTGTTAGGCCTGATTTGGTTGTTCTCACCTTCTGAAGCACCGCAATCAAGGACTCTGATCTTGGGCTGCCTCAAGGGTGCCGTCACCAAGACGTTGCCGGTAGAGAAGAGAATGAGAGCATGCTGTTCCCTGAGACGCTCGATTTCTTTAGCATGATGGGGCAGAAGATAGATGCCTTCTGTGCCTGTAAACAGATTGGCGACATCCTTGGCCTCGCGGGCCGGGATTTCCGCTACAGCCATGCTCATTCTGAATAAATTGTTATGAGATGGACGACTGGTGAGACAAGAAACAGACTGTCCGGATGTTTTTGGGTTTTTGGTACTAGAATGGCGAGGAGTCAGGAAAGTTCGGGGTTCTAAACAGGCAGTATGATGGCGGCCCGTCAGCGGAGTCGAACCGCACTGGAATCCAAGCTATCATCGACAAAGCCCTTGACTGGGAGAAACGGAGCGGTGCGCAGTTTGAAGGCGAAAAGACAGCCATCATACACTTCACGAGGAACATGGAGCGATTTTCAGAACAAACGTTCTCGGTCAAAGGCGAAGTGGTCAAACCGAAGGAAAGTGCGAAAATCCTAGGTGTCGTGATGGATCGCGAACTCCGCTACAAGCAGCACATTGCTAGGACGGCAGCTAAGGGCCTCGCAGCCGCTCTGGCCCTGAAGAGGCTGAAGATGCTTTCCCCGCGGACAGCGAGACAGCTATTTGTTGCGACAGTAGCCCCGGTCATGGACTACGCTGCCAATGTCTGGATGCATGCGTGCGGGGAAAAAGCACTGAGCTGGCTGAACAGGGCGCAGAAGATCGGGGCCCTGGCCATCACGGGAGCCTTTCGAACCGCGGCAACAGCCGTGGTGGAAGCTGAAGCGAGCATCTACCCTGTACGAGAACGACACGTCCAGGCGGCAGCCAGTCTGTGGATCAACATCCACACGCTGCCCGGAACGCATCCCCTTGCCATGAAGAAAGTCCGGACCACCGTACGATTCGTATCTCCGCTGCAGAAAATTGCCCGCGTGGCTGAAGGAGTACGAGTTGACCGGATGGAGACAATCCAGGAATACGCCGTCCCGCCCTGGGTACCTCGCCTACGACCGACGCTCGAAGCCGATCGAGGGAAGGCGGCCGAGATGGTCAACAAAATCTCGGGAATCGTGATCGCAACCAGCTCATCCGTAAAGAAGGGCATTGTTGGCATGGGCGGCCTTTGCACGGGATACTCTCTTCAACAGAACTAGCGAGACTGTGACAAACTATGCTGTTGTTCTTGGGACAAGGGAAGAGCAGAACCCATATACAGCAGAGCTAGCAGCCATCGCAATGGCCCTGGAGAAGTTACCGGCTAGCATCTGCCACAGGCACATCACCGTGATCACGAGGAACCAGTCAGCGCTGGCAGCAGTTGGACAGCCGCGGCAGCAATCCGGCCAAAGCATCATACGGCAAATTTACGACTTGGCCAGGCTGCACCGACAAAGAGGGAACTCGGTCAACTTTCTGTGGATACCAGCGGAGATTGACTTCGCGCTGGGGTCAGATGCCAAGGCAGCAGCCCAGAGAGCGTCGAAGCAAGGACGCACACCCGACTCCCAAATACCCCAGGCCAAGTCTACCGCGATGAGGCTGGCAATGGAAAGACAACGGGCGACAAGAGTTCTACCTGTAGGCGTGGGTAAGTTCTCAAAGGCCATGGACGCAGCACTACCAGGCAAGCACACGCGCCATCTCTATGACAAGCTGAAGCGAAGGGAGGCCTGCGTATTGGCGCAGCTCCGAACCGGAATGGCGAGACTGAACGGTTTTTTGAGCAGGATTGGGGCGGTCGAGTCAGACCTTTGTGCCTGTGGACAAGCGAGGGAATCAGTGGAACACTTTCTTTTCCGATGCGTGAGATGGACAGCTCTGAGGGAAGACATGCTGCAATGCACAGTGGCAAGACGAGGAAGCCTCTCGTTCTATCTGGGAGGGAAAGCGCCATCAGATACAAGGCATTGGTCACCAGATATGAAGGCAGTCCGGGCGACGATCAAATACGCAATGGCAACAGGAAGGCTGGAGCTGAATGAAGAGGAGAGTCTAAACCAGTCACAGTAGAAGAAGCCGACACTCAACACCACGAGCCTCAACCACGAGCCTTAACCAGCAGGTCCCGCTTTAGCTGCTGAAGATAGGACGCTGAACACTTGGAGAAAGTAGCCTCCAAGCTGATCTGCTAACAACAACCAAGGCAAGAGGTAAATGGTGCAGCGAGAAAGAGGGAAGAAGTAGGGGGCTTGTACGAGTTAAACGCAAAACGATCTGATCCGGATGTAGCTAGCGTGCTAAGGCCCTATAGGCCCAGTGCCTCCGGGCGAAATAAATTCCATCCATCCATCCATCCAGTATGATGGCCGGCAGATCCCCCTTAAGAAGGTTTACAGTCTTTCACGCATGCAGAGAGACGGCAAGCTACTAAAAGGGGACACGTATCCAAGTCTCGGAGACCATCCTCCACCGTCGTTAGGACGGAGTATTAACAAAAGCAATTTTAGAGTATTATTGTCAGCCTGCAGATGCCGCAATCAGTAACGGGCATGGCGGTGTACGGTGGACTTCGGAGTTTTTTGGTCAGACGGGCTTGATACCGCAAGCACGTTGGTTGGGGACCGGCCTTACGTTCATCCCAGCTGAAAATTAGGTACTCACGAGCATGAATGCGACGTGGACGATGGCTACCATGAGGTAGTTTGCCAAGCCTCTGCATGAGCCAAACCATTCATCGTTTGTCTCAACCTTCTTAGCCTAACTTGTCGGACCATCACGGGGAGCGGTGAACCACCAACCAATCTCGGGACTCACACGTCGTTGCCGAGCCCGAAGAAGGGAACCCCCGGACTTCGAATCTGAGACAAATCATAGTGTCAGCGAGTCAGTCAGACTCGAGCGTTGGGGGCTGGGGCTAATGGGGAGACGGAGCATCGCCAAACCCGCCATCCACAATCGCTTCCGTCAACAACACGCCGCAACGAATGGCGCTTCCGCCCAGGCGCGTACACCCCGCGGGACTTGGTGGGCGAGGTCGCCATCGTACTCGAGAGCGTCATCGCCCGACTGGGGCCTGACCGACCCGAAGATGCAAACATAGGCGTCATCCTCATGGATGGCCTTTGTTCAAGCCTCTCTTACGAAGGCCGCGAAACAACACCACCTCTCGCTGGATCGGACAAGGATGAGCCTGACGACCTAACGCGTCACATTCTTCGCGTTGACAAGGCGCTGTTCCAATCCACCAGGAATTCAAACCAAAGCACACTCGGAGACCCGTCCCTCACCGTCTCCAGCCTCTGCGAGGGCCACAAATGGGTTCTGTCTGCTGGCCGGCTCCTGCGCAGCAACCGGATTTCTCCCATCCTCACCATACTCTACAGCGAGTGGCTTCACCAGCTCACTTGCTTGCGCATTGTTTTGGTCGGTACTGAGAACTTTGAGGAGGTGGTACTCAAACTGAACAACCGGGCACGACAGGGGACGCGGCCAGCCAAGGACATCTTCGAGGCCTGCAGGATTGGAGACCTCAGACAACCGAAGCGGTAGAAATTGGTGATTTGGCGTCTTCAGCCTTGCTGGCAGAGATTCCGCGGCAAACCTCCATCACATTCGAAAAGGCGAACGAGAGTAGTGTTGAGCAGGTCTGGTATTTTCTCAAGCTCACGGCAACATGCGGCCAACTAAAACCCAGCTTCTCAGTCAATCTAGCAAATGCCATCCCGGGCCTCGACATATGCCGTCAGGGATACATCCCAGCCAGAGGAGAGTGAAACGCTGGCGAAGTGTAATAGAGAACTTTTCGCCTAGCCCGTCTTTGATTGTTACGCAGGAAATACTCCTTCATTGCCCTCGAGGCGTCCGTTTGGGCGGAGGGTGGAAAAGGGTAACAGGAAGTTGCTCACTGTCGACAAGGATGGGGCAGGATCTCCCTGGTTCCTGATAATCGCCCGATAGACCTAAGATCAATGCTGCATCGCGAAGGAATAGAGCGTTACCAGAGGCCCTTTGCACCCTCTGATGAACAAACCACAAATGTGTGTGCGCAGGGACAGAAAGGGGTCAAATCTGGGGCTTCATTGTTTAGGATATCCATAACCTACCTTAGAGTGCCTGTTCCTGCTCTTAGAAGCCGGCTTTCTTACCCCGGCGATGCGTGGGTCTCTTCCGCAGGTTGGCGGTGCCAGCCCATCCCTGCCATCAAGTTCCACACATGCACCAGTTGGAGGTTTCGTGCACAAAAATAGCATGCGACCAAGTTCCCAAACGCCGTTCGGAGTCGTGAGGTAATGGCCGTGGCAAGCAGCCAATGCCATCCATCTCATGGCGGAGAAAGGGGCGAGGAATGCCGGCCTCAAGCGGGCATATGTATGTACATATCTCACCATCGGAACGGTTCATCACGACATCCGCCGCTATGCCAATCGGGACTTAAAAACCCCACATGAAACCAGAGCGTTCAGTGATAGCACGGCCGGTAGTGGATCCCCAACCGAGGCCGTGGGATGTTACTGCTGGTATTTTGGTCGCAGAATGCGAGATGGTCCCAAGAGTCATAAAAGGACATAATAAAGAAAGGTACCTTATCCCACAGTTTGGTTGCGACAACATCCTTCCCTTTCCCCTATTTCGCCCCTTAAATGCACGGGGCTAGCAAGACATACACCATGTCTTCCACCGAAGAGAACCTGGAAAAGAAAATCGACGATCCCAATGCCTTGGAAGTCGCCGGAACGGCCGAGGAACAGATAAAGCCCGTGTCGCGGTTCATGAGGTGGTACCGCAGCCCGCTGTCCAACGTCATCCTCGTGGGGTTGATCTCCTTCACACAGCCAGGCATCTGGAACGCTCTCAACAGCACGGGTGCAGGCGGCCAGCAGGAGCCGTACTTGGTAAACGGATCCAATGCCTTGACGTTTGGGTGAGATCATACCCACTGCAAAGACTTAGGAAATGCGCTGACAGGAGATAAAGGTTGATGGTATTTGGTTGCACTATCTTCGGTATCATTGCGAACAGAATTGGTGTTAAGAAGGTATTAATCATCGGCACGCTGGGGTATGCCCCTTATTCAGCCTCGCTCTACGTCAACAACCGGTACGGGACGGAATGGTTTGTCCTTTTTGGCGGCGCGACGTGCGGTATTGCGGCCTCGGCTCTTTGGGCATCCGAGGGTGCCATTGCACTCGGATACGGGGATGTCAAGGATCGCGGCAAGTTCGGTGAGTCCAACCGTCAGCCCCTGAAGCCGGAAACGCGCATGTTTGACACTGTCTCTCTCCAGCCGGCATATGGCTTGGCCTTCGCGAGCTCGGCCAGCTTATCGGGGCCTCCATTCAGCTTTCCTTGAACGTTGGGACCAGCAGCCGTGGCAAGGTTGGGTACAGCACATACCTCGTCTTGATCGCGCTGCAGTGCCTTGGCCTCCCTTTAGCGTTCCTGATTTCTCCGCCAGAAAAGGTGATACGTAGCGACGGCACGCGCGGCCGGGTTGCGGCAAAGGACACGACTTTGAAAGAGGAGATGCACAAGACCTGGAAGCTCCTAAAACGAAAAGAGATGTTCCTGTTGGTGCCCATTTTGATCGGGTTCCAGTGGAACTCGACTTATTTGGGCATCTACATGACCAAGTAGTATGTTTCCTCGGGTAACTCCCCTCAGAAGTAGAGAGATGTTCTAACAAGGCCAGTTTCTCTGTCCGAGCTCGTACCCTTGGAGCCCTGGTCTCCGGTATTGTCGCCACGTTAGCCAACATCTTCTGGGGCTGGTTCTACGACCTCAGGTACTTCAGCCGGCCAACCCTCGCCAAAGCCTGCTGGCTCTTTTTTGTTGTTAGCATGCTTGGGACGTTTGGCTGGCAGGTAGCCAACGAGAAATTGTACGGCGATTCCAACCCTCGGGTCACGCTAGACTGGGAAAATTCAGGCTTTGGTCGGGGCTTTGGGTCTATGGTAATTTTGAGGTAAGCAAGCATGTCGTTGTGCGAACCCTGAGTGCATGAGTTTAAACTGACTATGGCAGGTTTCTCAACGAGTCCCACTACATGTATGTGTACTGGATCGTTGGTGCCTTCTTTGACGACATGGAGACCTTGACTCTGGCGGTCAGTCTCGTACGGACGTTCGAGTCCATCGGCTCAAGCATCTCGTTTGGGATTGGTGCGGCTGCCGTATCGCCCATGGTCAACCTCGTCATCTCGTTTGCCATGTTTGGTCTGACGATTCCAGCCACGTCGTTGGTCGTTTTTATGGTACCGGAGCGTCCGGTGGACTTGCGGAAAGATGACAAAGTGTTGACATCAGGGGAAGAATCTGAACGGGCTTAGGTAGAAGAAGCGGCTGTGACGGCGAAGTCCCATGAGTCATCTACATAAGATAAAAATTCGACTAAAGGAATTGTAATATTTACGAGAATACCTAACTAACTACGAAATGATATTTTATGGAAGGATGATGAACGGAATAGAAGGTGAAAGGCTAATAAGAAATAGAGTACCTTAGCCTATTCAAGTGTTGAGTATACCTAACTAGGTACCTCAGAGATATCGTAAAACATCTATGCCTGGAGGAACGTACGAGGAACGAGTACTTCCGAAAGGTTCCTTTTCCGAGAAAAACCATGGTATGCTCCAAGCAGGACCACTTCCGCCCCATAAAACGCCCCATCAAACGCCCTATCAATGCTATTTCTCCCTGTAAACTGTGAAGTTCTACTGTCATTATCCTAACGATTGTGGAAGCAGCCATGTTACTTTGCCTGGAGGAACTTGCCTCTTGACGATGAGCGTCTCGAAGTTGGGCTTCAACGGCCTATCACGCAGCTGTGGGGCCGCCCCCGGTTTACGGAATACAAGGGCTTCAGCGATGACCACGAAAAGATGTAGACTGCAGGGCAACACGGCAACAAGGTGAGAAGGAAAATATTAATTGAAGCAGCTTATTCCGCTGGAAAAGAGCTCCAAAGTAGAGCAACGGTGGAGAGCTGTGCTACAATCTGAGCTCGGAAACCCCAGGGTCTCGCCAGAGCGCCGCGTCCTCTACGTCATCGGTTTCAGTCCTCTGGCCAGATTCAGGCATGGCAGCCCATTCCTGAAACCACGGCTCAGACCTCAGGTCTGAGACCTGTGGTCTTGCTCGAACCGCCGTCTGGTCTCCTCGCCCCGTCGTTCCAGCTTGAGGATGGCCTCCCTCATGTCTTTGTCAAGCACATTCTTGGGCTCGATGAAGTCACTGCGCGCCGGTTTTCGAAACAGATGCAGCCCGTCCCAGCTCTGCGCCCTCGACAGCTGCACGTACAGGCTCATGAAGCTGGGTCGAGTCGCCGTGCCACCCGAGTGGACGCCTTTGAGATTGACGAGGACGTCCGAGAACTGCTTGCCTTGGCTCTTCTGATCTGTCATAGCGAAGGCCGGTGTGCAGAGAGTCCAGTTCTGTGGGTAACCCACCGAAAGCCCGGCTTGCCCCTTCCTTGGCCCGCATTTGGGTCGGGATAGCGACCGTATTGCTCTTGATCAAAATGGTGCCGTTGGGGAGCTCGGGGATGGCGAGGTCCGCACCATCGTCTGACTGAAGGAGGACGGCCACCGGCGGTCCAAGTTGAAGAGTCACATCGCTGGCGAGGGCGATGGTGCCGGCGGCGGGATCGGGGAAGATGTCGACGGCCTTGAAAGGTGCCCCGTTGACCACCTTCAGCCCAATAAACTGGTTCTGAGTCACCATGACCGGCATCCCCTGCGCGTAGAAGAACAGGTCCGGGGTTGGCAGCTGCGAGTCGTCTCCGCGGCGGAGCACGTCGCCCAGCTCTTCGACGCGCAGCCGCTTCCCCGATTCGGTGTCATGCTTCGCTACAAAGATGGAGATGTGTTTGCCGTAGGCACGGGCCCACTGGACGACGGCTGCCATGTTCAGGTCCCACCGGTCTTGGTTCAGGGGCGTGATGGCTCTCAGACCGTCTACGAAGGACGCCTTGCACGACGGTGTATAAAGGCGTTGACTGAGCCGCTGGAAGTCCAGCTCGGTCTGCTCGCCGTTGCGCAGGCGCCCGAGGAAGCCCCGAAGCCTTGGGCAACCAGCCGCGCGGACCTGCTCCTGGAGGATGACAACGGTTGTGAACTGGAGGAACAGCCTGTGCGCTGCGAGATGCTTCGGCAAGCTTTCCGGTCTCTGTCCGCCACGGTCCCTGGGCGCCGGCAAGAGGAGACTGGTCTGCAGGACGGGGTCGAACTGGAAGAAGTCCCCGAAGAACAGGACCATTGGGATCCCGCCAAACGGGCGATAACCCTCTCCCGAGCCAATCAGAAACAAGAGGTCTACAGCGGAAAAAAAAGAGGGCGCGACTGGACGATTAGACGCTAGTCTGACTGGAGAAACCACCTTTCCTTACTTTCCCAGCATTCGTCAATAACCATCATGAAATGGAAAAAAAGACAATTACATCGTTGACTCCGCTACGGGGCCTACCTGCAGCCGGCAAGTTCCTCCAGGCTCCTTTGGCGTGCCCGCGCGCAGCGGGCACACGGTCACTCCTCTACTACCGGGATGGTGGTACGTTAAAACCAGCTCCCCTTTTCCGGTCATCAAATCAGTTGGATGAAGCCCGGCTGGCTCAATGGCAGAGCGCTAGACTTCTATGTTCTAATCAGAACAAGCAATCTTGAGGTTGTGGGTTCGACTCCCACGTCGGGTGCTTTTTTTGCTCTATTTCTCTTTAGAGCAGAGCAACGAGTTGTTTGGTCGCAAGTTAGAGCTCGAAGCCCGAGTAAGGCAGCTGTGTGGTGGTTCCTGTTGTGCATAGCTACCTTGGGTGGTGTACTAGCTAGGGAAATGGCGAGTGTATTTCGGAGTCTGAGAACCAAGATACCCAAGGTAGACTTGACTATCTCACGGCTCAACAATCTAGGTGGAGTGCCAGGCCCTGTAATTTTATTGTTGCGCCCAGTTGCCATTCTGCATTAGCGAAGATGCAGGCAGTTGTCAACTAATTTTGTTCTGTATATGGAATTTAAGAAAGAAGCAGCAGGACACAGCAGATTGGCCATGTCCCAGGGATGCAAACCCTGACACCTGGATTGGCATCTCCGGTCTTGCCAAGAATCATTACCAGAGGCTCGATGAGCAAGAAGTCAGTTGGTCAGGTATGTACATGTACCTACCTTTTTTTGCGACGTCTGACTCCGCCGCAGCGCCGTGCTAAAGAGCGCAAGAGCGTTGCCGTTCAAAGAAGCACTGCTGTTGGTGGCCCTGTGATGCCGGCCCCGCCACGTCCAGGTGCCGAATGCGGCGAGGATAAGCGTCCCCAAATTGCCGCTGAATTCCGCGTTGGCTCCGCCTGAAACCGTCAGCTGGTATTCCCGAGTCATCGCGCCATCTCCGACTTTCCGACAACAAAAAACCATGCGAGCCCTTGAGCGTTGCTGTGACACCTCCTTGCCAGCTTGACAACAAGGAGGATACCTAGTAACAACGGAATGGCCGTTTGTTCAGCATGCCGAACGGTGCTCCGGCGCCATATCGACATCCTCCAGAAATTGCGCCAGCGCCGGGCGCATTCAACGAACAATACCCCGACGACGGCGACCAAGGCTGGACAGCAGCAGCACCAAATCCCGACCCCGAATAATGTGCCGACGCTCAATTTCTGGCAGAGGTTGGGGCCGTTGACGAGGGCAGCCCAGGCGTATGCCCGCGCCCAGCGGAAGAGGCCATATGTGACGCAGGTGTGCACGTCGTTGGTCATCTACCTGTGCTCCGACAGTGCGTCAATCCCTGATCCGGCCTGTTATGGCGCCGCCGCTGCACACTCCAACGTCTCGGTGGCAGAGTGCTGACCGGCTGCAGTCTCAGCGCAGAGTATGGGCGGGAGGGACTACGACCCGACACGAACTGCGCGCTCATTAATGATCGGCTCCATATCTTCCATCCCGAGTTATAACTGGTGAGTGCCTGCTCGCATGCGCCGGGGCTGTGGTTGCGATTGCCGTCGGCGCGACTGATACCAAGTGTGTGACAGGTTCCTGTGGCTCTCCGAGAGCTTTAATTATCGATCGCGCTTGTTGTCGTTGGCCACGAAAGTGGTCGTCAACCAAATCTGCTTCACGCCCGTCTTCAACACGTATTTCTTCGGGATGCAGGCGTTGTTGTCGGGCGCGACACTGCCAGAGACCTGGGAGCGCATCACTAAAACTGTCCCCGTCAGTTGCCTCAACTCGTGCAAGCTGTGGCCCGCCGTCACAGCGTTCACTTTCGCATTCCTCCCGCTCGAGTACCGACCCGTATTCGGCGGGGTTATCGCGGTGGGATGGCAGACATATCTGAGCTACCTCAATCGGAGGGCCGAACAGAGCATGGCAGCAGCGCGAGTGGAAGAGCTCGAGGGCCCGGCTTTGGTGAAGGTTGCCGCATAGAGTAGATAATTTGTGTTTTCATCGTTCGGTCGGACCGCGAGAGCTCCGTCGATAGAACTCGGGTCATCACCGAGGTAGACATTGCATGGGCTGGCGTTTTACCTAGATGGGTGGGGTTAGTTAAGGAATCGAGGTTCGCATTGGCTTGGGAATTTGGGATTTGCGGTTCGAGATCCCAGGCCACGATCGGGCCAGGCTTGGGCAGCTTTGTTGATCGGAAAGGCGGGGGGAGGGGGTGGTGCGAAGACACGGCACCTACGAAGTATTCCAGGGCCAGGCCCACAGTATCAGATCTTTCCTATAGCGCCTAATTAACACTGTTCCACCCCAACTCCAGGGAAAAAGTCCAGCTTGCGCGCATTACAAAAATTCCCAAACTTCGTTCACCACTTGCCGATTCCGGCCGCCTCTCGTTCTCGAGCCATTGAGCGCTGGCTGGCCCGGCTCTCGTCTTCAAGATGGCCCGATACATACCTCCGCGCCCAACGGTCACTCGCAGCCACCTTTCAACCCTTTGCCCGAGCCCAACCACGACTCAACAGCCATGCCCCTCGACGACTTGCCTCGACAGCCTCTTCCTCCGCCAAGCGCACCCCCTCCACAGCCCGTAATGTCTTCCTCACCACCCTCCTCGCCACCACCGCAACCGTAACTTACTACTACGCCACCGACACCCGCGCCTCCATCCACCAATGGCTCGTGCCCCGCCTCATCCGGGTGCTCTTCCCAGACGCCGAAGACGCGCACCACGCCGGCACGGCCGCCCTCAAAACCCTCTACCCGCTGGGCCTGCACCCGCGCGAACGGCCCCCCTTCCCCGAGGACGCCCACCCGGCAACGGGCACCAACCCACTCGCGGTCACCGTCTTCGGCACCACCCTCGCCAACCCGATCGGCATCTCGGCGGGGCTCGACAAGGACGCCGAGATCGCGGACCCGCTGTTCGCCCTGGGCGCCGGCGTCGTCGAGGTCGGCGGCTGCACGCCCCTGCCGCAGGCCGGCAACCCGCGCCCGCGCGTCTTTCGCGTCCCCGCCGTCGACGGCTTGGTCAATCGGTATGGGCTGAACTCGCGCGGGGCGGATGCGATGGCGGCGCGGTTGAGGGAGCGGCTGCGCAAGTTTGCGCGCGGGTTGGGCCTGTCGGAGCGGGAGGTTTTGGAGGCGGGGGAGGAGGAGGGTGGGTGTGCCGACGGGGAGTCTGTTGCCGGGGAGGCTGCTGTGCGTGCAGATTGCGAAAAATAAGAAGACGGATGAGAAAGGATATGGAGGCGGTTATTCGCGATCATGTGTATTGTGTTCAGCGGCTGGCGCCGTATGCGGATGTGTTGGTTGTCAACGTCAGCAGCCCGAATACTCCCGGGTTGAGGGACCTGCAGGCGGCGGAGCCGTTGGCGAGGTTGTTGGGGGCTGTGGTGGACGAGGCGAAGAGGGCCAAGCGGAAGGTGAAGCCCAGGGTGATGGTCAAGGTGTCGCCGGACGAGGATGATGATACCCAGATGGATGGCGTGGTGCAGGCGGTGTGGATGAGCGGGGTGGATGGCGTGATTGTGGGCAACACCACGAAACGGCGGACGGGGCTGGTCAAGGAGGGCATCAAGTTGACGGGTAGGGAACAGAAGGCGCTGGTAGAGGACGGGGGATTCTCGGGACCCGCCATGTTCGACCGCACGCTCAGCCTGGTTGGGAGGTACCGCAAGATGCTCGACAGCTACTCGCTCAAGACCTCAGGCGTCAACGATGTCTTCCCAACCCCGAAGGTCATCTTTGCGACGGGCGGGATCACGAACGGTGACCAAGCGCTACAGGTCTTGAATGCTGGCGCCAGCGTCGCTATGGTTTACACCGGGATGGTCTACGGTGGCTCTGGCACGATTACAAGGATCAAAAAAGAAATGAGGGAAAAGCTTGCCCTCAAGGAAGCTTGAGCCACATAGTGGGAGCCAACTCGCACCGCATGTTGAGGGACTCGACGGCTGTCTGGCTGCGAGATGCACGGTTTGGCTGATAGAGGAGTGTATATATAGCATGCTGCCAGGTGGTGATATATATATATCTTGCCTGACTCACGGACGCTAACGGGGGTCGCTCTGTACATACCTTCACCGAGCCAAGATGCTATGCTGTCTTGACGTGTTCTCAAAAGGTTTAGTCGGCGCTCTATGCCACGTCGCTGCCGATAAGAGTGGGTATCCGGCTTGCATCCCTCCCTTGGAGACTGAGACACTAAGGCAACTGAGAATGCGCGAGAGCCGCAAGTGGCACACGATGGAGGACATATGGAATGATATAAATCACGGCCACTTCTCCGCCCAAGGACCTAATCGTCCAGACGAGCGTCCTTGGAAGCCATCCACGCTGCTCCATTTCACCTTTCACATCACAAGCTCTACTGCGGGCCAAGGCCAATGCTGTCTTCAAACTGACCATTGTTGCAACAGTTGCCAAACACACAAGAATCACATTGATAGTCCGAGGGATATCATGACAGTATTCGGCTTTTCAGCGGGATATTGTCAGATCCAAAACCATGAACGATAAGGTGTGCCGGGTTCAGAGCCAGAGCTCACCGGCGTATTCCAGACACTATCACTCGGGACGCAGCAGTTCTGGGCGTTGTAGGGACACCGGTTGACGCTAAGCATCAATCTTTGGAGCACACCAGGTGATTCAACCTGTCTCATCAATAGTCTCCTTCAGCCAGGCGTATCACACAAAAGTCGAGGAAAGCGAACAAATGACGGTGAATCATCATCATTCTGCGGCAGTTCGATAGTCCTGCGAGTCCCAGCCTCAAAATATTGAACTGGGGCGCGGACCTCCGTGTCAGGTGACCAGAAGACCAGGGGACCAGGAATTTTGATTTTCCGCTTTTTCGTTGCGTTCTTCCGCCCCCTTCGGGGGGCGTCCTTGTATTTAATCAGAGAGGCTTCGGCCCTCTCAGGAGTTAGGGGGCAGACAGGCAATTCTATTCTTTTTCGACACTTGCAGAAGTGACTCCTTTTCGCGGTCGTTGTGACCGCGACCCACTGGCCAGAGGGCCACACGCGAAGGCGTATCGACAACACGATCGTAGGATCCGTGGCATTGAAAGTTGTTTCCTGAGCCATCTCCTCTCATGCTGCATTGACATCACAACGAGCGTGGCACGTGACCAGCGTTGGTGGTGTGTGTGGTTTTGAGGTGTATCACCACTTCAATATATGCAATCAAAATATGTGCGAAGAAGCAAACTATCCAAATCTGGATCGAGGCAACCACCAAACCTTCAAACCCCATCGTTGACTCGCAACGTTGTCTCCCCCCAACATCCCCTTCCCATACTCAAACTCCCTAGCAAGAGAAAACCGCCGGTCCCGGAATAGTATACTCCTGGGCTACAATCCCGTCAGCCTTCACCCTCCCCCATACCGACAATACCAACCTCCCCTAAAGAAGAAACGAAACGACTCACCCTTGTAAGCATCGTAAGTAATCCCCGCATCGCTGCCCTTATAAGGCCGCCAGGGAAGGCGAACCCAGGGACGAGGGCGTGGTGGAACCCGCCGCCCGGTGACCTCCGAGCTGGTGGCAGCCCGGGGTAGAACTGGGCGCCGGGGTACTGCCAGGCCGAGTGCAGCGCGATGATCTCGTGCCTCACCAGGTAGTAGCCCTTCTTGAGGCAGGCGGGGATGGTGTAGGTGTAGGCGGCGGGGGCGGCCCATGAGGGGGGTCTGTTGTGAGGGGTTGAGGGTGGGGGGTTAGTTGGTTTGGTTGGGGCTGCGCGGGTTGTGGAGTTGGGGTTGGGTGAGGTTGGGAGGTTGGGAGGCTGGGAGGCTGGGGGAGGGGGGGGGTCACGTACGGTAGCCCAGGTGTTGGAGGTGCCTTCGCGGCCGCCTTCCTTGACCTTGAACCAGACGGCCCTAGAATGGTGGTTAGTGTTGGCTGGTTGGTGGAACGTTGAAGTGTCGGACTTACTCAGTGCCCGGGGACCAGTCCTGGCAGCCGGAGTCGGGGCAACGAGCCATGTAGGTGATGACCGGGCCGACGTGGGAGTCGGGCCACAGAGTCCAGTTCAAGGTCACGTCTGAGCCGGCAGCGGCAGGGGCGTGGAGCTTGGCCGGCTCGGAACCGGCGTTGCACTGCACGTCGATGGAGGTGGCATCCTCGACGGGGCCGTTGCCCGGGATGGAGCGGGAAACTCTCTCAGGCTAAGGCAGGTGAGCTGACTGCAAGAGCTTCTTCGTGGCTGGGGTGGACCATGGTTACCTTGTTGTCGCCCATGTAGGGGTCCATGTAGGGCTAAGCACGTGTGAGTGGTTTGTAGGAGCCGGGAAACTGGTACCGAACGCACCTGGTAAAACTATAAGGTGGCAGTTTATTAATATCGGGACATGCAATGCGCGGGAACTGCCGTTGAGCTTACCTGGTAGGCCTTCCCGCCAATGGTGGCGCTGTCAACGTAGCCATGGGCGGCAACGAGACCAACGGAGGCCAGGATGGTGGCGACAGTCTTCATCTTGTGTAGGTATGTACGTGTGTTGTGAGAAACCAGGGGGTATTATTAAAGTTAGAGTACTGGTCTGCTCAATGTCGAGTCTGTCAGTCTTTGAACTCGACTGAGGACTTCGACGCTCTCCAGTACAGTAGTACTTATACCCGCCTCCTCCCATCGCAGGTACCCCCGCCGCCGTCCTCCTCGCTCCGGACGACCCGAAATAGCGAACACCTGCTCCTACAGAAAGTCACGGCGGGCCCCTTTCTCGGTTCACAGGTGCGAACGTGTGCCCGCCACTCATTCGGGAGCATGACCCGACATCCGCCAACGGTGAGGTTTACTGCAACGGGAAGCATGGCAGGGTTCGGAGCCATGAGGGTGCGCCTTGGGACGATCAGCGTCTTGGCGGCGTCGCAGACTCAGGCCAGACAAGAAGAATGGTGGAGCCGACAGAAACCCGGTTTCGTTGCTTTGGTGCTCGGCAGGGAGCCGCACTAGGCGTATGGAGTAGCAAGGTCCGAGGACGCCCTTGAGGTGGACAGAGATGGCCCACCAATCGACGCACCCCTTGGGTTAACGTTGGGCAAGGCCTGTCCGACCGTGACTTCACAAGCTCACATACAGGCAATACCTATACGAGGAAGAAGGAAAATAACGCCGAGTGACTGTCTGGATCCGTTATTTATATTCGTACCTCATAACAACTAGCTACGTCGCTCCAGCCCCTTCAAACCGACATAACCCACCACTGCATCACCTCATTCTTGTGGTTCAAGACTCGACTCCTCAAGGCGGCCTTCCGCCCAATCCAAACAGTCCGTGAAAAGCTGCGGCCCTTGGATTGTTAGGAGCGCCCAATTCTCGAATTCAATGAGGTCCTCGCGAACACAGGCCCAATATGTCGTGAGCAAGGTCCACATCGCGTCCTTTGAATCCAACTTCCTTAACGGGCCTAGAAGGCTCTTTACCATCTCAGCGGTTGTGTGCGGGTGTGGTTGAAGAAGCATCAACGTGTACCAGACTTTGTGCAACACCAGACCCTGGAGCTCAATAAGTTGGTGTTTTTGAGCGAAATCGTAGAGCTGGAACTGAAGCGTCAACTGCCTCGAATGGCACCATACCGGCGGGTTCGGCTCCGTGGTCTCCGTGATCTTGGGGGAGCGGGGGGGCGCTGGTTGTTCTGGTTCCCGCAGGTGCCAAAAGAGGCGAACAAACCCCCCTACTTTCCTAGCCCTCTTGCCGAGGACCCTGACTCTGGGGCCCTTCAAGTTTGCTATGCATTTGGGGCAGTAGACTCTTTCGTCTATTGCCCTACAATTCCTGTCGCCGCATCTCCACCATGATCCCGGAAATTGGAGCCCACAGGATTTGCATGGGGGTTTATCCTGTCTGAACTCCTCAAGCCTGCCAAAGCAAGTAAGGCAGAGACGCCCGAACGGTTCACTGTAATCGGCGACTATGGCGTGGAGGGGTCTCGGAGGCGTTCTTGTGAAGGGCGTATAAGTAGACTTCACGGCCGAAGGTATCCTGAACATATCTGAACAAGTTCAACATCAGGGTACGATCCCGACGGCTTGGACCAAAAGGGCGTGCTCCTTTCCTTACCTCGAGGAGGGATTTCATAGTCGCGAGTGTAAACCCAGCTGACAAACAGATGCCATAGCTGCCCGTGCAACTCTGGGCATTCAACAAAACCATCCTGGCTCACCTGAAAGTCAGGCTGTGGGTTGAGGGAGTGAAACTTGGACGCAGATATTGCCTCCACCCTTCTGAACGGCCCAGCCGCAAAGCGAATAAGGGTGTCCTGATCCTGGGCGGCCATTGCTGATGCTGTTGTTGTAATGGCGGTAGAATTCAATATGTCCACAGAAGGGGGGTGACGGAAGCTCGTATCTGCAGTACTGAGAACAAATGTGTGAAGCTCAAAACATAAAAGGTGTAAGGGTCTAGCAAATCAGCCTAGATGCGAGAGACAATTGTGATGTTTTTGAGTGACGACGCGAGGTAGCCTCAGGTAGGTGTAAGGTCAAGGACTCCAGGCAGGGAAAGGGGAAAGGGGTGCCTTATGTCTCTAGAGCCGCGGGATATGCTCCGTCAGACAAGTAGTTGGAAGGAGCATTTCGGTATAACCATCAAACCACCTTCCAGCCGTTCGCATCTTACACCATCGGCAAGCCGAACTGCGGTTGCACGCAAATCACGATGGAGGGCAAGGACAACCGAGACTGTACCCCTGAGCCTCTTTTTATGAATATGAACTCTAGACCATCATACATCGTATCAAACATCAATCTCGCGGACAACACCTTGTGCCCCCCTCCCCCTCCACCCTCTCACACCCGACAACCCCCTAAAACGCACCACCATGCAACCTCCCCACGCTCTCAGGCGTCAAAGCATCCTTGTGCCTCCTCGTAGCCAAAATATGCTCGCGGAACAACCAACCCATCCCAATGGTTGCGCCCGGCCCGAAAACCAACACGCTCACCAACCCCAGCCCAACCACCCTAAGCCACCCCTCCCTCAGCATTCCCGCCGCCCGCAAATCCCCAAACAAATACGCCAACCACACCAGCAACGACCCCATCCCAAACACCTGATCCCACCTCAAAAACTGCCCCGCAAACCCCTCCAAATCCCCCATCCCCCGCGGCAGCCCCCCGGGCACAAACACCTCGCCCAGCCCAAACTCCCACACACTCCACCACCACACCCCCACCGCCAGCGCCCCCAACCCCCCCACATACCACCGCATCACCGGCAGATCCCTCTGCGTCCGATACACCTTATCCGTCTCCATCTCGTCCTTCAATAACCCCGTCCGCCCCAGCCCCCACACCACCAGCGACATCCACACGGGGTACAGCTGCCAGACGTAGAGCAGCGCCTGGCGCGCGGCGAGGTCGGGCCAGCACAGCATCGCGTAGAAGGGCAGCAGGTAGGTGAGCAGGACGGCGGGGAGCGCGGCGTAGCTGGTGCGCGTGCGCGTGAGGCGCTGGTCGAGCGCGGAGAAGTTCTCGATGGGGGAGAGCGTGTAGTGCAGGAAGGTGTAGAGGGGCGCGGCGAGGCCGATGCCGAGGAGTTGGCCGAGGGTGATGAAGAAAATGGGGCTGGTTTGGGGGTGGGAGGGTTGGTTAGTTTGGTGTCAAAAAGGGGGGTGGGAAGTGGGGAGGACATGGACATACAACTGTAGGGGGGTCATCATGTTCGCTCGGCGTGCGGACTCAAAGATCCAGATTGTCAGGAGAATGGCGCCGTCGGTGAGGAAGGATGTGACTTGTTGGCGGGATACGGGGTCTGAATTGTACAGAGTGGGAAAGAAGAAGGTGTTGTACAGGGCAACAAGGTCGTCAAGGGCAGGGAGCTGGTAAAACGAGCGGAGGATGGGCACGTCACCCGAGGCCAGTCGGAGCACACCACTGTCAAGCAGGCCTGTCGCCCATTCCAATGCAGGCTTCGCGTTCATGACCCAGGCCGCGATGAAAGTGAGAGCAAGCAGTGGCAGGGCGTACACCATGCGCTTCAACTTGCTCTCCCGGTGGCCGTCACCCTGGGATGGGTTGAACGGCTTGGTCCCAGTTAGCGAGGCCATGGGCAGCGGGAGGTAGTCGATTTTGGTGGAGCCGATCATGGCGTTGCCCATCAGTTCTGGGACAAACTCGGAGAGATGGGGCAGCAAGAACCGGACAAACAGGTTGGTCAAGGTGCCATGCATGTTCTGAGTGCGGGCGAGAAAGCCAGAGGCATCGACGACGGCGCCGGCGCGGAGCTCACGTTGCTTCTGGTACGTAGCCAGCACGGTCTCGATATCTTGGTGTGTTGGGCGACGGCCGGTGGCATCCCATTGATCAGCCAGCAATTTGATGCCGTTAGCGAGGGCGGCGGCACTCTCGATGGCTGAATTCCCGCCAACACCGAGGTTGGGCGTCGACTTATGGATGCTGTCACCCACACAGGCAATGCGGCCCCAGTGCCAGAGCTTGAACTTGGCCTCTTCGACGGCGACGAGGCGGGCTGTAACAGTATGTTCCCAAAAGTCGGACAGCGTGAGCCCGCCTTCACCCGGAAGGATGATAAAGTCTCGGTGCCGTTCCACGAACGCCTTCGTATCGGCGTCGGTGTACCGCGGGATATCGCCCAGGCGGTGAGTTCGGGGGAGACGCTCTTGGGCAAAGTAGTATGCCTTGCCACCTTCAACCGAGATAGACAGGGCACAACGGTCTTCATTGTAGGTTGTGTGCACATCTCCTGGAGGAAACCGGGGGCAGTTTAGGCCCTTGACAATGCCGAAGAGACAGTTGTAGTCGGCGATCATGCCTAGGCAAGGTTAGAAAGGTACCATGTCGACTAAGAGAGGCAGACTTACAGTTCTTATCCTCCTTTACGAGCTCTGGATGCTCGGCCTCGGCAAACTGCCACATCTTGGTGCGGGTCTTGCTGAACACGCCGTCGGCTCCTGCGAGAAAGATCCCCCGAGTAAGTAGTTCCATCCTCGCAGATGGCGGTGACGCCGTTGACGCCGTGCTGAATGTCGGCGAGCCCCTTGTTGACAAGGATTTTGCTGGGATCCTTGAGATTTTCGTACAGGGCGAGTAACAGGTTCCGCCGCTCACCCCAGCCCAACCGATATCCCGTCCTGTAGAGGAGGAGGTTGTCAAACTAGCTCCGAAGTAACATTACGAACATGTACATACCTTGCATGGAGTAGGAGAGGGCCGCGATTTGGCTTGCCGACGAGTTTGCCTTTGATACCTCGGTTGTGGAAAACCTTAAGGGGTTCCTAAAACCTGTGTCAGCAGCGTGACTGGAACACCTGAGAGATGTTGGCTCTGAATCTTACCGCACGTTTCTCCACCCCTTTCCACACTCCGAGCTGATCCAGAATCTGGAGCACGATAGTTGCTTCAGTATCATCGTTTTGCAGTAGCGAGAAGTATTGTTTGTCTTACGCGTGCACCGTTGGGGAACATGCCAATCGAGGCGCCAACCTGAGGCGCTATCTCGCCACGGCGCTCCAGCAAAACATAATCGACATTGGCTCGCTATCACTGTTAGCAGGCTTGCGGGATCAGGGTTTAATGGGTTAGGCGTGGCACACCTCCAGTGCGTTAGCAAGTGTGAGCCCGGCCACACCGCCGCCAACAATAATCACCCGGAACCGGCTGCTTCCTTTTGCGTTGGCCATCACAAAAATAAGCCCAAGGGTATAATCAATACACTTATAAGTGGTGCTTGTGGTCGCAGATATCACAGTGTGCGTGTTGTCCAGGAATGGTCTGAAACCAGGAGGAAAAGGAGTGCTGCGTGAGGCTTTTTATTTAGATCCTGACAGGATGCTGATTACAAGGTTCAGCTCGTCAGCGGAGACCACGTTAGGTATGCGAGCATCAAAAGCACAGCCGCCCGGGTGAGCACGGACACCGTCCCTCGGGCACCGACCCGACCATGGTCTTACGTTGCCAAACGCCAGGTGCAAGCTCGGCCGACGGCGTGCCATGTTGGCCGAGTTGCAAAGAGCCTGATCCCGACCTCCCGTGTTACAAGATAATAAAGATTCACCGAGGAATCGACATAGTAATTCAGGGTAGCATCCCGGCTCAGCCCTGGCCATCATTTACCCACCCCAGCAGCAAGGCCCTGGCACGCTTGGTACGCTAGCTGCATGGCTAGCCTCGAGTGGCCCAGTCCGGTCTTACTCAGCATGGTGGGGATGAATAACACCCATACGAATGACATGATGACGGCAGAAACGGAGACGGACAAGAAATAGGCCGGTTTTCATATCGGTAGGTCGGGGACGAACCGGATATCGGGACAGCTCCGACTTCAAAACTCAAGGCGCCGGACCCCGGTCTATTCAGACTACCGAAAGGCGAAATCAACGCAGTTGGACCATTCTCGGTGCCGGACGAACTCTGTAGGTACCTAGCCACGAGGAGATAATTATCGAGGCACCCAGATATCAGATGCGAGCAAACATCAACCCCCTTCCCCACCCCCCTCCCATCACCCCCCTCAACCCCCTCACGGCTCCAAAATCTCATA